AGCCGGGGTGGCACATCAAGTTTACCTCTGCATTTCCTGTAGATTCCAGCTGCAACCACTTTGTGATTCGGATTAGAACAGCCACACCCATAAACTCCATTCTTTTGCTTTAAGCACGTTAGAGAAGGGGGACAAAGATCACCTCTCTTTGAACACTCGTCAATGGCTGCAAAAATGATTTTAAGAAACAAGTTTATTGAAATTGTATTACCGTTGTAAAAGAAATGCAATTTGTTGAGAAACTTAAGGAGAAAGCGTAAAAATGGCGAATTGAGCGTTACGACAAGAAGAAGAAGCACGTCGTAACATCGAATTTGCCTTGTTTTCTGATGTTAACTAAAAGGTTACTTGATTAACGCACTTTGAGCAAACGGTTCGTGTTTGGGTGTCTGATCGCAAAACTACGGGATTTTCACAGCTTGTTCAGGCACACCTCTCAAATAATTAGGAACAAATAATTCAAATATAACATAACAGGAGTTATCCTAGCTGGCAGGAAGCAACCAGTTGGCTACTGGTTTCATGACAAGCGTCGCAGAGGATCTAAACCATGGACGACCGAGAACAATTCCAGCAAGTGGCCCGTGAGAGCGGGGCCCTAACGTGGGACCATTGGATTATGGATCCGACACGCTGACCACAAAGCCACGCTGTCTCCTAAAAATAGCGAAAATAATTGCACTTCTTACTTTTGCATTTTGCGACAGCAGCTGCCTTCCCTGCTAAGAGTATCGACTTTGCAATTTTCGCCGAGACTGCTGCTAATCCACCTGTTCTTATCTTGTTATCTAACTCCTCTATCGTTCGATGAAAGGTTACTTCCTTGTCCCAGCAGTCTTTGCGGATGGCGTCATCATAAGAGATACGTTTGCGCAAATCTGCAAAGAATGAACCATGGAAAGCTTTTCAGAGTAAAATCTGCTGATTGAAAAATGGGACAAATACAACCCGAATAACAGAGAGCTAACAAACATGTAATGGAGAAAAATAACAGTTTCTGGCTTTGGTACCAGTAGGGTGTGAAGAGTTAAATTCACTGTTGGGAGAGCCCGAAGAAGATATTATTACTCAGACTGATAAACGGATCAAGGCAGTCATGGATTCTGAATTCTACGCTGTGGATTCTTTGCCAGTAGAACTTGGGATCCGGATGCCTATCGTACGCGGGATTCTGTACTCTTTGAAATGAATTTCGAATTCCATGATTTTTGAGTTTGGAATTCAGGATGCCACAAGCAAAAATTTCCCGGATTTCGGAACGGCTTACTCGGGGCGAAACAGTGGTTGTTCAAGGTGCCTTAGCTTCCTTCGAAAAGCTAATGTCCCATGTAAATCTTTCTCAAAATTTGAGCAGCCTGACACGTTATACCTCTTACCAGAGACAATGAAAAGGAATCTGAATGACATGAAAAATGAAACAGCGCGAAAACCAGCAAAAATACTTCAATTTCAAGTTGATTTCTATGAGCGTGGACGCGTGGTCAGAAGTTTCTCAACAGTCGACACATTTAAGGGGTTAAATCACTTTTAGAAACGATGAAAAAAGCAACAATAAATACTTACGATCATTGGTTTGACTTTTCCCTAGTGATGTTCGAATGAAAAACCAAATCACCAACAAAGCAAGAATCCGGCGGGAAACAGGAAACATTTTCAAGGAAACCTTGAATAACTAAATTCTTAAAGATGGCTTCTACATGTTGAAGATTTCTTCCGCTGCCGCTCTTGTAATTGCGTTTGTTTTCCTCAGATAACTGACAAAATTAGTCGTTAATTGCGCGCGCGTGCTCTGAACAGCGACGTAAACTCTTCTGATAAGGCAGTTTCATACGTCGAGCGTCGCGCAACGACGTCTTCGGCATTTAGGCGCATTTTACGCCAAGGTATTTTTTTCACCTTACAAATAGCCCTGCTTTCTGTACTCGACAACACTTTTCTCTATCGATAGGAAAAACTGTCTCTATGAATTATTTTTATTCATGCTCCCATGTTCTCAACCAAAATGTTACTTTTGGATGCTCAATTGATTGACGTCATCGTAATGATGACGTGAATCAATTGAGCGCCTTAATTTTATTTGTTACAATTTTATTAAGTCAAACAAAAATAAAGAATCTTAATCCTGTAATCCTGTATTTGTAAAACAATTTAACAAAGACATTTTCATTTTGCTATCAATTTAATGTCAAACCAAACCAATCACAAAAGAGGCTACACATTACAAAGAAAAAGTAAATCAAAGCTGTGCAAAAATTAACACGAAAAGCGTGTCGAACCCAGGGATAACATGTACAGAAAATGGTTGTTACCAATGTGGATAATGCTATCCACCGGATAAATCACTATCCCCTGGATAGCGCAATTGGTTTCCCGAACACTTATGCATTGGATAGTGATTCATCCAGTAAATAGTGCATTAAACAACTGGGGCCAGATCAATAGGGAAATTACTTCAACATGTAATAGAGAAAAATAACTGGCTTTGAATTGCAACAGATAACATACAGCTAACAGCATTCAATTATGTTGCCATGGTCACATGGCACTGTCTCTAATATAAAACCTTGTGGCACACTGCAAACTGAAAGCTTCTTACATCAACCACTGCTGTCTATTTCAACCTACTTTTAATTAATAATCCAGCACCCTAAAAAACAAGAAGAGAATAACAAGAAAATTACTGCTTTTACATATCCAAACTGAGCAAACCAAAGACAAAAAAAAATAAAAAATAATCGTGAGCATTTTACTACCTACCAGATATTATTTTCCACTCATTTCTGATTTCTGCTTCTTAATTTTCGCATTCATGTTTTATGCATTCCTGTATTAAATACTTCCCAGTGCATTCCTGTTTTATATGCCCTACCACCTCACTGAGACTCAATAGACTGTCCTGCTGCTCAATCTTTATTTGCCTGTCTGTGTAACCTGTGAATATACTTTTGTGACCAAGAACAGGACAGGCTAAGACAGTGCCTGCTACACACTGGGCAGCTGGATCAGTCTCTTCATGGGCTATCTCTTCCCTCTGTGATCCTCTACATTTATGTTGTTTTAGAGTGTCTCGGCGAGTGTACCCCTTACCACACTGGTTGCATTTGTGGGGCTTTTCTCCACTATGTGTTCTTTTATGCCGTCCAAGAGTCCCCACCTCGGTGAAACATCTTCCACAATGATCACATTCATAGGGTTTTTCTCCACTGTGTATTCTTTTGTGATTTTTTAAAGCTCCACTCGTGCCAAAACATTTTTCGCATACATTGCATTTATGGAGTGTCTTTTGAATTCGATTGTGAGATATTTTATGGTAATTAAGATGTGCTGCTTGCTTATAACACTTGCTGCACTGGTCACACTTATATGGCTTGTCATCACTATGGGTGCGGACATGTCTTTTCAACTGATCGCGATCACTAAAGGATTTGCAACACTGATCACACATAAAAGACTTCTCTTTTTTGTGTGTCAAGATATGTCTGTTCAGATGCCCTGCTTGTCCATAACATTTGTCACACTGGTCACATTTATACGGCTTTTGTGTTTTCGTGGTGCAGCATATTTTTTGATGCTCTTGTAGGTGAACTTCCTCGCCAAAACACTTACCACAGTAATTACATTTAAATGACATCTGTATTGGTTGGGTCAGAAAACAAACTCAAAAATGTTCCGGTTATATGTACACTTGAGCCTTGGATCAAATGTGGAAATTTGGACTACCACTTTGAGACTTTCACCTTTCAGAATCTGTAACAAATATTGGCAATAATCTGAATATAATTTGCAACACAGATAACAGGGAGCTGAGGCAAAGACGTTTTGGAGCGATGTACGTCAACCAGAAAATGAGGCCTTTTCCTATTTAACTTGCCTAAACGCCACCAAAATTGTACTGCTGAGTTTCCTTTCACTTATAAATAAGATTTGCCAAAAATTTGAGTAAAACCACTGCCCAAAGATGCAAAAAGCCCACTTCCGGCTGAGGTGCATTGACGTACGCTGCTCAAAAAACGTCTTTGCTTAAGTTTCTCTATTATATATCTTCTGAAACGGGGTATATTTGGTTTCTTCTTTACAATAAATCACTGGTGTCTAAGCAGCCCAGTCCCTAAGCATTCTCTCTTAATTGCCTCGTTGTTTGCGTGAAGTCTGGGAAAGGGTGGAGAAAGGGTGTTCCTCTCAATGACCGAGCCAGTGACAAAGTAGTCTATGTAATTGATTTGCTGATTGAAATTTTCCTAGATCAGAAGATGCAAAACTTTCCTTAACCCCAAAATCTCAAAAATGTGCTACCCCATTTTGGTAACTGTTTTGAAAAAGTAATCCCATTATAGTCAACCCAGTCATAAAAATGCGACGGTATCCAGCGGCACATCCCATTAGCCTATCACTACCACACTGAGTAGGAAGTGCCCTTCCTTCCCAGGGACACTGCGAGCTTGATGATGGTGATTAATACTCAACAATACCAAAACTTGCATGAAAATGGAGTTCATGCCCAATTCCTAGCGGAGGTTCCTTCACCAAGAAAATAAAAAAACCGGTTTGCAGGGGCGATCTAGATCGGTTTTCTAATACAACTGGTATTCTGCAAAAAAAAATAAAAAAACTATGTGGTTTATTGGTGTTGAAGTAGAACAAGAAACGAGAGCACCCCCTCCTAAAAAAAATCCTGGATCCGCCCCTGTTATGGAAAGCAAGTAAAGATCAGTATTAAAAACTAGGGGGATGTGCCAAGTCATGACTGTGTTCTCCAGATTTTACAGCTCAGAGGTTGGGTAAAAAACAATGCAACGAAGTGCGCAAAACCTTCCCAGTATTCTATAAGTGATCCTTCTAACATACGATAGTTCATTGATTGTAGTTTTCCTTACCTTAATTAGTTGAAGGGTGAAGTAAAGCATTCGAATTCACTCTAAGACGGCAACTTGAACATCCCAGGCCGAGGGCGGGCTTAAAATACTGGGCACCAGCTTACGCGACATTTGAGGAATATTTACATGGAATATATTGTGTATTTGGCAGCAGTTTTCAAAATGGCGGTCTTGTGGAGGAGATCTCTGCACTTGGATAAGTCATATTTTCTTGTAAGTCTCGTGCAAAAAAGCCTTGTTACGAAGGCAGCTGCAGCGGGAAATGAAAAGATAGACAAGAAAATTCGTCGAAAGGAACAGAGGAAGGAAATGTAAGTTATTTGAACATTGAAAAGCTGAGCATATATTGCCGATATTGCCATTAAGACTGAGTGAGCCGTTGATTGATTACCCTTTATCAGTGTTTACATCGGAAGACGTTCTAATAGAATACAAAGAGGCACCAACCATGCGCATTAGTCCTTACTGGTATACTATTGGGGGTGTAGTGGGTAGGGGTTGGTACATGTATTCACGATATTGCACTTAGACTTTTAGCCACCCGCTAAATTTTGATCCTGAAGTTGATGGTTATTTTTAAAAGAAATTCGATAAGCAGTTATAGAATAAACTTTCATTCTTTGTTAATGCATCAGTCAATTCCAGCTGCACCCAGCCACCCCCCGCCCCCGTCCCCCCCAAGGTCACTGCAGGGGCATTTGCCTACAAACCCTCACTTTGTAATTAAGGGTAAGTACAGAACCTTTCTTGTGTTAATGAGTTCATTTGCTGGAGAATAAAAAAATCATTTTCGTTACAATGACTTTGCACAGTCTTGGCCTCGCTTTGAAACAGCGGTTTGGGGTAACTCCGAAATGTCCTGTTGGCCACCAAGTAGAGCCTCAAAAGCTGGCAATTAGCTTCAAATTTTGTACATATAATGCAAGTAGATAAGAAGTCAATTTTATTTTACACAGAGTCAAAGGATACTTTGCTGATCTCCGTGGTAAGCCAGAAAATTAAACACACATAATAATAATAATAATAATAAAGTCTTTATTCATCAAAAGATAAAAATACATATCTTTTGTTACAAGTAAGTGTAAGAAATTTAAAAAGTTAAAAAGTAAGAATTAAAAAATATATATATATACCGGTATATATATCTAGTATATTACATAGCTAATTCATATTTAAAAACTAAACGATTAATAAAAGAGTTTTTAAAGCGCATAGTGTTTATCTTAGGTTTAAAACAAGTTTCTTTTCTAAGATTGTAGCTGGAGGGTTTAACACGAGGCATAATAGATAAAAGTGGATGTCCTTTGGCATTAAAAACTTTTTTGAAAATTTTACGGTCTTGCCTCTCTAAGAAATCATAAACACTTACAGGCTTAGACGTATATTTCCTTTTAAAACAGCGGTCTAAGAAACATTGTACGGGTGTAAGATCGGACTCGGACGCGGCGTAGACAGATAATGCGTAATTAATATTAGGTAGAACTACAGTATTAAAGAGAAGGTCTATTTCTGACTGATTGTACCCTTCTTTGCGCAGCGTTCTAAGGATATGTAGGGATTTGTTAGCTTTAATAAGTTTGTTCTTCACGTGCACTGAAAATTTGCTGTCACATTGGAAGGTGACGCCCAAAATCTCAACTTCTTTACAGCTTGGTATCATCCCAATAGGTGAATAGAGATCGCGGTTGCCTCTCTTTTTGATCGTCAACTCTTTACATTTGCTTGGGTTGCAAGACATTCCATTTGTATTCGTCCAATCTAAAAACTGTGACACTAACTGATCGGAGTAGTCTACCTCCTTCCATACAGGGGCAATAATTGTCGAATCATCAGCGTACTTAAATAGCGCGTCATGATTACCTAAAGTGATGTTAAGATCATTGAGGAAGATGTTAAAAAGGTAAGGACCGCTAACGCTACCTTGAGTTGTCCCTTGGTTAACCGGTTTCCAGTCACACTCAAAGTTGTTGCAACATACCCTTTGTTTTCTATCCTTTAAAAAGTTGAAGTACCAATTGGTAATATATGGATTCAGTGGGAGCTTTTTTAATTTATTAGCAAGAAGTTCATGTTTCACAGAGTCAAAAGCTTTGCTGAAGTCCATAGCAAAAAGGCGAACTGCTTTACAATCCGGGTTATCCAAGTAGCTGTTGGTCCTATGTTGAATTGACAAGAGAGCATCGGTACAGTTTCCACCTTTTCTGTAGGCGAACTGTGAGGTGCTGAGGTGGCTTTCAATTGTCTCGCGGGCATAGCAGTGGTACACAATTTTCTCAAAAGCCCTCGCTATTACAGGAGTTATATTAATGCCGCGATAATCACCATGTGCTTTAGGAACATCCACTTTGGGGAGGGGGGTGATGATCGCACGCTTCCACGATGATGGCAAACACTGAGTAGAGATTGAGAGATTCCAGATTTTGGTGATAAGAGGCGTGAAAATCTCTGCATGCTCTTTCCAAACCCAGTAAGGAATCTGGTCGGGTCCAGTCGCAGTTCTTTTGAGAGCGCCAAGTAAATTCCAGACCTGCCGTTCGGAAATTACCGGGATCTCCATCTCACTGCTGATAGTGACAGGGGTTGGTTCTATGTACATATCATCTGAGCAGAGCCTAGCGAAGTAATCATTCAAGTCCATCAGACAGCTGTTATCCAGGTTTACTTTGCAGGATGCACGACGCCGCTGCGACAATTCATCCACTCCTTTCCACCATGCCCGACTACCTGGAGGGGCATCCATAAACTTTCTCCTATTTTCCGAGATGATGTCAGCTATTCTTTTGTTAACAACGCACAGCCTGTCTTTGCTCAGACGAGAAACTCTAGACTTCGTTCTGATCATTGACTTAAGGAGTGGTGTCATCCAAGGCGGATCGCGTGACGACATGGATACAGTTTTGACCGGCATACACCTGTCCATATGGCCGCGAATATTTTCTTCCAATACGCAAACCGCTTGCTGAACATCAGGAGCAGCGAGCACATTATCCCAGTTTTCCTCCGCCAGCGCGGTGTAAAGTGCGGCTTTACGATTCTCTCTACAATCCCGTATCTGGACTTTACATCGGATGGGTTTTAACTTTGTACCAGCAGGGAGAATAACAGCCGTGTGATCATTTGGTTTATTTCAAATATGTGACCCTCCACAGGATTTTAATGCTAAAGGTGAAAGCACGTGCACGACACGCTTTCACTTTAAAACAAAAGAATTTATTTTAACACGCTTTAGCACTCTTGCAATCTTCCCTCATTAGCAATTTCTTTTGTTTCAGAGGACACGCTTGAGACAATTAAGCGTGAGCAAGTGGAACAAAAGAGCGTGTTAAAGTTTTCAAACAAAAGCTCCGTGCGAAAAAGCACAACACGCTTTCAGTGTGCGCAAAAGCACGCAAGGCGTGTTATCTATAAGCTAAATAAATTTCCTCTACAAAAAGGAACCGTAAATGGTTATGAACGGCACCCTTTTTTGGTAACTTTCGAGAAAGAAAAAGTTATACCTCAGCGATCGCAGCGATAGTATCTGATTGAAAAAACGTTGTCGCTTGAAAAGTATAAACAGTGAACGGTGTGACCTACTGGATTGATGGGTAGAACTATATCAGCATTGCAAAATCAAAGTTCTTTCCAGAAATGTTTACTGACGAAGCTGTGAAAAGGTTTTTCTTAACTTTCCTTAATTTAAAACACATTTACAATTTTCTCAGAAACAGTGATCTTTCGGACTTAAGACACTTTCTTGCCGATCGCAGCAATCGCGATCAAATATAATAGAAATCATCAAGTGCCAGGATCGCTAAATTGTATTTATTTTTTAGCGATTGCAAGAATTGTAGTGATCAAATGAAAACCAGCCTGTTTTTCTAGATATACCAAAATTCCTTCGCGTATGAAGTTACGGAGACTGATTTAGCGCCATCAGCCGGTATTACGCCCTACAATTATTTAAGTGTCTTAAATAGTCTGCTACACGGCCCTTTTAGTGTTGTCACGCAACGCCCCTTCCACTGAAAACGGCTGTGTAGCAGACTATTATTTAAGCGGCGCGAAAATAATTCTTTATTATGTCGCGCTAGTTTTCTGCGTCTTTTAAATGCCTATTTTGATGTACGAGTGGATTTGTCACCCTCCTGAAACTTGGAAAATTTAGCTTCCAATTGAAAGTTTTGGGAAAGGGAGATTTTTATCGTATTTTTGGTTCCGAAAATTTTAGGATTCCTTAATTCTCTACGAAAAATAGGTTAACTGGGGAATGAAATGGAAAAAATTAAACTTCAGAAAATCGTAAGGAATTTATTAGACAACCTTCGAAAATTGTACATGCATGGAACGGTCATATAGAAATGTTTAGCCTTCCTCAACCTATAGAAAGTTCTAGGCAGTTTTTGTTTCTCCGATTTAATTACCTTCGTTCTTCTCAGCATGGCTTAAAGAAATATATTAAACTAATTTATTCAACTTCATTTCTCTGTGCATTACTGCTAATAAATATTCCGGTGGCATAACTATAATTTTCAGGCGACATAACTTCAGTGCCTCGCATGCGATAGCAGGCCTCTTTGCTATTCCGGTCAATAGCCGACAGCCGGAGGAATTGGTTTACACTGATCTCGCGTTTATTCCAGGCTAGACCACCATTAAGTCCTGATTTTCAAATGGCCACGGTTACTATCAAATTCCAAAACAGTCTCAATTGGTATATTTGATTCACTTCGACCAGTTATCAATGCTGATTAAATCCGCTGAAAACCCAAGCCATTTTTATCATCTTAGCGGTTTTAGTAATCAAGCGTGTTCAGCGTGTGTTACCAAAATTGCCCGCTAACCGTGCTATGATTCGCACACTTACCGTGACATATGGCACGCTACGAAAAAACAAAAGGTCTAGCGTGTTAAATTTGCCAAAACAAAGGCAAGTGTGTCCGTCTTTGTTTTTTCAATTTAATATGCGCATATCCGTGGTCTACGGCACGTTAAGCGTGTTGTGCAAGCGTGTCGTGCGCGTGCTCTCACCTTTAGCATCAAATTCCTGTGGAGGGTCACATATGGTCCCACCATACTTAAAAGTTTAATCCAGTTTTCAAAACACTTTTAGATATACAAATAATTAAATTTGCTGCATACAGGGGTTTCAATAAAAATTGAAGTAGCCAGCAGGCTTGAATAGAGTTACTAAGTGTATCAAGAAGGGGCCGTTAGTCCCCTCTTTGTAGGGGGGAGCGGAGGAGGGGCTTCCCGAGAATATTTTGAAATTTCAAGCCGTTAAAATGTGATTTTCAGCATTCTGGGGACTAAACTGAACTGAGGACAAGAATGCGTGTTTTCCATTCAAGATTCAACTTTCGATTTTTCAGTCACACAATCAATTCCTACCAGCAATGAACAATGATGAAAATTAACTACAGAATTATTTACTCTTGCATGTTAACAGACTCTGCGTAAACTTACATGTATAAAGAAACTTGTGAAAAATTGACTGAAATGTAGCCGTCACATGACTAAAGCACAACGTAAGACTAGTGGGCCTTTATGAAAACACATCATAACAGGCTCTTTGCATGACTTGATCATGTGATCAACTTTCAGTAAACACGAAAACAGTACACTTTTTGAAAAATTTTGTTAGCACAAGCTGAAAGAGCATATTAAAATTAGTTAACACAAGAATGTTCAGCCGTATATCTCAAAAGTAGCGATAGCAATGGTCGCCAAAAGTTAGAAGCATTTGTATGAAGAAGAGTTTGTGCTTTGTATCTTGTTCAATGTCAAATTCAAAGAAGTGATAGACTAACATTTGCCACACAATGACCCTGAATGGTCACTGACATCATGACGTGTATTTGTCTTTCAATCAATAAAATTATGACCTAAATAAACTACTTTCTTATGAAACTCATTAGCTTCAATGAGCTATATTTCTTTGTTAAGAATTTCGGAAGGATGGTGGCAAAAGATTCTTTGCTCTTGGAACACCCAGTGAACCTAAGGTAAGATGATTGAACATGGACTATGCAGTGATCATAATGAACTGGTGCTGTAACATACTTGACACTTTAGGCCCCAATATGCACATACAAATTCTCCAGACTGATCTCTATACATTTTCTTAAAGACTTAGTTGAGAGAATTTAATAAAAGATCAAGAGAATGTGTTTCTATTTTGGGGGAGAATTTTTAGTAATTCTCGTCACCTTTTTACTTAATTGTGCAGTGATATTTTGGGGGAAAATTGATGTTGATCACTCTTGGGTCAACAAAAATTTAAAAATTAAGTTGGTTGCATAGAATGGTAAGATTTCTGTTTTCACTTCATTTTATTACAGGATTCATCTCCTTTTCCTGAACTTAAAGCTAGAAACTTAGCAAAGAAAGAAGTTGATTTGCAGAAAGTTTTTCATGGCAAGGTTACCTTGGTGTTATTCTGGTTCAGAGCATTCGGTGAGGTATGGTTGATGTGCTATGAAATGCACTGTACTTCGTAATCAAGGTTTCCCTATTTACAGATTTGGCAGCAGTGATTTATCTATTTACAGTGATTTATTTATTTACATGTAGGCAAAGTTAAGAAATTGTCACTATTTATTTTTCAAAAAAGGGCTTATATTTTTCAAAAGGGGCTTATTTTTGGAAGGGTTGTCTATGGGAGGGAAATTTGCATTTCAAAATCGAGTTATATAACATTTTGTTTGTTTTGTTTTGTATTTGAGGGCTAGAGATGTTTCCTGAAATAAGGACATTTTTTCGATGACACACCATGATACAACAAAACTGCTTAACATGCAAACTGATCAGGGCCAAGTTCCAAGAAAATTGAGAAACTGATTAACCATAACACCAGATTAACACTAGTCACTTTGTTGTTTTCTTGTACAAATGAGAGCTATTGTTTTTTAAACCTCAGCAGGATTGGCAAATTTGACTAAACATCCCTTTATGTTTTCAGGCTATGTGTGATAAGTATAGACTTCCATTTGTGGAAAAATTTCACGAAGAACCTCTCGCCCAACTTTATGAGGTACTTGTTTATGTTTGAGGGACGAGTTTTATATTGACAGCAATGCAATAAAAAAAACATCAGATCAAATTTTGGCGTGACTGGGATTCAAACCCTGGTGCAAATGAAGGCTGAAAGCTGATGCAATATTCAATCCTGTAGGGCTTGTGTAAACTTGAATGTGCAGGAAGAACGATCAGCTATTACTTTTTGAGCATTTGCTGCACAGAATGACAGTAGTTTTATCAAAAGTATGATATGAGGTCAACTTTCATTATTGGGGATATCTTTAAGGACAGTGAGTTAGTGACACATGAAATAGCGGAAGAAAAATGTCTGTAAATTACTTTTGCTGGGGATTTAGCTGCTATCACTATCATCTTTGTGTGTGCAATAATGAAGTGTACATAAGGCGGGAATTGACGGTGGTAGGTTGAAGAAACTGTCTGAAACTGTAAAAGCACAGATAAACAAAGAAATAAAGATTTAGAGGTAGCACTTCCACTTTGCAGTTCTTTGTGTACCTGATTCCTGGTTGAGTTGGAATTTGGAAATGTTGGTTTTTGGTGAGAGGGGAAAACCAGAGTACTTGCTAGTGGAGAAAAACCACTCGGAGCAAAGGAAAGGAAAAACAACAAAATCAACCCACTTTAATTTTATGGCGTTGATGCTGGGATTTGAACCCTGGGCCACATGGGTACATTTAGGAGGCTAGTGCTCTTACTACTGCCCCGCCCTTGCTCCTCACCTCTGGTATAAGGAAAAGCAAGACAGAGATTTTCTCATGCTCTGAGATTTTCATTTTTAATTGTTTGCAGATAAATGTCGTGGACGGACTGTTCTTCAAACCATTTAGTAGATTTCTTGAAAAGAATTTAAGGAAACAAAGAGCGTCAGAGAGACATGTAAGTTTATAGAGTGTGTATGAATTAAACGTGTATAATCTTTATAAACTTCTTTCAGAACCGAAGAGCTACGTTGTGGTTTACATGGTAGTTCTTACTGCCACAGGGGGCACGGCGGCTTTAGTAGTGATCTTGCATGAAAATGATTTACTTGAAAACTGGGCGCAAATGTGCCTTAACACAGCACTCCGCCAGTATACATAATTTATAAGCTGAGTGACACAAAAACTTGATTGCTTTGTAAATATCTGCCTGTGTAACGATCAGTGTACAGCAAAAACGCTCTATGAACGCGATGAACCGCCATATGAAGCCCAGCAGTGATAGTGACCATAAAAATTATAGGCTACCGGTACATTTTTAAAAATTCGTCACGAGGGTATGTTGTTAAATGCGCATGGGCTATCAAGCCTTTTTAAAATCGGTAGACAGATTTTGTTTAACATGGGCGGTTTCGGGGGGAATTTCAGGCGTTGTTGAGTTATTAAATGATAGTTGTTATATTGTATTTTTAGGATACCTTTCTTTGCTTTAGTGGTAACACAAAACCAATCAAAGAAAAATTTCTGGAGAACACAATTGTTGGACATGCATTGTTAGTGGATTGTAACGGGCTTGTTAGATGGAGAGCACACGCTAACCCTACAGATGAAGAAATCAAGTTTATGCTGAACTGTACAAAAATACTCCTGAAAGATGCACAACGGGCTCCTAAGAATAATAGGACAATGCCTGACCACAGATAATAAACACAAAACGCGTTTTATACAAATTGTGGTCTTTTATTTAATTTCTCCATCTGCAGCAAAACGATCGTTGTTTTCCGGAATTAACAGCTGTGGGTTTGTCTGCTTGTTTTGTAGTAAGTGGTTCTTTGGGTGTCAGCAAACCTTCATGTAGAGTAAAGAAGTATTTCTTTTACCATTCATCAAAGAAGATACCAGTTATCGAATGAGCGAGCAATTATCACTAATTAGAGTTTCATTCACGATTGCATTAAATGTGTTAAACATCCATAAGAGAGTTTGTTTCATTAGAGCCATCGGCCACTAGAAGGAAATTGTGGAAATCTTGCATCAGTTCAAGGTTATATGCACTCAAAAAAATAGTTTCATAGGTATCCTTTGGTTGCGTTTCACAGCGATAAGAAGGCAGGGCTGCCTAGTCATAGTGCAAAGACTTGGTAACAAAGTAGAGGCATAATAAGGACGATCACGTGACTTGTCACACAAGAGGATGGAGATAAATTAGTTCCCACTTCCCACTGTCCTGGTTGCCTTTGATGACTTGCCCGAGGACCTGAAACTGTGACAAAAAGGACAAACGTTAATGATTAATTTAGGTTTCTGGGAAACTGCCCACCTACCCCTCCCTTAACCTCAACGTTAGCATTTGCGTCTCACTTAGGGCAAAATGTTGGGTTAGGGGAGGGGTAGGTGGGCAGATTCCCAGAAACGAAAATTGATCCAACGTTAACATAATGATTCCACGCTTGATACCACTAGGATGTTACGTCAAAAACGTTTTAGGATTTGGGGTTTTTCTTCGACGTCAATCAAACCGTTACCACAGCATCCAATCCTTGTTTGTCAAATAAAGGCGGTAATAACCAGAAGAAGCTGCAAAACTAAATGTTGGCGGGAGCGTACCGATTCGTTTTCACCCTCCCATATGTGTTTCTTCTGTATTTGGAAGCTCTATAGGAACAATTACGCAATCGTCTTCACCTTAGGAATCTAAACTTCCTTGTTCCATTAAGAAGGTAAAAAAAATTGAAAGCAAAAACGTGAAAAGGTTACATCTCACCATTGAACATCAAAGTATAAATAGTCCCGATCGACAAGACGCAGAACGCAAAAACTTATGCGCCGAGGCCGGCTCCAAATTTTGCTTGACGTCGCAGAAAAACCCAAAATGCAAGGGCGCTTTTGACATCGCAGGTCGCGTGTTCAGATCCGAAACAGCTGTAATAATATTTTAGTTTTTACTTACCTTGTACACAATGCCCTTCTTCATTCATTTCGTATCCTTTAGCACATTGGCACTTTCCGTGATGGCAATCCGCGTGACTTGTACAATTGCAATTTTCTGAAATATTTGAGTGATATCATTCGCTCAGACAACATGCTAATTTCATAGTTTTTACTACTTTGTATTTTGTTTTATAGTTGTTGCTGTTTTTCCTATTTGGCTAGGGTTGATTTTTTTTTAGGTCAATACAGAGCAATGCGGACGCGCATGGTCGCCAGATACTCTTCTCCATGCTCGCTAATTCCGATTTCTTCTTTCTTATTTTGCTTAAAATTAGTCACTATACTCAACTGACTCAACTCTTTCCCACGTTTCTACTCTCTTTACACTCCGTGGGAACGAGGTTGACACCGCACAGTGTTGGCCTCATTCGGCTTCGCAATGCCTAACGATTCCTGAGGAAGCTGGGTACCAGCCTTCAGAACAGGCACTATTACTTTGATCACGCGGTTTTTCAAACGAACGAAGAACGAAGCGGGCGTGGAGCGCGAGACACGCGCAACGAGTGAAGGCGTGTGTCACGCTTATGTTTCTCGCCCTCCTCACTCCTCGCACAAGAAAAAGCGTCTCCCATTTACTTCCAGACAATCTGTCAGTCATTGAACACCACAACGTGACAGTACAGCATCAACGAGAACACAGTGGGTAGCCTGCGAGCAAGCTCTCCTATTTGGGCGAGCGAAGCAGAGGCCCCTCGCTCGCGCGTTCTCGCGAGGCTCGCTTCGCCCGCCCAAACAGGAGAGCTTGCTCGCAGGCTACATAGTGGGATACTTACCGACGCATTTGCCAGTCTTGCTTTTTTTAAATCCAGTTTTGCAAATGCATTCATAGCTGCCTTCTGTGTTATTACAGTGGGAATTCGCCAGGCAAGTATTGGCATGCTTGCATTCATCAATGTCTGTGTATAACAATTGACACATCCTAATCATAACATATACGAGCGAAACTTTCAAATAGTCCAGTCATTTTGTGGAAAAAAAGTAGGTGAACCTAGAACTATAATTGCGACAGAAGATATTCCAACTGTTCTAGACTGAGAGAAATGTTCTTAATAACATTCAAAAGTCCCAAAAAGTCCCAGCAGGGAAGTCGCTTAAAAACGGGATTAATTGAGGGGATCGGAGACCTTTCCGAGTCCCTTGTTTAATACACATACAGCATGGAAACGAGGCTTGTCAAAAGTCTTACTTCAACGCATATGCTAAAGGTACTTTTGATAGATTGGCAAAGAGAAATACAAGGTGACTAGACTAAAACCCCTGATCGCGGTTTAGATTTACGTAATTCTACATCTACTCACTGAACGGCAACTTTCCGCAACTTTCCTTTTCGTCGTTTTCTCTCAGTATTCCCCGGAGGGGAAGGTGCTCAACAGAGTTTTACACGGAGAGGCTCCGCCCCGAGGTCCCAACCCTTACCCCTTAATATTTTCAATACGTACTTAAGCATAGATTATCCTACCCATCCATACACTTCAACTCGTGAATTCCCTATCCTTTGATACTGACCCAAAGCCTGAAAAAGGTACCCCTTTCTTGCTGAGCCTCTCCGTAAAGGTCATTATAGTCTCACCTTCACAAGTGTAGTTTAGACCGTGAACCATATGAAAACCTTTGTTGCAGACACAGTCGTATGATTCATTTCCAGTTTTAGTACACGTAGTCTTATTCGGGCACAACAGTCCTTTCTTGAAACATTCGCTTATTTCTGTAGAATTAAAAAGAAATTCGGTTGAGTTTAATATTAACTCCACAAAATTTTAAAGGAACCAGGGGTATTACTCTTCCGTTCCATTCCATCTAGGTTTAATACCTGTCGAAGTTATCTATCACAGGGGCCTGCTATCATGAATTTTTAACGTGTCCTATGCTAATTTCTGTATTTCTATCTCAGCATTCCCCTCGTTTTTCCCGGGTTTTCCCGCATACGACTTAACTCGCCCCTCCATCTAAACTCCACGCTCTACCATCTGAAATCCTGGAACAGGCACAGCCTTTAGTTAATATAAAACCGTGGCTGCAGTCTCCTTAGTGGACAAAAATATATCTCAGTTTGGTCATTTTAGATCGCAGGGACAAATTTACCTGCTCAACAAACTAGAATTAAATCGGTGTAACTGTGAGGGAGAAGGTCTCGAACAAGCTGGAAGATCTATCCATTGTGTCATGATTAATTATAACATACCTTCACATTTTCCTTCAGAAGACATTTTATAGCCCTTTAAACATTTGCAAACTGGAGTTTTAGGAAAGAGAGGATCGACAACACAGATAGAATTGTTACTGCACTGATAATAGTTGGGGCATTGTAGAGAATCTGTGGAAAAATTAAAGCGATTGTTTTATTCAACGAGCAAGCACGGACGACAATAATGCTGACATTATTTTGTGCAATAACATCTTATAGCAGTTAATATTTTGAGATCATAAATTTATATACAAGCAAGTACGTGGTTGGATAGTTCAGAGAGAAAATTAATAAGAACGTTTCCATCGGCATTCAAATCTGCGTTTGGGAAATTTTGAATAAAAAGACTTGTTGTGGGCTTGTTCTTGGTTTTTCTCAAGAGCATAAGGCAGGAACGTTTTTATTCTTTCCCGCTGGTTTCTGCCTCTATTTCTTCACGGGCATCCTTTAACAATACCTGTATGGAAAATAAAGTTGGCGTTGCCTCTTGAACACCTTACTAGATACCAAAATCAGCAGTTTACACCCCTAGATAAGAGAACGAACATCCCGGTGGACCCCGCCCATTTCACAAAGTTTCTCTCTTGGTATGGTGGCTGCACATGCATGTGTTAAGGGAAAGATCGATCCCACATGGCTCTCCTCAACAAACAGTTGTTTCTTTGTTAACTTTCAGCCCATAGAGTTATGTAAATCTAGGTTAACATCGGTTGTAAATCATTTGAGGATGTTTAATATTCTTACCTCTGCAGAATCGTCCATTCCCAGTAAGGTTTCTTTTACAGTAACATTTTCCATAAAAGCATTCTGCTTGCTCGTGGCATTTGTGCTCTTCGTCACACAGATGAAATGGTGCTTGGAAAGTAATAAAAACTTATTTTACTTTTAATCATGCGCAGGGAGGGACCTAGGGAAGAATAGATTAAATAAGGGCTGGGATAGATGATTGTCCCCTGTTGTCGAAAAGTTAACTCGTCGCTCACTTACATCAGAATGTATGCATAAATATTTTACTTTTTTCAGCTAGAAAAACCGTGGAATAGTTTACCGCCAGTGACAAGAGAATCCAAAAATATTAGAACTTTAATTTAAGCGATCTCTTGAAGCGTTCATGTCTAAAAGCGTTTAAATTTTTATAAGGATTTTAAATTTTGTCTGTAAATATTACTTGTAAATATCATTTTTAGCACATTACTTTAGATTGCTCGTTATTACTTGACTGGTTTTTATTGATTGGTTTTATTCTTTTATATTTATTCTTTTTACACGTACACGTTTACGAGCACTTATGAGCTCCTAGGTGTTACGTGGTTTAAAGAGATTTAATGGATTGATTGATTGATTGATTGATTTTCCCCAGTCCACTTCATTGTTCGCGTGGTAGTGGAACGTGAGGGGTGATAGTTCCTCTTGTGCCTTCCCATTACCCCGTGCCTCTTCAAGCACGTTTTCAGCTCGATCCCATGCCCGCTAGTTTAGTATATCGTTTGGGTGTTTTTAATATCTAGAAGTAGCTTGAAGAGTAGGCGTTTTTAATGAAAGTGCGACGTAGAGGTTCACAGATCGTGGCCACCATTATGAAAGCAATTGAAAAAGTGAGAAAGGAGGGCTGGGCGAGGGGAAGAGGGAGGGGCGGGCAGAAAAAGGAAAGTTTGCATCTTGGGACAAACCAGATGTGAAACTATTCGAATGCAAAAGGGATGAAAATTAACATGGTCGACGAAAATTGTTTATTTTTCGCTTCCCTTGTCTAATATTATAAGTGATAACGATGTTAAACAAAACCTAATCTTCCTAACCTGGCTTGCAAGTTTTTCCTTGTTTTATTAGCTCATCCTTGCACTTGCAGAGTCCACGTGCACGATCACATGTGGAATATTTTGGACAATTCTTATCGCTGAGGCACTCTGTTGAATAGTCAGAGACAAATTAGTTGACCAAACATAATAATAAGCCTGACGTTACCTGTTTTCACCAAAATACAAATCTCCAGACCCTAATTAAATGGAGAGGAATTTAAGGTTACGAGCCGTACCCTTCTTACAAAGTGTTGAGAGATGGTAAGGGATGCATTTTAACGTAATAAGGCAGCTAGTGGTATTGAAAAATGAGATAAAAATAGGTCGGCAGGGATAGCGACTAATTAAATACAGAAAAATCTCTTTAGCGAGAAGGTCAAGACATTAATTTGTGATCTGCTAAGACAACTGAGGTTAAAATCGTAACAGCCCAGGAGCGTTTTTGCATGGGAGGGAATAAGAGTTACATAAAAACGTTCAAACTTACCAACACACTTTCCATCTTTCATGTAGCTGTAATCTTTCTCGCATCTGCACTTAGGATCAGATTTTGGAAGCAGAGGATCAACAATGCACGTACCGCGAATGCCACACTGAAATCCTTGAGGACATGTAATTGTCTCTGAAATTTTAAAGAAATTTTTTAGGCTTTTAAGTAGGGGGGGAGGTGTTATTATCATGATCCTACTGTGTTGTATGCGTTTCTTTATCGAAGGATTAGGTGAGAAATGGAGAACGAAAGCTTTTAGGTCCGGTCCACACTAATGCGTTTTCGTTTGAAAACGCATCAACAGAGGATAAAGCTCTTGAGCTTTATTCTCTCTTGAACGAATACATTTTAGCCTGCGAAAACAGCCGTTTCTCCTCCCTCTTCGCCACTGAAAAGGCTGTTTTCGCAGGCTAATACATTTCAGTGCGTTTAAGCCTTTCGTCCACACTAAAACGCAAAGCGTTTTCAACGAAAACGCATCGATTTGAAAAACGCCCTTGAGAGTGGATCAAAACGAAAACGCATACAAATCTTATTAGCGTGGACGGTCGAAAAAGCAACAAAGCAAAATGAAAATATCACAAGCGCGTGTGTTATAGCATGCGCATTGTGGTTCGATCATTTTCGAACGTTCTATTGTGGGTTGTGGAAAACGTATCAAAAGGGTATTTTGAGCGAGAATCGATCGATGCGTTTTCGATGACAAAGAAAACTCACACTTTGAAAACGCATTTATTAGTGCAGACAGAGCCTTTGAGTTGAGATTTCTGGGAAAGTTTCGGTAACAATGTTGAGCGAGTACTAATAACTAATCATAACTCAGTAACGCTGGTGACCCGCTACATGAACTCAGTAATATGTTGCAGTAAGTACCACTAAAAGCTAGAACACAGTCTTTCCATGGTGAATTACGTACCTCTACAGAACTTTCCATTTCCTGTTGTATTTCCTTGACAGATGCATTTACCGTCATTGCATTTTGCCCGAGAATCACAGTCCATGTCTTTCTTACATCCGTGTAAAGGAGCTGTAAAAGCGTTGATAATATTAAAAACCATCTGACACTGACACTATACGGTAGTTAGTTACTGAGGAATTCCTTGATATTATATGATTCTCAACAATACATGCAATCCTTTGCGTCCCTTTCTAAATTTTATCTTACATTTTTTTATTTGACACAGCGGTTACTCTGATCATGCACTGCAATAAACATATTAAATCAGACGATGGACTTTTTGAAAGTCTAGGATATCCCCAGCTTGCTCGTAGGCTACATTCACGTAAGCCACAGCAACAGTGTAACTTGCGATCAGATGTTGTTATTCTTTATTTTTCCTTCTTCCCCTTGTTCCCGAAAGAGACTGATAGAAGTGAAGGGAGTTTACGATCATAGCCAAAAACCCTGTAAGGTGTACCAGTAATGAAACATGATGCGAATCAGCTAGTTATAATCTGATCGATGCGGGAAAAGTTCTCACCTGGTTTGCATGTTTTCTCGTCCTTTATCAGCTCATCTTTGCACTTGCAAATTCCCTTATAGCAAGTTTCTTGCACGTGATTGCAGTGTGTGCTATTTATGCATTCTGATAAAAAAAACGGTCAAATTCAAAGGTTAACATCGTAATGCATTGTCTCGGAAGAACTGATAGGGGGAAGGTAGGGTAAGCTTGTTCTTTTCTCCAACTCCAAGTTAAAATGAGCACATAATATTTTTACAAAGATCCGCACGTGTAAACCTATCTTGTGGTGCTAAACCCTTTCACTCTGGCAAGACACCGTCCCAAGCAGTCCGTATTTTATTCATGTAAAATGCGGAGCAAAATTGGGGCAGTGAGCGGTATAGGTATGATCAGGGATAGAGTGGGGGGAGGGACCCCTGATTGGATTTCCAAGCTGCATATTCCCCTTCTCCCTCTTATTTTTTTCTTTTATCAACTCACCTACGCATTTTCCGTTCATGTTTTTTCTATATCCCGCGTCACACTTACAGGTCGGAGTTTTTGGAAACAGGGGATCTACCATGCAGGTCGAGTGAGCTCCACATTTGACATCCTTTGGGCAGCGCTTGGCGTCTGTTATGAAAGCAAAAGAACGTAAGCAAGTTAACATCTTATTACCCAAATCAATAGATACCAACATTTCACCTCGTAAAGATTCTATTCAGTTCTCACCTCTGCACTGCACGCCATTTCCAACATAGAATCCATCACAGTAACACATTCCAGCGACGCATTTTCCTTTATCAGCATGGCAATCATCGTCTTTGGTGCAGGACATTGGCGGCGCTAAACAATTCAGATATATAACAAATTGAAAGTGACTCATTGTCATCTACATGATCATTTTTAACATGATTGCCAGTTTAAGTATGTATAACTGATGGCCAGATGTTTCGTTCCAAGTGAGTTCATCCAAGACAGTCTTGGATTCTGGTAGCCTGAGAAATTAGCCGACGTTTGGCGACGCTGCCACTGATTTCCCCTCGAAATGATGTCTGAGAAACGAGAGCACAAATTCGATAATGACGACGCGTTATTACCCAGATCTGGGTAGCGCTTCTGATTGGTCGCGCCGCTCGTAAAATTTTCTTTAACCAATCAGAAGCACTACCCAGATCTTGGTAGTGACGGGTCATCAGTATGGAATTTCTGTGCTCTTTTCTCAGACGTCATTTCACTGGGAAACCAGTGGTGGCGTCGCGAAATGTCGTCTGCTTTCTCAGGCTTGGATTCTGGATTCCAGATCCTGGATTCCAGATTCCTGCAGTCAATACAACTTGGATTCCAGATTCCTGCTGTCAATACAACTTAGATTCCAGATCCCAAGTGTAGCGGAATTCCGGATTCCTTGAGCTGAATTACGTATTCCAAAGCGCAGGATTCCGAATTTTACAAGCAAAAGTTTCTCGTTTTCCGAAATCCGTAATATTTTACAAGGAGCAAGATATTGCATTGGCTTAAATGGCATTCCCTCATTGTGATAAGAACCATGATGGGACCATTATGGCTTTTGATTCAGGGATAATCATGATTCATGACATATCTTGTAAACGAACTTTCAATTTCAGATAGATGCGTACCGTCCATATAAGCAGATAAGTCTGTGCGTAATTAATTTTATTTCCTTTAAGTATTTTTATCACTTAGTCGTAATGCCTGAGAATTTTTCGCATTATATTGGTATCTTTGTGTTCTTTTTTCCTTTATCCTTTTAATAATTAATCCATAAACACACTGCAAGAAACGTTATATATAGTGTGGTAAAAAAAAACTCTTCCCTGCCCCCTTACAGCATTTTCCTTGGTATTTATTTTCTGAAGATGTCCTGTGGAAAACGCAGGAAATGGCATTTCCGTGACCGTAAAGTTAGAAGTTTTCGCGGGGAGCATACCCATAGACCCCGCTTGTTTGGAGCGCCTTCAACGCTCACACTCCTCTTCCAGTGCATACACCTTCAAAATCTCACGCAACGCCCCCTAAATTTCTAAAAGGAGGGCAGTTCTTCCATTAGGGTGATATCGGGTTGAAATTCTGACCACACCGTGAAATAACCAGCGTTCCTCAGCTGCTACAGTAGACACAGGCTGCCAGGAGCCCGTAGGCTCCTGAAGCTGCGTAATAAATATATGCCCTGGCTATATATGTTCGAACTATAATGGATATCTTTTCGTGGTGCTGACATAAAAAGTTATCCGATATAGTATGAACAGCAACGGCAAGGAACTGGGACAAGTCGGTTGACAAACAATGAACATCAAGCCAGGGCTAGCGGTTGGCCGAGAAGGGTTTGGTGAACTACATCCCAGTCCTCGCTCCTGAATATTTACTTCGTCTCAGTGGATAATACCCTGCACCAAAGTATGGCACAGAAGCTAGTGTGACTCTCCAATTTAACGCTAGGCGGGGCGCAGCTTCGCTCCGTTACAGAAATCGCGCCGAAATCAGCGTCCTTGTGAGTGAACAGAAGCTCTATCCGGTATGGTTTGCACTGTAATTTTCAGGGAATTATAATAACTCCTCTAGTGGGCTAATTTAACTTCTTACAGTGGAGTTATTTTTTCTTGGAGTTAAAAAAAAAAAAGGAGTTTAAAGAACTCTTTTTCAGGAGTAAAAGTGACCCCAGATATTGAGGAGTTAAAATAACCCCAAAAAAGGAGTTATCCTGTACCTAAAATTTTTACTCCACTTTCAGAGTTAAATTAACTCCAAAAAGAGTAAAAACAACCCCTGTAAGGAGTACAAGTAACCCCATTTCGGAGTAATTTTAACTCCAGACGGGGAGTAAAAAGAACTCTTTTTCAGGAGTAAAAATGACCCCAAATTCGGAGTTAAATTAGGAGTTAAAATAACCCCAAAAAAGGGGTTATCCTGTACCTAAAATTTTTACTCCATTTTTGGAGTTATAATAACTCCCTAAAAATTACGGTGTGCGTGCCTGCGCAATAGCTATACGGTATACAATGAACATAGCTTTAAGATATCTAGCAGTATGGCATACTTACGAGCTTTGCATGTTTCTCCGTTTCCAATCAGCTCATAGCGGCACGTGCACCTGTTTTTAATGCACTTGGAATAATGTGGACAGTTATTGTCAGTCAAGCAAGGATATCTTCCATGCGCATCGGCTGTCAAGACAAGGACAAATGAAACGAAATTAAACTAGGTTAAGCTTCAGTAAAACGGGGGGCAAAACAAATGCAACTTGTCTTGCAACATTGCCGTACAACGAGTTGTAAAGCGATGTTGCGCTTTTTATTACCCTCGTTCTAAGCTTTTAAAAACTTAATTTGTTGCAAGACAGGTTTGATTCGTGGATGGTAAAACGCGAAACATCGCTATTCAACTCGTTTTGCAGCTGCAGTATTGCAAAACGAGTTGCATGTTTTTTGTTGCCCGTTTTACCGTACCTTTAGCGACGACTCCTTTTGTACAAGATTAAATACATACATGTGAGGCAGAGTGGCCGAGCGTTAGAGCGCTAGAATTGTAATTGGGAACAGCCAACTGGTTTGAAGACGACCAATTGGGATTTTTAACCGTGTGGGCCACCATGGAAACTACTGGTCTAGATCTGGTTTACCTCTATAAGGTCAGTTTTTTTTATGTACATAGAGATCGGTTGGTTGGGTGTACAAACAAATGACATAACAAGTTAACACTTGATACAAACGAACACATTCAGTGAATAAACGATTTACTTTTGTTTTATTCTGATCATCTGTTGACTGTGCAATTATTTGACTACTTGACTGATTGATTAATTCAGGTACAACATTATGGCTAGTTCTTTGAACGATAAATGAACGAACCAACGAACGAACAAATCAAAAAATGAATGAATGAACAAACGAACGAACGAACGAATGGATGGATGGATGGATAAAAAATGAATGGAAATACGAATGAATGAACGAACGAACACACGGACGCACGAACGAGCGACGAACGATCGTCGAATGAACGAATGAATGATTGCGTCAATGAACAGACGAGAGGCAAACGCAAAAATGCTGTTGCATGATCAGCTCCTGGAAAAAATATTATCAAACCATGGTTAACACGTTAGAGAGGTTATTTTACCTCCGTCATCCTTCAGACATGATGGTAATACTGGTCTTCCAAAATATCCTCTATCACACCTACAGGACAACGTTAGCTTTCCTGGTTTCCTCACACAGTGAGAATTTTTCGCTGCTTCATGTCCACTTGAAGAACAGGGGTCTTTTTCATAGGGACACGTCTTCCATGCTGTGAAAAAGAAACTTCGAGTTGAATTTGAGGCTAGTGTCCAAGGGACTAATGGGCAGTCAAGTAAAAGACTAATTTACTGACAGGCCTCCTGTGGGCAAATCAACCCCTTGAGGCGAAACTGCTTCACTAGAATTGTAACTTATATCGCAAGTTATTGAATGCTAAGCCATAAAGGAAAATAAAGTGTTCATCCAACCTAAAACCTTCCGTGGTTATAAGGAGGCTTTACCTAAAACTTTCCACACGTTTCGGGATAGTTTCGAAAACGGGGAGTTTTCTTCCATCCGTTTCAGTCTTCTGTGGTCCTTAGAGTGAAGTTTTTTTCTTTTTTAACGCCGGCTTCTCTTTTAGGTGTGGACGGACGAAAACGATTTCGAATGCGATGATGTTATACATACTACTAGAGCAGTTTGCGCATGCTCTGTAAGGGAAGCTATTCCATCGTTTTAGCGTTTTCATGTGGGCGAGCTACATGTGATTGTGTATTTTTCTTTGAATCAGAGCCGAAAAACGAATTCCTATTATGTCTATTCGCCCTCTGCAATGGTCTGAGCAGAGGGTCACAATAGGTTTTTCTTGATCCGGGATTAGCCTCACCTTAAGTCCAGGATTCGGGATTTTAAGTAAAATGGGGTCCAGATTCGGGATTGAAAGTATGCAAGGGATGTACGATGTCGAAAATAACCATCGGGTTTACGGGATTGAGGGAAAATTTGAGTCGGGATTACGGGATTGAGCTGTGCATGTGAACTCTCTTAACGTTTTACAGCGGTTTCGCTGACCTGTCAAATTCGCTACGTTCGAGTTCGCTACCTACATATTCGTCTCGCTGCCTATTGGCTAAGTCCAAAACTTACTCCCTCGGAGGGGCAAGCTTAGAAGAACAATAAATATCAAAAATGCGGACAGCGTTACAACATTTAAAACAAAACTTAAAACATATCTATTCAGGAAATGTTTCAATTGATTCTCATGCTTAACATTTTAGGTTTTTTTTAAAAGTTTTACAATACTTGATTATTGATTTTCATGCCTTACATTTTAGGATTTTTAAGTTTTACAAGTTGGTTTTAAAGTTTTTACAAACATTATAACATTTTAGGATTTTTTATAAAAGTTTTGCAATACTTGATGTATAATGTTACAATTGATTTTCATGCTTAACGTTTTAGGATTTTTAAGTTTTACAATTAGGATTTTAAAGTTTTACAATACTTGGTGTATAATGTCACAATAGGCTAGAAATGTAATGATCTTCAATCGGCCTTCATAATGTAAAGCGCATTGAGGATAGAAATGCACTTAATAAGAATCTATATTATTATTACTATTATTAAATATATCAGAAGATTTTTTTGTACAGCGATCAAGGGAATGTTTTCAATGGTTTACAGAAAGTATTCAAATTTGTTGCGAACTTGGGCGAAGCGAATTCGACTAGTAGCGAAACCGGTTGTACCCTCTTAACCACTAAGGCAGAGCTAGCAATCCTCTTCCATGATGGATGTGCACGAGAAAAAAAATTCATGAGGAAAAAAATGTCATCTTTTTTCCAGGTGTGCTAAAATGACAGTGAGCTGCATACTTTTGCCCCAGATTTGTTGTGAATAGATGAATAAAACTTACCTTCACATTTAGTTTTTCCATCCCCAAATCCAAGATTGTTGACGCAGTGACATTCTCTTCTAATGCATTTAGCTTGCCCCTGTAAGCAGTCCTTGTCAGAATTGCATTTTGCTGGCTCAGCTGAAATGATATAGCCATACAATTTAAAATGTTACGAGTAGTATCGTGTCCTTTTCAGTGCATATGTTGAACAAACTTTTGTATGTGAGGCTCCGCCCCGAGCGAGGTCCAACCCTTGAGAATACCTGAATACATGATCTACTAGATGCGGTTACAACTGCATGAGCATTGTAAAATCAATAGTAATCGCACTGTTAATGAAATCACTAACACTTTTTCGAATGAATCAGGGCTTGAGACAAACTCGTGCAGATCGCCTACGAAAAACCTTGAGAACAACACTTCAAAATTCGGCTCTGTTTGTTGAGTAAAAAAAGAATGGCCGAATTTGTACTCGAGACAAATTATTCGTCTAAGATAAAGTATCCGTCTGAGACGGATAATTCGTCCAAGTATAAACTTGGTGCTAAGACGAATTATGGAGCAAAATTCGTCTGAGGCTGATCCGTCTGTTACCACGTCTTGAAGACGTGTTAACAGACGGAAAATTCCTCTTAGTCGGATGATCCGTCTCTAAATTTGTATCTAGACGGAACGACTCAGACCCGGGGGGGACTCTGCTTATGAAAGGGGTGGGGACGCTAGTCGAAATTTTTGAATTAAACCCCTAAAGGAGACCGATCTGGGCGTGGCTCAAGCTTTTGCTGACCCCTAAACGGAGACCATGTTGAAACACAGATATAATATTTTTATATTTTTTCACGTGCAACCCTAAACAAGACCTTCACGGCTAAATATGATGGCGTTTTACCCAGAACACCGTAAGGAAGACTAAAATCCGAAATTTACACCCTAAGCAAGACGACGAGCGTCTCCATCCCTTTCATATGCGGAGTCCACCCCCCGGGGACTTAGACGGTTTTTTGACGAAGTTTCCACATGAGAGGAACTGGTTTCTCTATTTTGCAATGTTCCCTCTTTCCCTCTTAAAGCATCTAGACAAATTATTCATCAAAATTCGTCTTTGGATTTTTATATACTTAGACGAATTATTCGTCTGACGGATAATCCGTCTGGACGAATAGTTCGTCTCTAATACTTATAAATTAGGCCAATTTCGCAAATACGCTCAGAGAAAAAATCATTCCAAACCATGCTATGACGCTGAAGATCAAGAATCATCGAAATGTCTTCTCCAATCTCAGTTTCAGTACCAAAGAAATAACTTACGATATGTTACGGAAGTTACTTGTATGCCGGATTCAAAAACGTGGATTAATGAACAGAAGACCAGGATAGTGCAGAGTACTTGTCGTGATCTTCTTCCCATTTACAGGTTTCCTATTCCACGAGATTCATTCAGGTGGTCAAAGTACACAAAACTTTTTAAAAACATTATTTGCTGTAGAGAGAAATGATCTAAATATTTCATTAATTGACGTAATAATGATGATTGATGATTGATTAATATAATTAATTCTAAAAACAAAATTGAAAAGCAAACGAAATATAAAAAGCCTTTCTAGTCTGTTGTTGTTGTTGTTTTTTCTTCTACTACTTCTTTTTTTAAAAGTGAAATAACGAAAAACGCGCGGAAAAAGTTAGTCTCCCTTTGGATGTCACGCAACGTGACTTCCAAAATGTTTCTGTGTTTTTATCGTTTTGTCGCCTGGAAACAAGTTTCATCGCTTGAAGGCGAGGTCCCGCAGCAGTCAAAATGGCGGTTTCCGCGTTTCGCTGTTTACTGATACTTCGTTGAGAATTTTTGAAGAAAATTTGCCTCGAGATGAGAATGTAAGCCGTAAGACGTCCAAAAATGTTTCTTGGGAGTCTTGTTGTTTCAAGATTTTTAAGTCTTGTCGCACATTTTGTTGTTACTATCATAATATTTTTATCCAAGGTTAGTGAAAATTTTACTAGACACTTATAAAAGTTAAGTTAATTATCATACGTACTGCTGTTCCGTAACTCAACTTAACTTTATTCATTCAGACCTTTCATACATAGATTTACATTTTCTTACATTTCTTTTACTGTACTAATGACGCTGAAACTTTACTATATCTTAGATGCCCGACCGTGCTTTGTCTAAAGCAAAGATTTCGTATTATTTTCACAATGAGCTTATATGTATGCAAAATAAATGTGGGGGGCTGTGCGGAAATCTTACCAGCTTTCACTTACACTGTTTTTCGTTGATTTTTGTAGGATGCTAACGTGAAAGCATGCTTGCCACTCCAGTATACAGACAGTGAATTTTCATCTAAAGATACCGAGTATGTATATGGTAACAACATTCTAAAATCTTTTCTGCTCCTTTTAAGCTGCTCTGTGTCATATTTTCAGTTCAAGTTTTGAAAGCAAAATTATCCATGTAAAAAAAAAGTTAAGTGTATGTAACACAGTTGAACTAATCTACTAATGGCCACCTCTCCACAACTTCCACCTCTATGCAATGGCCACTTTTTTTTGCAGACAGTCCATACATTGAATCTTGTTTAAACCTCTCCACAATTGCCACTCTCTACAACGACCACTGTCTTCTGTCCCCAAGGTGGCCATTGTAGAAAGGCTCAACTATATAAACTACAGCAAACAAACAAAGACAACAATGTAATTTTTATTAACAAACAATAAAGTTTTATAGTATTCTGTGTGCCCCGCAAATAGCTATCAAGCTAATCTAGGTGGGACAAAACATTAGACAAAACCACTTTGAGAATGTTGACTCAGAGAAGAATTTGCATTCTTCCAAGGGTCGTTTCATTTTTATTCATACCCTACCCCCCAAACACACACCCACCCTACCCCCATCCCAAAAGGTTGTGAGAAAGAGTTATTAAAGGTGGTAGAAACCAGAGGTGAGATTCATAATAACAATGGAATATCTCAAACAGGAGTTGAACCCGGAGACACATGTGACCTTCTACACTGTAGTTACAAGTCCAGATGTTCTTCCACTGAGCTGTAGGAGACTTGTGGGAGATAAGCCAATAAACTAAGGTTCATGGGATAATTTTACAACTTTGTGACAACAATACTCATTGTTTAGGTTGATTATTGGTTTGTCTCTTACTCTGGTGTTTCTGGGTGTGGAATTTGGAGGATTCCTAGGTGGTTGTTCTATGTTCAGTGGCACAGCAAGTATGTTTTGTATCCTTTTTAACTGATAGAATTATTTTTATCTCAGTCTACTTGGATAGAGCAATGTCAAGTCTGCCCGGGAGAGTACTTCCTAAGTAATAAGCTAATGGGGATGTGCCGCTAGATGGGGTCGCATTTTCATGACTGGATTGACTATAATAATGGGATTACTGACATTTTCAAAAGAGTTACTAGAATGGGGTCGGGCATTTTTGGGATCTTAGGGTCCAGAAAATTTTTATCTCTAGGAATTTGAAAAAAATGTTTGAATTCATTTTAAGATGACTGACCTACTGGAAATTAAAAGGCTTTTTGGCCAAATGCATACAGAGAAAGTTGCCAAGTAAATTTGCCCGAAAGTGACTAAGTTGGGGTTTAGAGCGGTTTTCACTTGACTGTCGAAAGGGATTGGTTTTGGTTTTGGTTTTGGTTTTACTACGCCCTTTGGTTGGCTAGTGTATTTACTTTGGTTTTGGTTTTACGACAGTCAAGTGAAAACCGCTCTATATAATTATTGGTCACTAAATAGACTATAATGGGTTAGGGGTTCTTAGAGACCAGTGGTATTATATGTTGTGGTTCAATTTTATCCTTGGTTTAAATTTTCTTTTCTTTTGTTTCAAACTAATTATTATTGTACATTACCATACCCAAACACAAAAGAAAATAAAATTAAAACCAAAGATAAAATTGAACCACGAAATATACACAAGAATGGACTCAAGGAGTGTAGGTGTTGGGGAGGTAGAGTTTTCCCTGTCCCAAGCCTTGTCTAAATAGGGTAATCATCATTTCAACATTGTCATCCTTCTTATCTCTAACTAATGCCATACTGGAGATTGATTTGAAAACTCATTTTTTACCTCAGTCTCTGGGCTGTAATAGCTGTTTACTATGTGTGTGTTTTTTCCTGATCTAGTTTCAATAATTCATATATGTAATGTCCAATAGCAAATCAAGTTTGTTTTTTTTTTACATATGTATTTATTTATGTGCATTTATCATGACCTTTCCTTGACAAGTAGCAGCAATAGCAGCCCACTCCAGTGCTGCCATTTCATTGTCCATGTTTGTTCTTGAAGAGTGGGATTGTGACAAGTTCTGGTACGTTTTTGGATTCTGTAGGTAAGTGCTTTTTACTTCACTTTGGAAAAGATGTAATGTTCTTCAGCTTCGCTAACAAGACATTGGCGATTGCTCATCTGAAGAGCAAACAAAGAATCAAAGGATTGCTTGGCAAAAACCAAAACAAGAAATTTTAGTAACAGAACACTGAACAAAAAAAATTGGCTTTTAAGTACCTGTAAAACTTATGGAATAAAAACCCTTTTTTCTGATATAGAATTTCTTTTGTCTTCTAGCTATAGTGTCAACCTTATTTAGTGATTGTTTTAGTGTCGAAAAAATGTCAAAACCAAACAGAGGACAGCTATGTTTTTACTCATGTACATGTAGCTGTCCCATTTCAATGTCAAGGAGCAGGATTAGCTTAGTTGTGTGGTGTGCAGCCTTCTGTGCAGCAGGTTCTGAGTCTGATTCCCAGTTGTTTACGTTAAAATGCAAATTTCTCTTAGTATTTTATGATGAGTGGAAGGTCTACATGATTTGGCTTTGGCATTCAAGTCCTAATAGTTATCAGCATTAATTTTCCCCTAACAATATGAATACATAATTATCAAAGGAAAAGGTAAAGAGAATTAACAAAATAATCAACAAGGGAAAATGCTTTGGTCTTTTACAATGCATCAAAGTAATTCTTTCAACCTGTTCTTTAAGGAAATGTATGGAGAACAGGCTGGAAAGTTTGTGTTTAGATAATAGCAGTTGATTCAGTAGTCAGGTCAGGTCAGATCAGAGCTGCTCTGCTACTACATGTAACCCAGTACAACCTGCCGCCTGGTCAGGTAGTCGGTGACTAAATGGACTCCCCCACCAGTTTTTAGCTGGTGAGGAGGGTGGCTTGACACCCTGCAGGATGAAAAACAAGACCTGTCAAAGTGCGGGTGAGCTCACTGTAAGCCAACAGCCATTGAGCAAATCTTGGCTAGGAGTCGCGACCCACCAAGGTGCATCTATCACATTGTATGGACAATGGCTCGGCTGTGGGTGACTTAGTAGCAGAAGTGATACTGTAATCACTATCTTCTTAAAATATTCTTTTCAGTGCCTTTCCTGTTGTCATGGAAACCTTTGTCCTGCTTGGTGTTCTTGTCTTCCGAGCTGATAGATAGCATGGGCCACAAGTTCTGTTGTAAATTGCACTGCTGTACAATATTTTATAACCTCTCAACAGCCTGTACAAATGTGGTTCCAAAAGAATGAGAAAAGATTTTTAGTGCAGTTGCAGCCACAACATGCAAAGGGATAGTAATGTTTCTGTTACCAACTCATTCACAGCGCAAAGAAAGTCAGTTTTACCATGTACTAGCCTGAAAGTCATTTTCATTAGCCCGAAAAAATTTTAGATGAGCAGTATTAATAATAAATTAATTAATTGTTATATATTAGTTATTTCATTACCAGCTTTGCCAATTATTCATTACAACAAAATTTTTCTTATGTTGACAATCATTGTAGAAATTTCACTTCTTCAGATCAGCTTGAAAACAGCTTATGATCGACATGAAGTTATTAGGAACTTAAACAACTGTCTTACAGTACTTCTGTAATAATATTACAATTATTGAAATCTCCCCCCCCCCCCCCCCAAAAAAAAAAAAAAAAAAAAAAAAAAAAATCTTCACTTGCTTATTCTGGGCAAGCTAAGAACAAAGTTCACTAGCCAGATCACATGACTTCCTTCTCGGCGTTGTCATTAATTTTTTGTTCCTTTCCTGTTAACACATGATCAAAGTCTGTAATATTATCTTTTTTGCTTCATGGCTCTTTTCTCACCTTTTGGCCATACACTAGGCATCTTTTTGTTTACATTTGTTTTGGCAATAGTATTGCTACTGAATGGGGTTAATTCTATGCAGCCGGCGAATAGGAAACGCGCGAGAGAGCTTGAGATGGGAAAGTTGAGCAAAAAACCATGTATTTTTGTGTTTGTTGTTGCTTCCCTTTTCCCCTTACGGTCTAACAAACCTTTTTTATAAACGTAAGTTCATCCTGATGAAAGTTGTAAAATAGATATATTTGAATGCTGTAAAATTAAAATAGAGTTTCCCCTATAGCGAGCCTCGTTTCATGATTTTTAAGATATGATTAAATAAAATTAAAGCATATAAGCCTGAGGCGTCTGAATTCCCCTACTTTGTTTAGAACCATGCATGCTGGGGTGTTTTAGCCTTTCAATCAGAACCACGGAAAATTCTTTTGCCCAATTATGAAACCGAGAATGGAAGACTTCCCTGTCTAAAAATAGCGCTAACAACAGATTCTTCCAGTCTTCGACTCTTTCGAACAGCGTCGATTTTACAATTTTTAGTTAACATTAAGTAACTACACTGCGCAGGGATTTTAATCTTTATTACACAAAAAAAGTTGTCTGATGTTGACGCATACTCTTTTGAGTGCGTGCTAGCTTTCGTCAACAATTCTGTGAATAATACTCCGATTTTGGTTGAAGAAAAGTTATACGCCCGGAACGCAGGTTTCTTCAGTTGAAGACGTTATGTAACTTTTTTATAATTTGTTATAATGTCGTCCTGTAAACTAACTAACTGCTAATGTCACGTATCACCAACGGCTTTTCCGTTCACCATTCATTTTTTGAACAAAGTTATACGCTTCAGGTTTATATAATTCTGGTTCCAGTGAACGTGCGCAAGTCTCAAAGCGCGCGCGCACTCGCGCTGCAAGAGAAAGTGATGTAAGATGATAGCGTCACAAACCTAAAGTTCTTCAACGACTTTTGTTAACGGACTTCGCCTGTGTTTCTTTCGTTTTACTAGAACTAAATTTTTTCTTATGTGATCACGCAGCAACAGGTTTTGTGTTCAATGTACACGATGGCAAAACGTTAAACAGTTGCGGATCAAGCACTTAATTAAAATCTTGATCAGCTGTTCAAGCATCTCATAAAAGCCTTGAAAGTTGTGTAAATGGCATCTGTTACCAATTGGAGTGTTGCTTTGTTGGCGTTAAGTTTCTTTGATTACCGTAAGTTTTTAATCTTATTATTTTTGGTCGCCTTAATTAAAGTAATAGCACAGGAATGGACAACTAGACCTTCGTAGTTGACTGTTTACCGCTCAGTAAAGGTAAGTGTAGTGATGTGCCTTAACGATTAATGATGGCAGACACGAAAAAATTGAAGAAAAACTAAGAGTAAATCGACAAAACTTGGTGTAACTGTTAGCAGTTATGTTAAATGTAAGTCTCCTTTTTGAAATTTAGTTAATATCAATTATGTCATTGCAATGCATGCTATAGTATGACTGACTTCGCCTGGATTAGCTGATTCTACCTGCCGACCAGTCTCTTGTGCGTTGTACAGTCGACTCACTTTACTGCGGACACTGTAGGGACCTCGAGTTGGTGTCATCATCAGCGAGAGTCCATAATAGGGGGAGTTTACTTCAGTCAAATCTCTGTAGTTTATTTTTTCCGGGGATTCAGTGCTGTTATCAGGGTGTCCGCAAGACGAGAGTCGACTGTATTTGCAATTTATATACACCGTATTCACAAATGGCGGACACGCGGGAAAAAACTGGTGCCTAGTCATGAAAGCGAAGACTGAAGTCTTTCAGTGAACTTGCAGAGTGTTTAACACGGATTCCACCTAAAATAACTTTCTACGGACTTCTTTATAAATACAATTACGTGGGATTAGTAGCGATTTGCTGTTTGCAATCAAAAGGGACGCGTATATCTTCAAGGAAACAGAATGATTTTGTGGGTTTCCGAAGCATCAGAAGCTTGACAAGTGGGCGATGGCTGGAAAAAAGCGGCAAACATGTTGACCCAAACTTCACTTTGAAACCGAGTACGAAAGCCAGCTCACTGCAATTCGTTGAAACAGAAATATAAACAAATCTTGGTGGCAAGAAAAAAAGAAATAAGCGACAGATGTATGGCCTACTTGCAACTGTTAATGCAAGAGACGTCTGCCGTTGAACAAAACAGTTCAAGTCGAGATGGAAAAAAGGAAGACAGGAAAGAAGAGGTGACTGAGGTTTCGATGAAGTTATGTTTGGTTTTTGTTTGCCAGGACGTTATTCTCTGGTCCTTATCAATGAAGAACATCAATTAGACAACGGGGTTGACCTTTTTTTTAAGCGGTTTTTCGGAAATTTATTTTTAATGTGCGGAAGCGATCGAGAGGAGTACGCTCAAAATTTCAACTTGTTACTCGGCAAACTCGGTAAGCCGGCCACATATCATTTCAGCGAGTAATTTCGTATTTCTTACCTTTGGCTGTTAAGAGTTTTAACTTTATGTTTCATAATATTTTAAAGTTGAAGAATACATAAATAAATAAAATGATGGTCTTCTTAAACTGATCCAGACTCGAATTCAGTTATTCGAAACAGAAGCTTGCCGTGTTCAGTCCTGACAAAAACATTGCCTTAAAAATTTTACCCTAGTAAAATGTAAGCTTTATACCACTTTTTTACCAAGAGCTCTCTGAGATAATGCCCTAAAAGAAACCAGGCAAATAGCAAGCCATAAGATTCACACTCTACAGCTTCTAATTTTGATAAAATTATTTTTAATTATTTCGCAATGACAAAGAAATCATGAGATGTTTGCTAAGCTCTGCCAACGTACCTCTAACAATTCCCTCCAAAGCGACGGAATTAATCTAATCCAATACAGAACTGTAGTGATCTGGCTTTCGTATTCGGTTTCAGTGTGAAGTTTGGGCCAACATGTTTGCCGCTTTTCTCCAGCGATCGCCTACTCTTCGAGCTTCTGATCGATGCTTCGGAAACCTACAAAATCATCCTGTTTCCTGAAGAGATACGCGTCCCTTTTGATTGCAAACAGCAAATAGCTACTAAACATTAAAAGCAGAAGACATCCCACGTAATTGTATTTAAAAAGAAGTCCGTAAAAAGTTATTTTAGGTGGAATCCGCGCTAAACACTCTGCAAGTTCACTGAAAGTCTTCATTTGCAATTTTTGTTTATCCTCCAACGCCTCGCTTTCATGACTAGGCACCAGTTTTTTCCCGCGTGTCCGCCATTTGTGAATACGGTGTATATTTTTGTAATAAAGTGGGAGGAGGATTATCGCTTACCCAGGCGCTTACTTAGGTTATATTGTAATCTAGGTTCCTCAGCTGTTTCTTTGGTTCAAACGCATTTCCTCTATTGATTTTAATAAAGAATCCAAAAATTAAATTTTAAGCTTTAGGAATTTATAAGAAGTTGCTTAAAGTTTCTACACGTTGAGATGTTATATATACAAATTTCGCACAAATCCTGTGTTATTTTAACCCTGCTTTGAACTAATCCAGTCCCAAAACCCATCTGTCTTTTTTGCTTGTAGCTTTGCTAACTGTCTGCGGAAACCTCAAGCGCAATTGTAGAGAGGTTGAGAAGTACTACAACCAGACAAACAATAATATACAAGATCCAAAATTTGACTTTATAACAAAGATGTTTTTACGTGCAATTGTAGAAGATCAGAGGGAGGATCTTGATAGTAGATGTGCAGGTGAATAATATTGTCACGCTTGTCACACTCTAGTCTGCGTAAAAACCGTTTTTAGTGTCGTCACGTAATGCTCCTCCCCACTAAAGGAGCGTTGCGTGACGACACTAAAAACGGCTGTGTAGCAGACTAGTCACACTCCCCCTTGCCGTCGTATTTCCTCTCCCGTCCTGTTGCGTAAGTTCACTAATAACGAACCGTTCACATGAGAAACCTGAAAACGTTAGCTCGCGATCGGCTATAAGGCGGGTCACCCTTTTGTGATGGTAGGGTCAACATCTAATTGTAAGGCATGCCGGGCCAAATTTTCTCCATATAAACACTTTGTCCACTCGATCATTAGGCGAGACAATCAGAACATGCGCTGGTGCTGTTGACTTGGACAAAAAAAATTAACTTTTTTTCTCATACAAACAAGTTAAGTTTACTCGGTGTGTAGGGTGACCTTGGCTTTCTTCCCGGGAGGGGTTTTCTCCGTATAAACGGTCTAAAAGGGGCCTAAGGTTTTATTCACACTATCTTGCATAACTTATCTTGCCGACACGAAAAGCTGTTCGATATAGTGTGAACAGCAAAGAAACAGAACTGTAACCTCCTATACTTGAACAAGTCGTTCACACACATCGAACATCGTGCCGGAGCGGTTGGCCGTGCACTAAATCCCAGCCCTCACTCCGGAATATTTACTTCCATTTCAGTGGGTTCCAGACCTTACTCCAATTATTCATTTCCGCTATGGTCCGATCTGTTCCCACTAAGACAAAGTGTGGCACAGAATCTATTGGAAGTGTGACGCTTCACTTTCAAGGCCGGCGAGGCGTAGCTTCGCTCCGTTACAGAAATCGCGTCAAAAATCACCGTTCTTAGTGTGAACAGAAGCTCTATCCGGTATGGTTTTCGTTCAAGCGCAAGGGCTATCCGATACAGCGTACACATAACCTGAGTTTAACCACTATTATGCGAATCAAAAGCGACAGGCCTTGACAAGATCTTCGTGAGTGCGCTGACCTTATCGCCTCGTCTGTTTGTTGTATTTTCAATCTTTCTATTACAACAGGTATTTTTCCTGAAGAATGGAAGTGTTCTAAAGTCATTTCACTCTTAAAGCAAGGAGAATGCTCCGACTTTAAAAAATAACTACCGTCCGATCTCTATAATTCCTGTTGTAGGGAAAGTCTTTGAGAGAGTCGTTTATGATCAGTTCTATATGTATTTAACATTTTCCCCCGAAAAATGACGTCTGGGGAACGAGCGCAGAAATTCCATACTGATGACGCGTCACTACTCAGATCTGGGTTGTGCTTCTGATTGGATGAAGCAAATTTCCCCCGCGGTACGACCAATCAGAACCATTACTCAGATCTGGGTAGTGACGCGTCATCAGTATGGAATTTCTGCGCTCGTTTCTCAGACGTCATTTCGAGGGGAAACCAGTGGTGACGTCGCCAAATGTCGGCTGTTTTCTCAGTCTATTTTGCTATTTGTCATAGGGAATTTATATCAGTTTCAGTGCTTTTTTACATACCGTACGAATTTCTATTCGTTATTCGTCAACATTATCAAAACAGGAATATAGCCAAACATGAACAAGCAGTTTTACATTTCCAATCTTTATGTGTAGTTGGGCAAACTCCCGTAAGCGGCCACTTAACCCTTAAATTTCAGTTTGGCCACATCGTAAGCGGCCAGCTCTAGTAACCGTCTCCTTTTTCCCGTCCCGAGGGTGTTCGCTTACGAGATATGGCTTGCACTGTATTTTGAAATCATTTCTGCGAAATTGATCCATGGAGTTCTTCTCTGTCCTGTCATTTGTATTAACTCATGGTTTGACTGTTGATACGCAAATCTTTCAGGTCAAGATCAATGTTCTCTCGGCACGCATGACTGCAATCCCAATGCTTATTGTCATGAGACCCACCTTGCCTACAACTGCGAGTGCAAACCGGGATATGACGGAGACGGAGTCATCTGTGGAAGTAAATTTTACAATTGTCCATAACTCTATATGCTATACATAGGGTTTCACCATTTAACTTAAGTCCAAGCTTTCTTACCTCTTCACGATCTAAGGGAAAACAGCATCAATTTTCTTCGAACAATTTCGATACGCAATCGAGAAAAAAGGTTATGAGGATTTATAAATGATCACCTTGGGTAATAGGTAATCTCTTAAAAGCCCCACGAAGGGAGAGGAGGGAGTTGCCAATTCAAAAGTGCAGAAGCAACCCTTGGTAATTCATTTATTTCATCAATGGTATTGCTAAAAAAAGCTTTAACTGGGATACATAAAGCAGACGGAATAGATGAACATCACAACAATAAGTTCTTTTATATTATTTCTGTTTTTTAGCAATAGACGAATGCGCTACAAACACACACAACTGCCACAGAGATGCTATTTGCAAGGATACCACTCCCTTATTTACCTGCACTTGTAAACTGGGATACCAAGGAGATGGAAAAAACTGCACAAGTAAATATATCACTTTTATTTCGCTACTTTGTTTTATCTGCGAAGTAAAGACGTTAAGATCGAGGTTTGGCCATGTCACCGAAAACGGCCGCGATCTGCGGTTAGCGGGTTTGTGTCACCCCGTCTGCCCATATTTAAGGCTAATCGCAGGTGTTAGCTTGCGGCTGCCATGTTTATTTTCATTCATTCACTTCCTATTCTTTTAACCGAAAAATCGTCTTTAAATTACGTTTCTATGAAAAAGACTCGATAATTGATAAGCCGGAAAGAGCTGTAAAGTAGTGTTTCCTCTCAAATGTGGAATTGTTCGTATAGACGCTGCTTACTGTACATTTATCTATTGCAAGTTTGGTGCATTTACGTAACGTGTTGAAGTTCATTTGAATTTGTTCTATTTTTCTGGTACTTTCTGGTTTTTCATTTTTGGCGACAAGAGCTCATTAATGAATAATTTACAGCTTAGTGTTGTTCTTCTGTGTTATTTTATTCTTGGTTTGCAACAACGTAACAAGGCGGCCATGTTGGGAGTCAATACAATCAAATTTTTTCTCGAATAATTTACATGAAAATTGAGTTTAGTTTCCAGAGGAGAAAAATGGGTTTGTACTTGACCGCCAACATGGCCGCCGTTAAGTCACGTTCGAACCAGCAGTAGGCTGATTTAGCAACAGGACGGGAACGCCATTTGACGACGGGAAAGCGCGCGGAAAGGACTAAACAAGATTTCCGGTGCCCAATTTGCCGCTCTGCAATTGGTCAAGCCAGTTGTTTAATTTGCGCGCGGTCGTCAACTGACGTTCCCGTTTTGTTGCTAAATCCTGAGCCTCATGTAACAGAGAGTCTCTCCTAGGTATCAACGAGTGCTCTCTCAACACCCACAACTGCAGCAAAAATGCTATTTGCACGGATTTAACTCCCTATTTTACCTGTCATTGTAAACCTGGATATAGAGGAAACGGATTCAAATGCACAGGTAAATAAATATCATATTTGTTGTGCCATTTTTTTGTTTTAACGGCGCGCTTGCATACGTCTATTCATGGAAAATGAACACGTCTTTGCCCCTCTGTACGGACAATTGCACCGTGAGTGTGCACAAAGTATTAAACCCGAGTTGTGCTGACATTATCAATGTTTCAGTCTGTTTTTATACTTTGCCAAGGACTTGTGAACATTATTTAGCACCAGAACAATTGAACGAACAGTTTACAGGTCAATTATTTATAACTGAGGTGTACAAAAACAAAACTTAGAAAATTACCCAATGACAGCTAGAATCGCCAACCGTTGGCGGATCAAGTGGGTTGAAGGTGTTGGTCCATACCCCACCCTGGAGCACACCCATTAGGTCGTCGATTGTAGTTTAGAAATTATAGCGGAGCTCCACGCGCGCGCGGGCGAGCTGAGCCCCATTACTAAGAAAATTTGGTAATCTTTCCATCCGAGAAAATTCGGTTATGACGTAGCGTACGTCCGATCGAACATACGTCCACTACATGTAAACCGATGTTATGTCACAAAAGGATTACATATGAAGTTCATGTTGTAGCCAAAAAAAGAAATTTGCGTAATATTTTGCTTCTTTTTAATGTTACTAACCTTCGCAGAGTAAAAAACACAGATCTGTCCCAGCTGGCGGATAGTAGAATAACTGAGGCTATCATTTAACCATCAAGTAGCACTGTTAAGCAACGTGCAAACGGACGCAACAACTCCCAACATTTTTGGCCCAACAATGTTGCGAGCATGTTGCGTCCGTTACTGAGCACGTACCTAAGCGTTTGACCGGTTACAAACTTTGCGCAACTACTCCCAACAACACGCAAAAACATGCAAACGCACGCAACATGTAACATCCAACAATGTCGGGGGTTGTTGGCCAACAAAGTTGTGTCCGTTTGCACGGGGCTTTATTTCTAATGCAAAAACGATGTATTTCAGATATCGACGAATGCAGAGAGGGTCTGCATAACTGCACAGATAAAGAGGAGTGTATAAACACCGGGGGTACATACCACTGCAAATGCCATATGACGGACAGTGATGGTCAATGTCTTGGTAATTAGATTTTTCTTTTGATAATATTTGGACAAATAATTTCATAAATTTGTAAGTTTTATTCCCATGATACTTTTGGGTTTAGCCGGGTCAAGCGCAGCTGTTTCAAACAAGAATATACATATGTCGCAGCTTTTCAGGAGAGGTTTTTATGCATAGAAAGTTATAGCGAAAAGCTGAAGAGTTTTGATTGACCGTAGATTTTGGGGGAGGGCAGTGGGTGGGAGCCCGGGTGATTATGGAGTGGGGGGTACGGGAGGTGGACCAGAGAGAACAGGGCGAGATTTGGTAGTTCTAATGGGTGTGAAGCGGTAGAAATGGAGGAAAATTACGCAACAATGCGTAATACATGAGTTTGCAATCAAAAAATGTCCCAAGGGACGACACCAAGAAAATATCGGCCGGAGCCGGGAACGTAATGTTCGGAAAGTGGGAGGTTTGGAACCCCCCTAAGTCCGCTCCCCTGGTTGCTTTCTAACATGTGGCATTTGTTTGTTGCATTTCAGAATGTGCATTGCCTCTTGGGCTAGAAAGAAGGGACAGTATACTCCACGTAACTGGGCCCTTGCAAGATAGTCGTATGACAGCTTCATCTGAAGAGGATAATTATCCTGCTCATTCAGGACGCCTAAACGAACCAGCATCTGCCTGGTGTCCCAAAATATCCGCTCTTCAAGATCCTGTACTTGCCAAATCACAGTACCTTCAAATAGACCTCATCACGCTGAAAAGAATTCGTGGGATCACCATTCAAGGCCTTGAGCCAAAAAGTGTTGTGAAAATGTATCACGTATATTATGCTGTGGATCCTGGCTCCTTTCGCATCTTCCGCAACAAACAAACTCATGAAAAACTTGTGAGTATTCCGCTCTCGGGGGGTATTCCATATAATACCTGGGGGGGGGGGTATTATATAGCAGGCGTCACCATCACAACCCATGGCAATAGCAATCTTCACTAGCATCAAAATAAGCAACAACATCTCGCCGCCAACACTGTGTTCACAAACATTTATTGTTTATTTCTTAACTGCCCACCACCGCCACCATAATATCATTGTTTCACTATTACTTGTCTTTTGTTTCCACAAGGGTCATCACTCTTTGACGCTAGCAATTTTTTGAACTAATACTGTAATAAACTGAAATATTGTATTTATTTTTGCCTCCTTTTATAACCCGATTAATTCGCTTGATTTAATATGCTGAAAAGTATCTTCTCTTTGTTCTAGAAAGAAACATCTATTTAATGGAATGTTCTCATATCTCTTCAGCTGTTTTTTGGCATTATGCACGATTTTCCGAGTACTCCATCTAGCAGCTGGCTGTTCGATGAATGGGCCATCGTTGCTCGCTACATACGTTTAAACCCTCAAAAGTGGGCTGAGAATCAGTGCATGAGAGTTGAGCTGTATGGATGTGAAGGTAAATGAAGTTCTTCCTTTTCCCTTTGGGGCTTAACTGATCCCCTTCCATTTTTACGTACCTGCCTTCGTAGTCTAGTATTCTTTGATTGTGAGTTGTTGACTGTTTACATTGCCATATGATTCCGTCAGATCATCGAGAATTTGCGCTTAGCGTTACGGGCGGCCTTCTTTGTCGAGTGGAAGAGGTGTCGGTGTCTTTAGCGGTTAGGAGAGGGAAGCTTCCTCCAAAACCGTACCCTTTCCCTATGTAGATTTGATTCTCTACCCAAGGCTAGACCAGAAGCCAAGGATTAAGGAGACTCGCTACATTTGAGATCATGTTGGCCACCTGTCGACGATCGCCATCTTGGAGAAAAGTATGGCACAGTAAATAAACGTTCTAGTGAGTTCTATTTGACAATGCAATAAGGTAGATAAGCGGAGAATTTCTCATAGTTAGTGCTTTGTTTAAAAATTTACTTTGAACCAATAGCTTTAACATCTTTATGGCTAACAAGGGGACATCCCTCTACTCATTCCATTTTCAATGCTGTTGTATTGTTGAACAGGGGACCTTAAGCAGTAATAGGGAGCTTAAGCAGCGACGTTTTTGAGCGACGCACGTCAACCGGAAGTGAAGTATTTTCCCTCTTAACATGCCTTGACGATATAAAATTTGTATTCCTTAGCTTCTTTACTGTTATAGAGGCGATTTGACTGAAAATTTGCGCGAAACCACCGTCAAAAAATGAAAAAAGGCCACTTCCGGTTGACGTGCGTCCCTCAAAAACGTTGTTGCTTAAGCTCCCTAATAAATTAAACAAGGTATCTTTGATCCCTTGATGAGGAAGGGAAGGATTGTCTTGTGACGTTATTACCTGAAACCTGTCGAGGAAATATACATGCAGCAAGCGCGTCTGGCGTTGATTTTTAAGACTCTTCATGTCCTATTCTCCATCAAATTTAGATTGCATGGACTTGAACTGATACAGGTCCAGGCGTTTGCTATTAAAAAAAAACTAAAAATTTCCTCGTGTGAGGTTACATACGTATTGCAGTTCTTTAAAGCTTCTTCTAAATCTTTGCTAGGTGGATATTGTTTCCGTCTCGCACCAACAAAGAGTTTCTATTTATATTTCTTGACACTTAGCGGAATGCACTTCCCCGCTTGGAATGCAGACCGGCGGTATAAAGAACAACCAGCTTGAAGTATCAAGTGAAGCCCAAGGATACGAAAAAGACCACTCCCGTCTTCAGGGGCTAGGATGGTGTGCTTTAACGTCATCCGTCATAATGGCTCCGGGCAAAGTGCCTTATCACTACTTACAGATTGATTTGCTGGTTGCACATTTCATACGCGGAGTTGGTACTCAGGGAAAGCGAACATTACATGAGCAGCCTGAAGCAGTCACTTCATTTTACTTATTGTACAGCTTCATTGGGGATGAGTGGTTCCGTTATCACACGGTATGTGTAAATTTTACGAACAGTTACTCTGCATGCCCCAAGGAAGAATAATGCACCAATAGTGGATTACCCTTTCTTCCTCTGCACCAAGTTACCTTTGTATATTTTACTTACACCCGTTTGGTATAATCTGACAGGATGTACTGCTCTGTTGATCACGCTTACTCATAAAAATGTACGCCCTGTCAGCTATTTAAAAAAACGCCCTGAAAACCTTACTCTGCTCAACGACACCGGCCAGTTGTTGTGCAAGTGTCTGTCCCCTCCCCTCCCAGGCCTTGGACTGATACACGGTGAATATGGGTTTGCCATTCATTTGGTCCTCAGGTTGTCCAATTTAAACACCTTAAAAGCTATTTCCACTGGATAAATCAGTATCTAGTGGATAACTATCGGAACAACCAATTGCGTTCTCCACTACAAATACATTAATCCAGTGCATAGCGTTAAAAAAATTTCTGTTATTTACCCTCGGTAGTATTTATAGCACTAATGCTAGTGGGGCTGAGCAAATTCCTGAAACAAATAATACAAATCGAACATAACAGGGTTAAGAATCCCAACAGGCCGGAGGCAAACCAGTTGGTTATTTACAAATGTGGTCGAGGATTTGAACTCGGGACTTCCGAGAACAAATCCAGCTAGCGGTCAGAGTAGGACTTGAACTCGGAGCCTCCGAATCGCAAGTCAAGCGCTCTATCAGCTCGGCCGCGCTGAAACACCCCACCCCATTCCCTCCCTCCCACGCCGCGTTATCCACCTCAGTTTGAACAATTGGGGCCAGATGACATTTACGTCTTTCTTGATCAAAAATGTAGATGCTAACGTTATATTGACAATTGATCCATTACTATATTACAGCTTTTGGAGGCTGAAAACTGTTATAGATGCTTAGGTTACATTGAAATTTAATCCTTTACTTTGTTACAGCTTTTGGAGGCTGAATACCATGGTAATTCTATCACATATTTCTGGTTGGATCCCCCTTTAGTGACAAGGCTTATTCGCTTTAATCCGCAATCATCAAGGTCTCCTGAGCATGTCTGCATGAGAGTGGAGATTTATGGATGCTCCTACAGAAGTAAGGATTCTTGTTTTTGTCAGAAGAAATAACCATGCCAAGATCATGTACTCGAAGCAAATGGCTGTTTTTTAGCTCCCTGTGAGAAGAGCCTTTCACTGTCTTCTTGAAGAAAGCAGAGAAAAAATAGAATGGGTTTTTCGCGAAGCTTTATACTCTTGAAGTTATAGCTTGAGAAAACAGTCGACATTTCGCGAAGCCACCGCTGGTCATTCCCCACAAAATGACGTGTGAGAAACGACTGCAGATATTGCATGCTGATCGCGTGTCACTATCCAGATCTAGTAGTACTTCCGATTGGTTGTGCCAAGAGGAAAATTTGCTTCAACCAATCAGAAGCACCACCCAGATCTTGGTAGTGACACGTCATCAGTATGGAATTTCTTCGCTCCTTCCGCAAACGTCATTTCGCGGGGAAACCAGTGGTGACGTCACGAAAAGTCGGTTGTTTACTCAGGATATTGAAGTTACAGATACTTGATTTTGGATTTTCCACTAAATAGGTAGACCATATCTTACAAACTACTTGGCGCTTGGAATGGAGAGTTACAAGATCAGTGATAGACAGCTGTCGGCATCTTCACAAGTGAATGGCTCATACGCTGCGCTAAACGCACGTCTGAATCACAATCTTCAGGGTGGAGCTTGGATTCCAGAAACATCAGAACGTTCAGAGTATCTGCAGATTGATTTAGGATGGGTGTCAGTCTTGACTGGAATTGCTACGCAAGGACATCCCGAGCAACCATACCGCACCTTAACTTACAAACTGAGGCACACAATAAGTCTCGATGAGGCTTTTACTACATATCTAAAGGTTAATACGGTCTTGTCTTCTTTCCTCTCGTCCGCAGAATCCTTATTAACTCATTAATCAGTTAATGAAATTGATTATTTAATCCCGTTATTTATATTTTCATTTTTGGTGTTTTTACAATGCCTTGATCCCAGAGTTTTTTCTTCATATTTTTCTACGCTTGAGAGAGAACGAGCCTCGAAGCTGCATTTTTCATGGCTTCGCCAAAAAAACAAATCAAGAAAAACCTTTGTGAGCAGGTATTTTGCAGCCATAGTGACTGAATCTGTAAACAGAACTCTTCTTTATCAGTAGTGGTCGTTCTTCTTGTTTATCAGGAATTTTGGAGCAAATTTTAATTCTTATGTATTGTCTAATAACCCTCTTTGCTTCTGTTGTTTGCACAAGGAATTTTTTGGAAATGTTGAAGAGGGATCTACAATGTATGAAGTTCTTGATCCAACCCGATGTCGTTATTTACGAGTACAAACTCTTGGCTGGTCTGAAAAAGTGTCACTGAGAGTAGAACTGTATGGTTATAAGGAAGGTAACAATCACCACGTGTATAATCTTTGCCAAATATACTTTTGACCATTTATATAGAATAACATTTCGCCCGGGGCAGCACCCGTGGTATACATGTATAAGTGGTTAATTGTAGTCGGCTTGAAAACGCTGTTTCAATCAAGCATCACTTTAAACAGTTTAAACAGCACGATTATGTAATCATACTGCTACCACACACCGTTGACCGACATGGGTCCGGTCAAATTTTTGAACGGACGAATGTTTTACCTGTGCTGACCAGCCGTCTACACGGAACCGTCTGCAAATTCTGTTGCATAATTATTTCAGTACTGTTTGCCGTTTAAAATCTTGCACGGTTCCGCGGGTCTCTTGTACACGAAAGTCGGATCCGTGCGAGTTTTTTGTCCGTTCAAAAATTTGTTCGGACCAGTGTCAACGGGGTTCCAGAATCCTTCAGGGCTTTTTGTCTTGACTGTGCAAATTAGGGCTTTTGTTATTCAATACTTTGGGTTGCCAAATTTAAATTTGAAGGACAAAAAGGAAATGAATTCTGGTCTAAATTATGTCCCATTCACACCAACTAAACATGTATAATTAAACCAGGTTTGAAAAAAAAACAAACACTGAAACCCGAGCATGTTTTGGAATTTGCACTAAATTTGGACAGTTGACAATCAACTTAAGTCAATATACAGCGTTTATGATGGAAACAATTTTAAACCATGTTGAGCTAAACAGTCTTTAAACATGTTTAAGCTTCAGGGTGCAGTGAATGGGACTTTAGTCAAACAGACGTCTTCGCGCAAACGGCCCATTAAGAAATTTTATCTTTTTCTTTTTAAGAATGTTCTGATCACCTCAGATCGATTTTCAGTGCTTCATCCAGTGCAGGTTTTAGTTTACCAGGATATGGCTACCTACATTCGGGGCTTGGATCTGGTGCATGGTGTGCTCAGGAACATAATGTTAACCAATATTTCCAGGTCTGAAATAGCACTAACTCTGCTTATAGACTTACCTGATGACTTTATGGTTTATGACATAAGTAAAGTTGCTCCCGAATAAACAACATTGACCAGGAAGGGGGGGGGGTAGAAGGGTCATCATGGTGCCGCCGAATTCTTAGGGTGGGTCTCCTGTGAATAAGAAAGTGCAAAATTCTAAACACTTTTTTGTCCGAGATTGTAGGCTCATGTGACAAACATCCTGCCTACTACCAACACGGGAATGTCGATACGTGTCTATGCAATTGATGATGAAAATGTGAAATTTTAAGCCCGATGAATATATGAATAAAGAAAGTGAGCAACTGATTTAGTTTTTGACGACATCATCAAACTCACATTAATTTTCCGTGCTCCCTTACTGAATAAAATATCCATTCAGTATATTTTTTTTGGTTGGTTTCAGGCAAAGCTTTCTAGTGAGAGTATTGTTACTGGTGTGGCAACTCAGGGTCAAAAATCTTCCGACAGTTGGGTTAAGTACTTTTCCTTGGATTACAGTCTAGATGGTCGTGCATGGATTCAGTATGCCGGAGGAAAGGTCAATTGCTTTACTTTAAATAAGATAGTTATGATTTAAATCGAAGCCACGAAACAAGAGTAACAAGGGCACAACGATAAGCGACGAAGCTACAAAAATGAGCGTTAAGGCCACGAAATGAGTATTATTTCTGCCCTATTTATGCCTTATTTTCATTTATTAGACTTCGCGGATAGCATATAATCATGTGTCAATTATTCACAGTTGTCGGTTTGACTAACTTTAGTTGGAGTCGGCCCCACCCACCCACCCACCAGTTCTGCTTACATTATTAACACCTTCGAACTTGCTCGTCTGGGGTTACTTCCCCACAACTAATGCTTATAAGACATCACGCACAAGCTTATAAAAGAAAGGTTGGTACCTCAAAAAAGCGCTTTACCGAACTCTAACCGTAAGGAAGTGATTTTGAGGAGATGAGCACCCCGTATTGGAGAAGACGTTATACAGGGCGTGAGAAATTATCTTTGCTTGCAAAGATCGCCTAGGCACGATTTTTTGTAGCCTGCGAACGCAAACGTATTTCCGGTCGTCGCTTGTCTCCACCGGGAAGGAGAGAAGCGACGACCGGAGCAGTACGTCTGCGTTCCCAGGCTACAAAAAACCCGCCACGCTCACGGGTAATAATTTATGCGATCCGTCACTTCTGCCGAATTTCATCCCCTAAACCGCATGTTGGAGGAGACTGACCGAAAACTGAGCGATTAGTAAAAATCAATTCGGTCTGCCACGATTAACAAAATCGGACGACCGCGTAACGGGAGTATTTGATCCGAGTATGATTACAGACCGAATTGGACGACACAAAGTTCTGAATTTCATCCCTATTTTTTAAAACCGCGAAATTTTGTTTTGCTAGCAGTGAAAAAAGGGGAGACGTGATGACTGTCCTTAGGCAAAACTGATTTAACTGTCCAATTAAGGCTGAAATCAGGGCAGTTGATAGCCAATCAGATTTGACAATTTTGTTATATTTATGATTAACGCATTAACCGGTGGTTAACTGCAGCATGAATTTCAGGTGATTACGGGGAATGTAGACAGGAACTCCACTGTTTTTCATTTCTTCTCGACTTCACTGATGACGCGATATTTGCGCTTCCATCCACAAAGCTGGCATAACAAGATTTGTATGAGAGTGGGAATTTATGGTTGTGCTGTGAACGGTAAGTATATTCTCCTCTAAACAAGAACACCATTTCGCAGTAACTACTTTTAACCCCGGGGGGTGGACTCCGCATATGAAAGGGGTGGGGATGCTCGTCGTCTCGCTTAGGGATGTAAATTTCGGATTTTGGTCTCGCTTAGGGTGTTCTGGGCAAAACGCCATCATATTTAGCCATGAAGGTCTTATTTAGGGTTGGACGTTAAAAAATACAGAAATATTATATTGTCTGTGTTTTAACATGGTCTCTTTTAGGGGTCAGCAAAAGCTTGGGCCACGCCTTTAGGGGTTTAATTCAAAATTTCCGACGAGCATCCCCACCCCTTTCATATGCAGAGTCCCCCGGGCTTTTGACAACACATAATAAGGGTTTGTAATGTTTTTAATGTTTTTTAATGAAAACCTGTTGTTATCCGGATCTACAGTCAAATCTAGCTCTCTTAACGGACATCTCTTTAAGACGAACAACTTGCTAAAAAGGACACCTGTCTATCCTTACTCCTTTTAGTTGACTTCCTATAAGAAGGACATCTTCTTATATAGGAATCTATTTACTTGAAAAACCACATGAAAATAGATTCTTCAGGAGCCAAAAGTCTGTGAAGATCATCTGAAATAGTGAGATTTGAAATACCTTGAAACTTTTTAACGGTTAATACTACTCTGCATTTTTTACGGTTGACGGTTAAACTTTAGGCCGTGTGACGGCTGACGGTTAACCTCATTGAGACCCTCAAAGAATAGTATATATGCGGTCTTGCAAACTATCCTCAGCAGCTTTAATGTTTGACTGTTTTGTTGTTATTTTATCAGACCGTAGGGCTGTATCGGCCGGGCGCCCATCAGATGTTTCAGATTGTGCCCACTGTAATGTTAATGCGAGGTGTATCAGTAGCCAAGGCAACACTGGACGCTGTGTTTGCAAACATGGATTTGTTGGAGATGGTAAAAAATGCGAAGGTACCTCATGCACGCCCTTCATGTTTGGAGCCTTTTTTGCCCTTGTAAATAATATACTTGCCTAAATAAGGGAGGTAGGCGTGTAAAACTTGCTGTTCAACAGAAGACGATGATGGTTTTGTTTCAATGAATAGTTTGGTTTACTGAGCAGACACCAGGCGGGGTTAGGAAGCAGAAGTTATTTGTATACAACAACTTTTGCTGTTGTTTTCAAACTCTGAAGGGTATACTAGTTTCTTTCGGTAATTCACCCAAGATTTGTTCTCCGCCCAGTAAGAGGGAAAAATACGAGGAAAAGATTAATAGATATTTTAATATCAATTGATCTCTTCATCTGAATTTTTTACTCTTATTAAAATAAATTTTATTTGGTAGCAAGAGTGTTTATCTGGATTTCCAACCGCACAAACTCAGGATCTGGACGTCTGTGGTTCAAGTAGCCTCGCACTTCGCGTTGTTTTCTTAGGCAAGGAACTTTACTCCACTTTGTCTCTCTTCATCCAGGAGTATAAATGGGTACCCGCGACACGCTAATGGGGGTTAACCCTGCGATGGACTAACATCCCGTCCAGGGGGGAGTAGCAATGCTCCTAGGCATGCTTCATGCTAAGGAAACCGGGATAAGCTCTGGCCGTTCGGGCCTTTGGCTCATGTGCTCCTTAGTTTTAAAATATCTTCACTTCGTTACAACAATAATGCAGCATCACTTGCCACTGTTGACCACAAACTTTTATGTCTGACAGATCGAGATGAGTGTTCAAGTAGCATCTCACCTTGTCCAGAACAGGCAGATTGTGAGAATGCGGTAGGATCTTTTCGCTGCCTTTGTAGACCAGGATATAAAGGAACTGACTCACAAAACTCCTCGTGTGTAGGTAAGAAACTAATAAATCAAGCTTAACTTTTTTTGACTTTTGATTTCTGATTCTTGTTTGGAGTGGAAGAAACGACATGTTCGTAAATCTTTTCCTTCTTATGCCATTTTAATGGAGAGCTTTAGATTTGAGGAAGGAAACGACTACGAGCACGAGATTTGAAGCTTTTGCGCGTGTTCTCAAACAAAAGACACCCTGGAAAGCTTCATTTATGTTTTTTTCTTTTTTCACCAAAAACGTTAGCACGGTTATTCATACTGAAGGAGGTTAATCTCGCGATAGCAAAATGATAAAACGTCTTACATTTGAAAACTTTTTCCCGCTACTCCGACATTCTTGCTAAAACTTGGGTAGAATGACGACGACTATCACGTTTTCCCGCGAAAATGAAGGTGCCTTACGCAGGCGCACTTCTTACTATTGAGAAAATCTCGTACTCGTAGTCGTTTTCTTCTCAAAATCTAAAGCTCAGACAATGACTTTTTTGGGGGAAGGGGAGGGGGTAAACAAGGTCTACAGTGGGCATTATGAAAGTGGTGATCTAGTAAGTGTCGTTTTATGCTGATGAACGGACGAGGGGAGCTTCGGAGACGAGGATGAAGCGCGTTAAAAAGCAGTAATGATCTCATGGACCTCGAAATTGAGAAAAAAACAAATACTTTGATAATTTTCTGGAAAATTTTTAAATAGTTATAGTTTAAACTGTCCAAGTAACATCTTACAACAAATTAGCGTATTTTTGCTATCCTGCCATCTTGGACGTTGAAACTACCAGAGAGTTGGGGCCACGATCAATTTACCTCTGAGTTTTCGAACGACAAATGGGCTCTTAAAATGCTGAAACAGTTTGTCGTGATCGAGGCTTATATAACTGGCTATTTTTGTGTGTGTTTTCTCTCGTAGATATTGATGAATGCAAGATTTCTGGCAGCTGTTTCAGGGTTGGCTGCATCAACTTTCCCGGCTCATTTAAATGTGACTGTGGTATTACGGGACTGTTTTACGACCCACAAGATAGGCACTGCAAAGGTATAGTAACCATTGCGAATGAGTTGTTACAGTCAAAATATTAAATATGTGAAAATCAATTCAAATGTAGGAACTGTGGGATGTAAATATAAATGAAAGAACTGATATCGCAGTTACACGTATACATGTATACGCGACGTTTGCAGTTGCGAAAAGAAGGCTTGAAATTTAGGCTTGTACGGTGCAGCAAAGTAAATAATATTCTCTTCTTTTGAGGAATCTTGAGGAATTTTTGTTTATCCATTTGTTTTTTTACAGACATAGATGAGTGTTCTGACGGCAGTTTCGAGTGCAACCCCCTTGCATTCTGTATCAACACGTATGGCTCATACGCCTGCATATGTTCAGACGGATATAAAGGTGGTGGTAGAAGGGTTTGTGCTGGTATGTCCGTTCACACTGTCTAAACATCCCTCGCTGCATCTCGTACCGGAATTATAGGCTGATTTAGCAACAGAACGGGAACGTCAGTTGACAACGGGAAAGCGCTCGGAAAAGACTAAACGCGACTTCCAGTGCCCAATTTGCCGCTCTGCCATTGGTCAAGCAAGTTGTTTGATTTGCGAGCGCCGTCGTCAACTGACGTTCCCGTTCTGTTGGTAAATCAGCCTAATAGCAAATGCTGAGAGCCGTTTTCAAAAGATTTTTTTTCAGTCATTACTTTCGATCAGCATGAGAATCAGGTTGCAGCCATTCTCATCTAGATAACATAAAAGAACGTTTTATTGTTTCGATTTCAGATGTAAACGAGTGTAGACGGAGACCTAACCCATGCGGCAACACTACTGTTTGTCAAAATACCAAAGGATCATATCGATGCGGTTGTAGGGCTGGTTTCATTTGGCAGAACAACACGTGTGTCGGTCAGTGCGGATTACATATCTTTTAGCTTGGCTAATTGATAAATTTTCTATCCAAAATTGCATACCCTAACCCTCCCCTCCCCCTCCTCGGTGGATTGCCCTAGCGTGGTGAACTTTCAGCCTTCATATATATTAACCTTTCGCACCAAAGTGGTCTCAGCCAATCAGAGAAGAGTAGGATTTTTCACTGCAATGGCTGATGGGTCAAGCGTTATGCGTTGCTGGTGATAGACCATTTCCCAATTGCCCCATCTGTGTCAAGTTGAGGCTAAGTGCCGAGCCGGCCATTGATTTTTCATTCCTATGCAAAGAAAACTCGTTTTCCTCAAAAAAGGTTTTGCTCTTATCCTCGTTTTGAAACTTAGAGTTTTTGGAACTCGGAAGTGGCCTCTAGGCCCTCACCCTCTCGATATCCACTTCAGTACAGTGTAATGTAATTCTTTGGGTAGGTTATTTATTTATTTATTTATTTATTTATTTATTTATATAGTAATACAAATCCATTTCTGTTGTTTTCAGACATTGATGAATGCAGCATCGGAGCATTTAAGTGCCGAATTCATACTGCGTGCGTCAATACCATTGGATCTTACACCTGCAAATGTAAACAAGGCTTCTATAGCAATGGACCGCATTGTCTTGGTAAGAACTTCCAAGTTTGTGTATGTTCATCGTAGTTGCTAATTTGAAAGAGGCAAATACAATGATTTTGGATTCTTCAGGTCTAGTGCAGCTAGTGCTTAGCAACAATACTCTGTAGCTAGCGATTTCATACGGATGTTTCCGATGTTTACTTCGAATGTTTTCGATCAAATTTGTTGTTGACGTGGATCGTGTTCCATAACGTGGCACCTAAGGTGGCTTTCGCGTCATAAAACGACTGCCTCTGTAGCATTACTGAGCAATAAATGATATTCCAATTTAAAATTTCTGTTTTTATCATTTTTTCTTTTTCAGATTTCAATGAATGTCTGAGAGGTAGTGCTGATTGTCACGAAGACGCATGGTGTGCGAACACTGCGGGCTCATATAAATGCTTCTGCAAAGAAGGGTATCATGGGAATGGAACCAGTTGTGAAAAGTGAGACTTGCGCACATAAATTTGCATGATGTATAGTTTCAAACAATGATGTAGTTTTTGTTCTTTTTTTCGCACAAATCAATACCTTGTTTCCAAATTGATATGTTTCGGATATCGGCTTGAAATCTTAGGATATATATTGCTGTCTACATATTGACGTCTTTAATTAGACTTGTCGCTTCCTTGTCGTTTAGTTAAAGGGATACCTGACCGCGAATTCTCTGAATTCTCTCCGTTTTTAGTGTCTTTTAAACGGTTTTATACAAAAATTCAATTTCAGCGCCATCCCGACATGATGCAGCGAAACGATTTTGTAGCGAAACGACCGGCTAAAGCAACTCTTTTTGTTTTACTTAGAGATGAGTGATTAATGAAGATCAACTAGTGTAGAAGGTAGTTGGAAGAAAACAAAGTCAGACGTTCTAATGATACGTTTGGAACGGAAACTACGCACTGGAAAGAGACGAAACCTGAAGGTCCAAGTGGCCATGATCTTCTCAGAAAACCGTGTGGTGGGCGACTGTAGTAGATTATAACTGTTTACGTATTACAGTAAATTGCATGCAAGATAATCAGTGGTCATCTATAGAAAGAACTGGATGTGTATATAAGCCAACCTGTACGAGCCTTGTCATCATCATCGCCTTTACGGGCAACCGACCGTTGTATCTTGCAGTAGTTCCTAATCCTTAAAGATCAAAACACTTGCAAACGTACGATCTCCTAAGTCTCGTGATACAAACTTTGCATTTCAGTGGTATAAGTCTACTGAAAGCAGAGATGTTTTGAAAAATGGACAGAGTTTATGACTACATTTTCCAAGCTTTTTGACACTATGCAAAATCTTGAACAGTGAAAGAAAGATTTGTCAATGGATTAAGACTTCAATAGTCAGGGTGAAACTGAGTGGTGAGCTTTAGTGTAAATGAATATAAAATCCGAAATGGTATTCCTATTTTACCGCTAGACGCACGTATTGATATTTTTGAATAAGATTTTGCTGGAAATTAGGTAGCAAGTAATTAATTTATGTGCATTGATGGATATTAAAAAAATTCCTATAGATAATGCGTACGCATAATATCAATTTTAACAACTGCAGTGAATAGCTCATAAAAACGTGAGATAATACAGAGATTTAAAGTCACGGGTACGGCAAATGGCAAACGTGAACTTGTACCACGTGACCATATTTTCCCTTTACTTGTCTTTTACTGTTTATTATTTCTACTCAAAAATGAGAAGTTTCAAGCCATTTTTATCCATAAGTGAACTGTTTTGGACAGTTTCTATCCGCTCATTTCCTATTTTGAGAAATTCTCAACTTGAAAGTGACGTTTATCCTTTGCCGTAAACGTCATTCAGTCTAAATCTCTCCAGTGAGCTTTGGCGGAGTCTGCGAGCGGGTAAGGTAAAGCAATTGGGCTTCTGGATAAAGCGAATCCTGCGTGTATCCTGAATGGCTACTCAAGCAGCCACAATGCCCTTATCTGCCCCGTTCGGAATTTCACGCGCGCACGCGCGCATTGGTCCCACATGAATGCATTTTCTTTTGACTGGCAAGTTGTAGATTGACCAGGTTTGTCTGGCCAAAATGGTCAGATATTGACCGCTTTCTTTTTAGTTCCCGTTGGGCTTGCTCTCAGGTCCTCACAGTCAGATAATTTCGCTCGAAGACGTACCTGGGAATTAAATCTGAGGCTAAAGAACCAGGCAAATAACAAACAAAGACAAAAATCCCTGAAACAACGTTAATTAGGCGATCATCCGTTGACTGTTTTTAATTTTAACTTTCTTTTTGCCTTTTACTTATAAACCCGAGCAAACGCTCACAACACACCGAGGAATGTCGATACGCATGCGCGCGGAAGCACGTGCAGAAGTTTGCAGGTCACTGCATATCACGTTGAATTACCGTTTGTTGCATCACGAATTCGAAGGCAACAGCTGTTCATAACAAACGTTTTTACTGTTATCATGCTGTTGTTGGCTGCAAAACTGCATTTTAAGGCCAAATTAAACAGGAAATAAGACTAAAACGTGGAACGAAGAAGACGCTACAGGTAATCAATCGCTCTAGTATCGTAAAATAGAAACCACGCGCCCAAATGGTCAACAGCAACGATAATATTGTACAGGCTATTTTCATTTCTGGAAAGCCGAGTGAGGTAACCAGAAGTATTTTAAAAAATTACTTAAAAACCCAACGTTCTAACACTAGTTTTCGGGCTCAGCTCACCTATCACAACAACCACAACAAAATGTGCTTTTGTGTAAAACAACTTTTATTGAGACTCAGATCATGTTCCAGATTTTTAAAAAAGAAAAGATACACTTGTCAAAATCCTGAAGAAAGAAGAACATGTAGGATATCTGCAGAAAAATGAACATAATGTCAGTGGCTTTCTTCAATGTTCATATTACACTGCCTTTTGCCCGAAGGCTGCTTGTGAAATGTCCCGATGAAAATTTCTTGTCTGAACTAAACTTCCCAATTGTGGAAACTGTTAAATAATAAGCTTCAGTTCTCAGGGAGGTCAGACGGATTTTGTCAACAGCGAATTTGGCTGCTTAAACTCCGGCAACACCAACAACATTAGGCGATTGACCTGCACCAGAAACTCATAACGGGTTGAAACGTGTAACTCTCATATGTTTGCTTTGTCCGATGCTCGTGATTATTCATTTTCGAAAGTACCATATTTGGAACGAGAAGAAGAGACAACTGACCAATCAAACTTTGTAAACAACGTGACGTAATTTTAGTTCAGGTTCCCGCGCCCGCTTGAAAAAAATGGCCGGCAAACGGGGGAAAAACTCCCGAAAGCCGAGAAAGCTTTCAAAGGTCGAAACAAGGAATCTTACCGAAACACTGAGCAGGACATTATTGCCCGGGCCAAACATAACATTATGAAACCCACTGACGTCCTCGCAACTTCTTGAAGTTGTCACTTCAAAAAACGATGACTCGTTGACCCTCTGCACAGTAACTTATACTGCAAATAGGCTTTTAAAATTCTTATACTAGAAGTCTAGAATAAACAGTAAAAAATATTTCCGAATAAAATTCATTAGCTGCGTATCGAAAAGTGTCCAAAACCTGAACCTGACATCTTCGCGAAAAGTGATGCGTGTAATGAATGTGAGAAGCATTTACGCATTCAGCTTGGATGTTGTAGTCACGGTCGTGACACGTTTTGAGCTAATTTCATGATGAATGAACAAACTCAAAACAATAGACAGAGAAGCCGTTTCTTGAAAATTTTTATTCAAAATCCAAAAAGTTAATCCTTTAAAGCAATTCGGAAAACACTATCTCGATCGTGGATTCGTTCACGCAAGTGAAATCGGCTGAGCACATGGCAAAATTCAACACAAAATCCATCTCAAATCGGGGCACATTTTGTAATTTTTCTTTAGCGTCGAAGAGAAAAATTTATAAAACGTCTATGAAACATTTAAAAATACACAAATTCCCTTTCAAAAACGTAATTGTCTTGGCCATAGAGTGCAAAATGTACCTGAAAATTCAGCAAAAACTTTGCTGCCTTGGTGGCATTTCAAAACAGACCATGCGCTCCGTCGTGGAGAAAACAAGGTTGAATTTCTCGAAGGACGATTTCTTGATGAAAAGCTTCCCTTTCTTCACAAAAAGAAAGCTGAGCATTCTTTTGAACTTTCTCTTTCCATTTTTTGTCTTTTAAAGGTGTACTTTTAACCTTGAAATGCAGAACTCTTGTCTTAAAACATCTGCATGGTGATCGCGCGGCAGCCATTTGTTGAAAATGGATATCTGTCACTAAGGTTTCCAAATAAGGTAAAAGTGAATATTCACGAGCATATTGAACGCGAGTTACACGTTTCAAGGCCCTTAAGAGTTTCTGCCTGCACCCAAATAAACCTCTTATTTCATTGGTGCTTATAACCTTCACTACCTACTATTTTCATGGATAGGGGTATTTTTATCCCATCATCCCTATTGTTTTTCCAGCCAATCACAAACCTCGTTTGGATTAGGTGCAGGTCGGGTCACGTTAGGAAGTTTAAGCAAAGGTGTCTTTGAGTGATGCAGGTCAACCGGAAGTAAGGCGTTTTCCCTTTTAATCGATCTTCCCGTTGCTAAATTTGTAACACTTAGTGCCAATGCTCCTACGACTTGCCCAGAAAATTGGCAGGAACCATTGCCGAATATTGCAAAAAGTCCACTTCCGGTTGATTTGGGTCTCTGGCTGAAGACTTCAAGGAGCCGTTTTTTGTCGCTACGACACACGAAACGGCTGCGTGCGGTAGGGAACTACATTATTTGCAGGCGCGAATCCACACCGGTTTCCACCGTTTTACGAAAATCGGTCATATTTTTCATAAACAAATATACTTTAAATAAAAAGAACTTTCCAAGTTGAAATCTGGCCAATATCCTGTCTGAATGACTCAGAAACCCAGGAAAGGGGACTTCAGGGAGATAAAATCCAAAAAATTTCTCGAAGGTGCATGCTCTCGGATCCCCCTGGAAGTTAGGAAATCGGTCAGTACTTATCCTGGTTCCGCGCTTGATTTGCATTCTTAACGTACACAATGGATGACAAATAGTTTAAAACAGTTTTCTCTTTAGGATGCTTTGAAAACGATTTGTTACACTGTACTTACATGATCATCGACATCCTTCGCCACCCCAACCGGGGTCAAATCCATCGCCAATCTTGCCGGGAGGGCACTGGCATTTAAACTTGAAAGGATGGTCATTGACCATGCATTTGGTACCTGGCTGACACAACAACGTTCCAGCGAAGATATAGCCGCCCCAACAGGGTTTCAATGGCACTGAAATGTTAGCCATCAATATTTATGAGAATGATCATTTTGATGAGCGATAATATACCTTTGCCACCATATGTGCCTTTTAATTGGATTGTCTGAGGCGTTTTTTGTTTTATTCAGGTTTCCGTGGGCTTTGTTATGTTTCCACTCATTTGACGAGAACTGGACGTTACGAAGTCTCGTCTGTGGTCTTTATAGACCCTAGAAGAGACTTTGTAACGTTCAGGTCTCCTATTTCCTGTTTAATTTGGCCTTTCTCAGGGGTGTACTACACGTAACCGCCTATACAGGAAGGTTCCGCCCTAAAGGAGTACATTTTTCAGACTTCGGGTATATGAGAGGGTGACTGAGAGGGTAGGGATTACACTAGTTTAAATATATGAAAGGGTAGGGACATCTGTCATTTCGGTCGTTGATAGGAACTAAAATGAATGACAGATGCATTTTATGTCTGTGAAAGAGTCGAAGAAACGTTCTAGTTTTGTCATTTGTGTTTTTCCTTTTTATCTTTTCCACGCCAAGTTCGTTGTAGTTTTTAAGTAATCTAATTCTAGTTTATTTTGTTATTAGTTTTCGAAACCACTTCGTTAAACCGCTTTGTTATATCGCTTCATTTCATCGCTTCGCTAGACAACGCTTCACGCCGCTATACCGTTTTGTAAAGTATCGGCTACTTTACACCGCTTCACGTCGGTTAATAAAGGTTTTATTATGAACATTGAAGCGCGTTAAGAAATATCTGACTAACCTGGGGATCAAAGAATTCACTTATGCATACCTTCCTGTGAGGAACAAGTAGCAAGTACTTAACGTGGTTCTGCTCTCACACTAGGTATGTGAAACGGGTACCATTTGTCAATTGAAGGTATACAAAGGGCTACCTTTCCTGTCAAAAACTGATGTGTGAAAGGGAGGGGCTGGACCTCAGGGCGGAGCCCCAGCGTATAAAGCTTTCTTGAGTACCCATTCCCCCCCCGCCCCCGGGAGTAAATTCCACATACAATATCCTACCTATATAATTCCTTTTTATAAATATAGGCCCCTATTCGAAAAGCTAGCATCTTATATCTTGGGAGTTAAGCCTTAACGATAAGCCTTAACCCAATTACACGTGCAATTATCATCTGACCTTACCTGCTGATGTCCACATGCCTGGAGCCCACGGCTCAGGATCTGCATCTCCTAGTAAAAAATTAAACAACAATCTGAGCGAAATTACCTCAAAGTGTAAAGTTGTATAGGTCAGAAATACTTGTACAAATACAAGCCTTGTACAGTAGCTCTGGGAGGACTAGACTTACCACTCCTTAACATGTTAACTGTATGTTCTTTGAATTTTTAGTGTGGTCCGAGTTGGTGGTTCTTGTCAGTAAAGATATTGCTCATGACTCTTGAATTATACATGTTATCACTAGATTCCTAAAGGCCGATTTAGACGGTACGATTTTTGCTTACGACTATCGGGGGCGACTTGCATACTTCATGACTTTCGACCATCCCCACGCGCACAATTTACACCTACGACATCCCCAATGTGTCGTAAGAATGTGGTAGGTCTAATTTACACGACACGATCTGTCCTGAAGTCGTGACACATGTTAGTCGCGCACGATATATCGTACCGTCTAAATCGACCTTAAAACGTCTACAAAGACAAGCCAGTATCTAAATACTTGCAGTGTTACTAGATATGGCATTTCATTCTATAATACGGCAGTTTCATTTTCTAAATCATTTGACGTAATCTTTGACACGCTTGGTGATACAAATGGTCTTCATTTGCTGGAAGTTTTATGTTGTGTGGGTTGTTTTGAGTTCCTTTTTCTAACAGTTCTCATGGCAACAAACAAAATCTCCGAAGCAGTTTAAAATTTATATATCACTCCACTGAGGACGCCATGTTGGCACCAACATAAATATCCACTTTGATAAACAGTTTTAATAAAATCATCTGAGGTATACATACATGATGGAATTAAGTTCACAGTTGTCTACAGTGGAGAAAGATGATAACTGCCACAAGAGCCGTCAAGTTATGTTATCATATTAAGTCCATATCTGAAATTCTAGTATATAAATGTCAAATTACTGAATGATGCACCTACTTTTTTCAACCAGCATTTTAGAACCTGCAAATAAGAATCACAAAAAGAAAAAGGTTTAGTAGTTTCTTTAAGAACATACTACTGAATATTGTGATTTGCCTGCATTGATTCAAATTTTAACTGGATTTGCTATCACTGTACGATATTTGAGGCAAAACAGCCTGTAGTCTTTCACGGGAGCTCTCTACAAAAGTAAGCTGCATTCAAAATTACTCTGCAATGAATCTGTTAATAAATAAACAAGAATTCTCTCCTACGATATTTTTACTGTAATAATGTGAGAGAAAAGTACGTGTATCCTCTTTTACTCTTAAAAAAAAAATACGAAAAAAATGTCTCCATTCACACCAAAGTTAAAATGAAAATAAAATGGCATTTTCTTTAACCTGATTTAACTTGAATATCATGCTTTGTTATGCATCACGCGAATTGAAAATGCAAAAACATTTCGCGGGGGAACCCAGGGGTTGTATTTTCTCAAGCTATTTGTTACAGGGCTATATATTATATTACTTTAACATTTCTTTTGAAGTTATTGAGTACATGCAAACCTTCAGAAACACAGCCAGTTCCAAACTTTGTAGCATCTCCTTGATAGCCAGTCTTACAGTAGCATGAAATAGCAGAATCACTCAATGAACAAAAGGAATTTGGATCACAAAGAATATTGGAAGCATGTTCATATGAGCCAAAGCAAGAAGACTCTGAAAAGCAAGTAAACAAATACATCAACGTATGCTCTCGGTAAATAAAACCCACTTTATCTTCGGAAAAACGACGTAAAATATTTTTTAAAAATGTTTTACGCCAATCTTCCTGAGATAATGTGGAAATAATACATAGAAAAAAGCTATCTATCGGGAAAGCGGTGAGTCACAATGTCATATCCTTACAGTATTAAGGAAAACAAATATTAATAGTACACACGCTAAAAACTTTTTCAACGACAACAATTCCATTAAATTACAGTGCATCAGTCAAGAGCCGAGTTTCAAGTACCCTAAGGTCCAGAGGATACTTTTTTCTTATCGATATTGATGGTTGGAGGCGAAGCCACGTCAATGAGGCGCGAAGCGCCGAGATAAAAAAACAGTTTATTTCAAAATAGGTATGTTGAGAAAGGACCTCTGGAGCCACGGTAAGTTTCAAGTGATTATTGTCAAAAGCCTGGGAGCGCTGTTTTCACCGAAAACAAGGAATATACGCTACTTTTTTGCGGATTCTTCTCTCCTGAAAGTTTGCGACTGTTTTCAATTATGAAATGCCATACCCGGTTGTGGTTGGAGCAAGAACCTTGACTGACCGTGAAAGCGCATTTGTAATAAAGCGTGACACGACTTTTAAGTGAAATGTCCATTTCTGTCATGCCTGGAAGTAGCTAAACTTGAAAGCTTTCACCACACATCCATACTGAAAATGGCATAGTCCGTTAGGTTTTCTCGGGTTGGCTGGCGGTCATTCGGTCAGCTTTCTGGCTTCTCCTTCACGGTCTTACTCAAATCACTTGCTACTAGGTTTGCCTTTTATCATTCAGGTGTGGAATTAGTTTAGTCCGTTGTACAACATTATTTGTCAGGCAATTACGCTTAGTATCGCGCAAATATCGAGAAGACTGACATCAATTCAATTGAAGAAATCCTGCGGTTATAAGCCACCTTCTGAAACTGAGCTTACCTTCTCCCTGAACTCCACCGATCAAAAGTGTGACAGCAAGGCAAAATATAACTCCTTTGGACACAGATCTCTTCATGTCGACCTTACAGGCTCAATAGCAACTTGAAGCAGTCAACATTTGCTGCAATTTGTCCTTCCACTCCTTCTACAACTCTTTTCTTAGCCACGACAGCGCCTCGTCATCTCGTACGAAAAACTGCTGACGCGAATGACGTGCGTTCTAACGTGCGTTCCAAATTTCATATTTCAAATTTCAAACCTTCGCTCACCTGAGCCCACCCCTAAATCCGCCCTTGACTAGTTTTATAGTTACTAAGCTTTCAAGAAATAATCACTGAAATATAAAACGAAAACAACGCTCCTTACCTGGTTACCTTTTTTTCCGCGTAAAATGATGAGTGTTGTAAAGCGAACCGGAAATGAAATGATCACACAAGTTTTTATGCATCAACTGTCTGATTTTCTTAACTTACAACTATATAAATAAATCAGTAATGTTTTTAATCGGCAATCCTTAGAGACATGGAAAATAATTTTATTATACCTTGGTAGCTACTAAACTTTGGTCGCGCAAATTTTTCGGACGAGCGCTCGGTCTTGTTGAGGAAAGTGGAGAATGTCTCTTTTGACCTTTTTTATGTCCTAACATAGGCGCGTTTATTCTCCGCATTGTTCCCAATACATTTCCCATGGTACTGGTGAGGAGAATTGATTTGTCTATCATTCAAGACCTGTTTTATTTGGAGATTATTTGGGTTATTCCTGTGACCATAATAATGTAAATTTGATTTAGTAGCAGTATTTTATGGAGAAAACAGATGCTGATCACCCTTAATGGTTAAAGGTGAAAATTGGTGAAAATTACATTCTTGTGATGATTATTCATTGGTTCGATAATCATAGAACATTTTAGTTCACGAGTAAGCAAACTTCATTATATGACTTCACACATGTAAGGGATCGACCATTTGACTTTGAGGGGGGAATGGGTGATTTGGTTTGGGTGAGAATCTTTTTTCCCATACCTACATACCTGTAAGATTTTTTTCAAGCATTATATGCCATGAGAGATTTTTTTTTTCAGTGCAGCATGTTTTTTCCCCAGGAAATTCCTTGTAAGGTATTTTTTCCCTCAATATCAGTCTGCAGGATATTTTTTCTGAAATCACCCCTACCCCCCTCAAAAGTCAAATGGTCGGCCCCTAATCTCAACTGCACAGGGAAACCAAACTTTGCATGTCAATCTGGTGTATTCTAATCAACAAATTGATTTATTTTGCTGGTCTAAGCAAAAGTGACGTTATTCAACAAATTTATAGGTTTTTGAAATTGTAAGTGAAAATAATTCGCTTAAATTATAGAGTCAGATTTATAAGTAACAACCACAATAAATAATGGACAACATGTTGTAAGATTTGGCATGAGCATGACAATAGGAAAGTCTAAGTCCTTTTCAAGACCTGGTCATAAAATGTCATGGATATGATCAGGCCAGGACTGGTCATCAAGAAATCAGATTCTTGAACAATAAGATTCCTCTTGCATTCACACCAAATCCTTGATGGCAAACCTCAGACAGTCGTCAGGCATTTCTTCAGATGAAAATATTTGGAACTAACAAAGAATAAAATTTCATCTTTGAATTTTTTCCACAGATATTCCCCCTCTCTGCTGTATTCGTCTGTACAAGTCAATGTAATGCGCTGCCTTAGTTGTCCATGGGACAATAAAATCCTTACAAAAGTTTGCTTTTTGTAACTTTGGCTTCATGTCCATAAGTAGAAGTTCATTCAAGAAACTCAGTGCAAAGTCGTAGCAGTTGTTTTTGATTTCATCATACCTACAAAAAAGAAATTATTATGAGAGAAAACAAAGGAGTCATTAGCCTGTGAATTTGTACGTATACTTCATGACAGACCGATCTCGATCATTAGCCCACAAGAAAAGATTTTGTTTAACTTCCATATAATAACTCTTTTATTGACCACACTTGTTTGGTTAGGATGGCTGAATATTGACCTCACTCTTTTTTTTTCACTTTTATGGATGGGCAAGACAAAGGAAGCCCAGGGGGGAGCTATTGTAGCTATTTTATAGTTATATCACCACTGAATTATTGTAATCCAAGTTCAAAGTGAAAATTGGTAAATTCCTATTCTTATTAATATTTTTATCTCATTAAATTGTGTCTGTTATATGAACCATTGTTACAACTATTTTCGTATGACCTTGAAATGAAAACACGCGCATAAAAGAGAAACATCAAACGAACAGAAAATGAGCGATTTGACTGGTTTATCGAACAAATACAAACGTGCGTGGCTTTTGGTTGGTTACGCAAATGCTTGGGTGAAAAATCTTCATGCCCAAGAACTTTTTAAGAAATAAATCCATACTTTACTTTGATGTCATACTGCAACATGATTGGCCAATCAAACAATGCCTTCTCCATATTAGGGCTTTCTTTGGTGGGAAAACGAATAGTCCATGTTTTGATCTTTTAAACCATTGCCGGATAAAACAAATGACGAACACTTAATACTGAAACCATTTTTCAAGGTCATAAGAGAATCGCTCTATTCTATTCTTTTTATCATTACAAAACAAAATGCTCAGTAATCTTCCTCATCCACCACCTTCTCGCTCCCCATACCCATATCCACTCTAAACTCATCAAAAAATAAAAAAATTGATATGTCAATTAAGCCAATAACAGGGACCATGACATATTTTAGATTGGTAGGGCTAACTTGTGTGTAGCACGAGCTTTAAATCAGAGCACCAAAGGCGCGAGTTCATCTACGGGGGTCCAGGGGCATGCTCCACCAGACAATTTTGAGACTTTGAGCTTCTGAAATCACCAGAAACACATTTACTAACTTCTACCCAGTCCTGAGAACATTTTGTCCAATTTTTTATCATCAGTCTCTTTATACGTTTTCTGCACAAAACATACATTAGATAAAGAAAAAAAAGAAATGGTCTTTGCTTTTAACAGAAAGATAAGAACTACTTTCATAAGCGCAAAAAAATTCCGGCAATATCATTGGCAGGGCTATAGCCCACCCTGCCCCATAGCCCCATGGTCCTTGAATAAGCTCACACCTAAAAGGTTACACGATCATTTCCAGATGTGTATATGCACTTAGAGGACTGGTGTACCACTCACTCCTTAGAAGTCCAAACCCCACTCAAAAGCATCTGTTGAAGCTTAGAATCCCAAATATCTGATCTCGAAAAATAAATATCACTCATGCTTGCAACAATGCATTGTTCCCAATCAGCAGTGTCAGCATGAAGTCCAAGCTCATCAAAGTTATAAACTACTCCATTTGATGCAGCAACTCCAATGTGCAGATCATCACCACTTTTATAATCCCTGAAAAGTTGACAAGTAATGATGCATTAGTGGGTACAGGTTAAGGCAGACACCATCTAATAAGACCAACATTGCCTGAGCATAACCCACTTTCAGAAGCATCAACAGTGGTAGATCCAGGGGAGGGGCCCGGGCCTCCAACCCTTATTTTTAGACCAAACTGAGGCCCAAAGGGCCGACAAAAAATTTTTTTGAACACCAGGTCCCCGTCTTATCTCAGAGGCTGGATGACCACCCCTGCCCCCCTTGTCTGACGGTCTGGATCCGCTACTGACTAGGCACCTAGGAGCTTTGCTACCTGCTCCCTAACCTGAGATCAGGCGTCTTTTTTTTTTCTGCTTCTTTGCTTCTTTGGCTCGAGAGGGAAAAAAATAGTGCCTGATACATTCATTTAACAAGCCATCAACCGCCCCCTAATTTACATAATCTAACGTCTACTTGATCTGTCATGTTATTAGCCAATCAGCGTTTACGACACGGGAATCAAATTTTGGCGGGAATAATGTCTCTTTCGATATCAATTTTAGGGAAAACAAAATTTTTAAGTATGTTCAGATGACGCTTCCTAAAAAAAATTTTTAAATGTTTCTTTTTTGTGATGAAATACTGCTAGCTGGAGCTGCCGTACCTTTATTTAACAGCTACAAATAATAAAGGATTTACTGGTAAAAGGGTAAAAGCTCGTTGACTTTGTCCCGTGCCGAAAGCAGTGAAAAAAAAATTGGGCTGAAGCACCATATTTCACGAACTGAAAGGTGTTGTGAAAGCAAAGATCGCTCAGAATAATTCTCAGGTTTCTGAAGGAGGAATTACAGTCAAACCAGGTTAAGATTCCATTCATGAATTGATTATTTGAATAGAGAACCCATTTGTCGCTTCTGTAACTTGTAGCCAGTATTAAATTGCATTCAAATGATCGGTGAATTCTTGACTGCAATGTTTAGCATACGATGAAATAGAAAATATTTCAATGAATCAAATTTCTGTTTAGACATTTTTCGAATTCAAGAAAACTGAGTTGGCCGGAAATTTCATAATAAACTCGCGTGTGTATTCACTGCTCATTACGCAAGCAAAAATGCAGACTGAAATCAACAACAACTGATGGATGGCGGCATTTTGGTCAATCGGAACAGCCCAAATCATCCGAATTGTTTCCTATCCAATCAGAAAAAAGTCCAGATTCTGGCTTTTTTGCATGTGATCTGTGAAAAAAATGTATCATGCCCTCCTCCCGAAAACAGATTACAGAGATAAAGGGAGAGGGCATGATCGCAGGCTACCTGCTCCCACCCTTAGTACATCACGTGGTTACTGCTAGAAGTATGTTACCGCTACCCATTTAAATGCCTGGGTAAAGAAAAGTGAAGCAACACTTGTTGTCTCAGGGTCATTCTATTTTCATATCCACCCACCCTCATTGACAAGATGCTTGATCCTCCCAAGAATTTTTTTCTACTTGGAATAAACCCTTTCAGAAATTGACATTTATTCTTAAAAACTCTCAGAAACATTACTCTTTTGTATTTATTCTGTGTCCATAAGAAAATAGTGCAATGCTACTTTTTCCTTTCAAAAAAGGTTAACAAGACTCTTTACAGAAAAAAATTGCATCCATCATCTCTTTATTGAATATAATGTAACTCTCCCGTTAGTCCTCAAAAATTTATTATCGGTATTTCCATCTTAAAGAAATCGAAATTTTTGATAAAAACCATTTCAGAAAGCCTCTCTCCTAGTATTGTCCCCTGAGGGGACTCCCCTATTACAGAGATGGGGATGCTTGTCGAAAAACTAAAATTAAACCCCCAAGGGACACCAATGTGAGTGTGGCTCAAGCTTAAAATACCGGTAACTCCTTTCCTAAAGGAGACCATACTAAAACAGACATCTAAAACGCTAGGAATGTAAATGGGCCAATATAGTGACTTTTCATCCCAAACACCCTAAGTGAAACCAGATTCTGCAATTGACCCCCATAAGTGAGACAACGGGCATCTCCGTTACTCTTATATGGGAGTCCCTCCCCCCCACCCCTCCCCCCCCGCCCCACTCCCCAACCCCAGATGTCCCCTTCAGAAAAAATTAATGAAGTGACATGGCGTCCGCATGTTTGAACCCCCGGCTGGATGAGGAAGGAGAAAGATCTCAACAACTGATACCGTAAAATTCCAAAAATGAGCCCCTCCAAATATAAGCCCCCAAACCGGTAACGCAAAAACCCACCGTTAAATCGCCCCTCCAAATATAAGCCCCCCGGTGGCTTGTACTTAGAAAATTGCCCTCAAATACGAAGTAAAACAAAGCAAAAACGGTAATTTTTTTCCAACTATAGGGCTAGCCCAATCGATTTTGAAACGCAAATTTATCTCCGTACTTAAGCCCCTCCGAATATAAGCCCCTCCAAAAATAAGCCCCACAAAAAGGGCCTTTGAAAAATATAAGCCCCGGGGCTTATTTTCGGAATTTTACGGTATTTAAAAAAGTCAAAGTAAATTTTACTGCCTTCATGTTCCACTCTTGGGTTATATTACATTCCTACCTCATAAATGAACCTCTCGTTGGTTTCACCAAAATCACACGAGAAACGTTCCTCTGAGAAACAAACGGGCAAGGAACACGAAACGGCGGAATAATTAAGGAGCAACTCTTAAGCGATTTACTACAGATTGGACAAGTGTCGGGAAAGTTCGTGAAGAAAATATTCATCTTATTAGTACAATGCTGCATGCAGCGGACTACGTCTCGTTCGACAGCGCTCATGGTCGAACTTCTGTCGAATCATCCACCATCTTCCTTCATCTTGAAATACCCAGTACTTCCTCGGTTAAGCACAGGTTCACCAAAAATTGAGCCCTATTTACACCGACCGCCCACACAACATGTCCTACCAGGAAAGTCAAGTCCTTGAAACTGTTTGACGGTTGCCTGCGTGCAGACGTATCCTATTTCCTTTGTTGCACGCGTGCAACAAAGGAAATAGGAGACGTCTGCACGCAGGCAAGTTTGACGGTGAGTATTTTTATTTGTGCCAGTTTAACTGTTAGCCATACAGAGAGAGCAAGAGTACTGAGCATGAAGGCAGGTTTATGATGATAAGACTTAACTTGCAGGAACTTGCATGCATATTAAACAGTTGGTATTTTCAACCCATAGAAATGCAACACAGAAACATTTTATACAAAATTTAGCCTGTTCACAGAACCTCGAGTTTCCTTTTAGAGATCGTCGAGAGGGTGCGTGTAAAAAAACATGAAAAAAGTCGCAGTTTTTGATATTTTCCCTTCCCGAGCATGTTCAGCTGGATGTGGACTGAGCCGACTGAAGAAATCAAATGAATAATTAACCCGATACTAGCAGATAAAACCATATAAGTTTTGATCGTAGACTTTACCCGTAATCAGTATAACTTAGGAAACAGACGGTATTTGCCTGTCGTCTGTTAGATACGAAACAAACAGTAAAAGGTAGAACCTCATTACACAGACAAATTGCCCTACCAAAATAATGTAACGTACTTTTGCATATATATAATACAGACGTTTATTGTAAAACTGAAACCTGCCCATTTACTTATTATTATTTTGTTTCTGACCGGTATGAGACAATTACTCTTCCGCTAAAAAACATTTTGCTAGCTTAACATGAATAACTGAATATTATCAATTTGGTTGTCCTTACAAAAAATGCTGGCGTCAAATGAAATCGTCCCATTTATTAATAATGAGTTTGTCCAAACTGGATCAGCTGTTTGTCGGCATTGAGTTTCCCGCGAGACAATTTCGCAAGGTAAACAATTATGGTGTCAATTAAAGCAAATAGAGCGTCGTACAATCATTTATTACGACCGGAATTATCAGTTAAACGATAACATTGAGTACATATCCTGTCTTTTAGTGGACACATTCCAAAACAGAGGCGTCAGAGAAGGAATTCTGTCCGATATTTTGCTTAGTTTTTAAACGTCAACCCAGACGATACAGCCCCCATAGGGACTATCATTGTCTCTTTCTGCATCACTGTCAAGACAGTCATATTGAAGCTTTTCGCTGTAATGTCGCACTTAGCAACATCTCCAAGTTTCTTTCTTAACGATTCACGAAATGGGACCACAACGACAAACACTACACCGACTCCGTTTCAAGCTGATCCTACTCTTGGACTGTTGGTAGAGGTTGTGGTTATTGTCTTGATTTGCGGACATCTCCTTATCATCACAACACTGTATCGATACAGACCGTGGAACATAGCAGACCTACTGTTATTTTCGCTGTCAATGGCCGATGTCATAAACGCCGCTATTCCATTGCAGATGGTAAACATTATGAACAACTTTATTGGCCCGCATCTTTGGACTCGAGCATCGTGCGCCGTGTTTGTAATACTCACTTATGCATTCCGTATTGCCTCGGTGTGCACGATAACTCTGATATCGGGTGATAGGGCCATTCTATTGACGCGGCCACTACAACACCATATCATTGTCACAACTGGAAGGGCTAGGAAGGCTGTCATTGCTATCTGGTTGTTTTCTTTGTTCATGGCGATTTTGCCATTTATTGGAGTAGGGGTGCCGGGCTATCGAGATGGATACTGCTTTTATCAGTTGTTTGATTTTGGACTGGTATACGGTTATATCATCGAGAGTGTCGGTATACTTCAGCTAATTGTTGTTTTGATTTGCTTCATTGCAATCAAAGTTACAAGTGGCAAATTTGTCAAACGACAGAGCACCATGGCCGCTGCCAAGCAAACTGGCGCCAAAACTCATCAGGCGCGGGAAACTGCGGGCACTCGACAAGTAAAGCAAATGTCAGCTATGATGGCGATTGTAGTAGTGTTGTATTACATCAGTTGGCTGCCTTATTTGGTAAGTAGTGCGTGCACTGCGTGTTTGTATGTGTGTAAGGTCGAGTAAGTGTACTTTCATTTTGACTGAATCAAGTGGCCAGATTCTAATATGAACAAAAGATAATACTAAGAAATTTAAAGCTACAGGTATTTCAACACTAGCTTCAATAATTAATTAAAATGTACTCCCGAAATATATTCTCCTTGTTGATCTGTACGTTATCTTGGTATGGATTTAGTCCAAGTCTTTAGGCCAGCCATTGTAGTGGATCTGTCAGAATACACCCATAACATGGAGAATCTATAGCTATTAGCTGTGTCAACTAATAAAGTTTATTTTTATTATCTAAACATTTCGGGAGAAAACTATTTCTTGGCTTGTTATTATCGAGTTGGCGAAGGTTCCTTTCAATATAAAAAACAATCAAAACTCCTAAAAAGGATCCACAAGATGATATTATTTATGGGCGGATTTTCGTTGCATCGAATAGGTGACACATAACAATGTAAGTAGTGTTTTCTTCAATCCCCGTTAATCCTTCGAGACGTGATTTTCATCATTAAAATTATCTTAAGTTTAAAAGAAGCTAAGGGATTTTTAAGGAAAAACAAAGCTTCAATTGTTCAAAAGTGTCCCAACATTTCCAGCTTACTCGGTATTTCTGTCATCTAATTGCTCAAGTTAGGATAAGTTATTTACGTGGTAAAATTTTGCATAAAATATTTCAAGTTACCGATTATTCAGAGGACAAATATTTACATTTTTCTGAAGCGTGGTCAACCTTGTACAATCAGGCCGAATACTTTTAATTCCGGGAGTTTCCTATATCTCAGATCAATAAGATTCAGCTTTCTCATGTTCCTTTTATTTATTTCTTATTTATAAATTAAGGGTTTCCATTTCAGTTGAAGCCTAAAAAAGTAGTTCGAGAGAACAACACAAAGATCAAGCAGGTCTTTACTTCTTTGTCTTTCTCTAAAGCCGACAATATGAACTTTAATTTGTACAACCTTTACAGTTGACAGACGAACGCCTTTGTCGGCATTTCAACGCTTTCATTAAGTTGATCTGGCGTAACCCGCAAAACATGTTCCCACTCTAAAACCGAGTTTGCCACAACGTGTTGGTGGTGTAGTTTTTCTTTTCTTTTCTCAAATCAACAACTTAGAAGATTTTTTGCTTTCAGCGCTATTCAAAAAAGGTCCAAAGATTTCTCGAGATGCGCACAATCGGGTCGCAATGAATTGATACTTCGCCAAGCCAGAGTGTTCTTTAACCAGGCTCATTTCCGATATTCTCACCCCTCAAAGTTATCGAACGAAAAATAATCTTGTACAGTGTAATAAACAGCACTATACCAAAAAACTGGTCATTTACGTTAACCCGAGAGGTCATAGTCTTATGAAACCTCTGTAACCTCAGCTTTTTTCGTTTAGTTTTGTCAATTTATTTTTGTTTCCTACACTATGTGTGAGATCGTAAAAAGGATGTTTGCGCAAATTAATACTAGAAACATACGTTGGCTATTTCATGCCGTTTTTTCTTGTTGATTTTTAGTTGATAAACCTCTACAGTATGGTTACGGGACAAATTAATCACTCGCTGGTTGTCATCATCGGTATGTTCTCCCTTGTGAACGCTCTCATTAATCCAGTTTTGTACGGTAAGATGAGTCAAAGATACAGAAAAGGGTACATTTACATCTTCAAGAAAATTTTGTCAGTTTGTGGAGCAGAGCAGCCTGATGGCTCTTTCTTTGGTAAGTAAAATAAGGGCGTTGGCCGTTCCGTTTCTCTTGCCTCAATAGCAAGGAGTCGAGGCTAGGTAGTCATGGACAGCAATGCGGAGTCTTAATTAGCTTTCTCTTCGTAATCATGTTGCTTTCTTGAGCAAAAGCTGTGCTCTGCATTTCTTGTAAACTGTTCACAGTCCCCTATTTTTTCGAAAGATAGTCGGGATCGTGCACTTCCCGGTACGGGTGGCCATTTTGGTTTCATATGTACCGAGGGGGCAGGCGTCCCTAAGTCAGTAAATTTCACGTTCATCGCCAGGCTAGACTCGGAACATTTGAGATCAGGATGGTCGCACGTAACGCAAAGCGCTCGATCTCGATGATCTTTCGGAAAAACTAAAGGGGGACTGTGGAAAGTCTAGATTTCCTTCCCATCCAAGTGTCAAAACTGGTGCCGCATCGGCAACAAAATGACAAAATTTACTTTGCAATTTATAGGGGAAGAAAAGGCAGCAAATGATGTTGTTTCCACCATTCCGCTTTCTTTGTCTTCCCTTGCGCCTTCGTACCCTCAACTTTCATTCTTTTTCGTGTAACGACCATAGTGTTCAACAGACGCCGAGTTTACTCGCAAATCAGGAGTTAGTTACCATCGCAACCCAACATGCACTCCCTTAGCAGTAAATTATATATATACTTAAAACTAATCGGACTCGCGCAACTCTGCCCAAAGTAACAAGTCTTCTAGGCATGTCACTTGGTAGAGATCCGCTTATTTGCTATGATCCATGAGGCTGCGACCACAGTTGCTATTTATAATAGCAGCGAGACTGTGGACACTTATGGCGGGAGGCCTAGAGCATTGTTGCCCCTGTTCGGGGCTTAGTTCAGTTGGTCAGTTCAGTCGTTTCCTTGAGAAGGTCGATGTTGTTTCGAACTGTTGTTGTTGTTTTTTTTTTTGAGGGCGGTAGATGGGAGGGACGCCAGTGTCTTCGGTCCAATTTCCCGCGCAACTTCGTGATTTTCACAACAAAAAAGCAATAGCCTCCCCAAAACAGTCCCATGGTGCAAATTTGACACAGCTCCGATCCAGTCTCACTCGCAACAACCTCAAAACGGCCAACTATCATCATCCACAATGCTATGCACGCTAAGCGTCGCCAGCTAGAAAAGACTTTGATAACATCAGAGGGGTAAAGGTGTAACAGCTCAGCGGTTAGCTCCTTTAGGGAAGCGTTTAGCCGTTTTTTGTGGTCCTGCAATTGGATACTTCATGGCTAGCGCTGTTCCTGTTAAAAATGTACTCTGATTATATTTAATTTTATTATTATTTTTTTACTTTATTTAAACAGACGGTACTCGACGCAATACCTCCGCAATGGTATTCTCAAGATCAAGGGGTTCGGACTACCCTTCACAGGTTCGCAATAGTGTTGATTTTTCGAGACAAGAGGGAGGAATTCTGCGGAGTACAAATGAGTTAGTTACCGGCCCTTTTGCCAGAAAATTTGACGTGAAATTTGATTTCAGCGGCGAGCAAACGAAGATAAAAGGCGAAGAAAACCACAACTACAATGACTTGAAATTAGCAGATGACAACAACGCAAGTGTAGGAAGCCTACGTAACAGTTCTCAGAGGATGTTATTAGCAAGAGAAGATGAACAACTTAAAAAGACTGATCATCAAGACACTGTACTATTGAATGAAAGCTTTGACAGCGCTCTGTAGAATGTTTCATGTTTAATATACAGCCATCTTCACCCGTCTTTGAGAAAGGTGCTTAGCCTATTTACTTTATCGATGATTGGAAAACTACATATAAACCAATGCAAGGATCCAATTAATATTCGCGAATAAGATCGTCGAATAAAGCTCAAACAATAGAAGGACTAGGGCTGTCTCTCTATCTACTGACTTCTCCCTCCATGTAGCTCGTTTCAAGATCTTCTTTTTTTCTTTTTGTTATTTTTCTTTTTGATTTTTTTTTAAATTTATTTATTTAACATAATTCAACAAGACATTACAATTACATGCATATATTCTTTGTGGCATTTTTATCAGTGCGTTTCCTGTTAGCTAGGGTATGTCTATATTCAAATACACTTTGGTTTTAGATTCTTTTTCTCTCGGCTTTTTCGTTTATCAATATTATCATCATCTTATCATTATCATTGTTTTTGTTGTCGTTGTTTGTTGTTGTTTTCTTTCTTTATTTTTTGTCCGAAAAGTGGACATGGGTTTTTGGGATAAGCACGTAGGCTGTGCGCTGTGTCTCCTGTAGGCTATACTGTCCAGCTAGCAACTAATTTGTTGTTCATCATACAGTACGTGGTAAAACTTTCCCTTGTTATATTCTTTTATCGGATAATGATCTGCAGCTTGAGCGAGTACTGTACTAAGCTGTCTAAACGTGCGAGCACTCTCGAAATGGTCGCCCTAACAACACACCGGCGTTTTTGGTTTGTTTTGTTTATGTTGATTTCTCGACAATCATTTTCATCCTGAACCATTTGAGACTGTTCAGAATTTAAGAAAACACTGCATACAACAAAAGCAAAGGAGAAGCGAACACGTTCCGAGCATAACCTCTGTTCGTAACGATATAATATTATTTTATTTTCCAGTGCAGCTTTTTTAATTTCCATCTGCGGTCAAGACTTGCTAAAAAAAACTTACTTCGATAGACGTTTTTTATCATTTTGATGAGAGAGAGTTTCCGATCTGAAAAAAAAAACGATTATTGTCAAGTCTTGATCTCAGATCTCAAGAATGCTTTGGAAAAAATGCCACGATAAATAACTATTTTTCTTCACAAACAGAATACGAAGATTTATTATCATTGTTTTATTCCTATACAAAATTCATACTGATATCGACAATAATATAACTAAATTCTAGACAAGCATACAAATTGCGGCTTTCTTTATAGTTTCAGTTTTTGTAAAAAGTAATGAATTAGCGCTTCAGTACTAAAGGATGTGTTAAAAGCTTTTGCATATAGACGGATGTGTACTGACTCAGTTGGCTCGCATCTTTTGGGCGACTATGGCACAATGGAAAAAGTGTATAATAACTCGAAATTTATTTATTTATAAATAATAAATGGGATCACTTTTGTTTTGCTTTCTTTTTCATTTTTTCAGTGTGAAATATACTGTAAACCAATTAAGGATACGATGTTGAAACCGCACTTCAGTTCGTACTTAAATGAAACATATTGCAAACAACACTGTCCAGTGCTGAGAAGCTATTTCAATCTTTTTTTTACTCTGGTTACGCTGTGATATATAACCTCGACTCGCGGATAATTTTGTTTGCGAACTCACGTCACAAGTAACATGAAACACACAAGCAAATCAAAACTCTAAGCAACCGTTTTCCAATTTGTGGTCTCAACAACCGATGCCTTATTCATGATATTACGTCAAATCATCGTCTTCATATATAATTTTCTACAGAATTAAGCCCGTAAAAGTAGCGCTAAAATGTAGCATTGCCTACCTGGCTGACAAGAAAGCACATGGCATCTACTGCAGGAAAGGCGGTAAATGGAGTTAGCAAATCAGAAGAAGACAGCTCACAGATTCAAAAAATCCTCGTAGTATTTGTGTTCGTGGCTTCTTTGTTCATCCTCGTGGGAAATCTGTTAACAATTATCAGCGTCTTATTTTTCACGAAACAGAAGAATACATTCACTTTACTTCTCATTGCCCTCTCTTTGACTGACGTTTTAAGCGTACTTGGACCAAATGCGATCGCCCTGTTCGTGTCTTTAGATCAAAGCAAGGAATTCCGCGATCTTTTTACTCTATGTCGCGTTCAAGCTTGGATGATGGTCTTCCTCCGCATTGCTGCGACATTAATTATTACTCTTCTAACATTGGACCTAGCCTTCATCACCGTATTTCCACATTTTTCTCGCAAACAATGGAAGCGGAAGTTGTTTGTTGTATTCTTCTTCGGAATATGGATTGTTGCTTCTTTTGTAGCAACATGGCCTCTTCTTTGGCTCGATGGTTTCCACGTTTCCGAAGAGACAGAGAACATATTTTGCCTGTTTGAATATAAAAATCCTTTCGGCGTTTTTTTTGTGCTGTTTCTCTTCTTTTCTTTAGCTGTTTGTTGTTTTTGTTTCTGTATCATATTTAGCACGGCCAACAGGAAATCGTTCAGTACCAAGCGAGCCCGCTTAGATGAAGATCTAGGTTCTTCAACAAGGCAGCATGATATTGTGGGCAGAGATGCACATTCTGATACTAAGGAACTTTCTCGTATAGCGGCTTTGGTTGTTGCAATATATTTCTGCTGTATTCTACCATGGACGGTAAGCAAGTCCCTAAAGTGTATTCATAATGACACTAGATCTGTGAAATACAAGAAATTTTGTCCACCAAAATTATCCGATTTTTAAATCTCTCTCACTGACAACCGTTGTATTGTGTTATAATACAATATTTGAGGACTTCAGTTCTTCATCATGTACTCTAAGAAGTGTACGGTCAAATACTTTGCATACAGCTTAAGTTAGTACATCGTACAACTGATCAGTTCTTTTTTTATCACAGGTGGCTATTTCCCTGGGAATTTTCTCGGTAGACTATCCTTCTCTGTTCGGTCTGTGTGCGACCCAGTTACCGGCGCTCAGTGGTCTCCTGAATCCTCTCATATATGCAACCACGTGGCCATCATACAGGCGAGCTTATATCCGCGCCTTACAGTGGACTGGTACTAAATGCTGTAACAGGAAATTGAAAAGGTCTTCACGTACCAGGTCTCACAACCTTATCTGTAAGTAACAAGGGGAACGAGGCTGGTTAACTGATCGATTTGTATTACTGATGCAAGTGAAGTGAAGTGAGGACTTTATTTAAAGATGATAACATTTGACAGTCATTAAAGAACTGATGAACTTGTAGCCCCTCTTTCTCAACGTCCTGGCAACTATGAATACACACGCATGCGCCTTTGCCTGTTCAAGGTTAAACCGAAATTGTATGTCAAACTTGACTCAGTCTTACCATAGAATTGATTCAAAATTCATTTTCATGGGGGACATCTCAACCCGATTTTTGCCCCATCGTTTCTCAGTAACGTTTAGATCTCACACATCTGTTTTGTCCGTCGGGGGTATAATTACCCAATAAACTAAATCAGTAAAAAAACATCTTGGGTTATGTAAATCAGTCAGTCAGGAATTGACTCAATTGATTAAGGTAACCTAGTGCCATATCTGGGTAGGTTAACTCGTTTCAAAGCCGTCGCAGGCCTTTTCAAACACCAAATACAGGTATTTTCATCTTCGCTAAGTGCTACTTGAAGCCCTCTACGTTTAAGTAACGACCACTATTTTGATACATAAGAATTTTTGTTATTGCTTTTACTTTAAAACAGCTTCAATGAGTGCAAATCATAGTTTCTGGATCTCTGATTTCTTTGACGAGTCAGACGCTGATCATGAGAACGCATTTCACATTTTGTTTGGTCCGACATCTTACATCAAGCCTCTTGACTTCAATCCTGAGGAGCTGGAAATGTTTGAACAGCAGTGTGCAAAAAATAATAACGAAGAAACCCGACGCTTTTCCAAACTTAAAAGATCGCTTCCCAGACCTGCACCCTATAAACGTGCAGAGTTTCACCCGCACAGAAATCATTTTCAGGATATTTTGGATTTTATTGATGAAATGACAGATGAAAAAAGACAGAACATTGGAAAACGAGAGAACCTTTGTGTCTCTGAAATAAAAAGAGGCACTAGCAAAGCGGGCAGGCCAGCTAAAACGAGTAAAGGATACATCGCAAGTAACCAGTCAGCGTACAAGACCAGTTCACTGATTGGACGTCATGGTGCTTATCACGAATTATCGTTTAGTCGCAAAGAACCACTAGAAATTCGTGGCTTGAAGCAATGCAGAGGACATAGAATGGGCGAGGGGTGTTCCTGCTTGGGGAAGTCGAAATGCTACATTGTGCATAACAAACTGCAAGAAGCCGACTGCTTAGTATCTAAAGAAAGAGAAAGTTTCAGCTCTGGGGAACCACTTTCTTCTCGTATGTAAAGGAGAGGTACCCATTTTCTAGACTAATTAGCAGGGAGTTGCTGCCATTTTAAGGAAAGAATAAACAGAGGAATATAAACACATGCAGAAACGTGCTATACAGGAACGTCACCACGTAGGACTGTATATAGGAGAAAGGAATTGCTAACAATTAAATTTTCCTACGAGTACGGCAGGATGCTTTAAAATTTCAAGAAGGAAAAGCTTCATGCATAATTACTTGACAGATGGATCGATGTCATTTGTACTACGGTTTATAGTGTTAGTGATAGGGTTTTATTTTAAAGGTGTTGGAAAAGGGAAACATCTTAATCTACAAGTAACACTTCCCACAAGGAGTCGCGTCATCATTACGCGGTACTCCCAGATTAGAAGATAGGAAATTAATCAATTTATTGAATGAGTATGGGACAGGCCGTAAAACCCCTGGCAACTTTTGTTTCGTGATAAGAAGACATGATAGCTTTGCTTGCATAAATTTGCAGTATTTTATTCCAAAACCCAAAGTAAATGCTTGTGTACAAAAATTTGAAATAAATAAATAAATAAACACTGACCCATATGTACAAAGTACAAAACTAATTCTCCACGCTCTAAAAACACACAACTTTTGTGGGACTGCTCAGAGATTTTCCGGTTTTCCTGTGCACTTTATGTTAGTCCTTGGCCGCAACAGAAAGTTAAACGGGATGGGCAAGGTGAAATTCTTTTTTTCTGCGACCTAAAGCAACTCTTTTCGTGCATGGTTAATGTTTTTTCTTTCGCTTTGCTCTCGGCTTTCGAGGCCCGACTTGCAAGTCAAGCAAGTTCTTGTTAAAACGCTAATTAAGGCTCCTGACCTTCAGCAAGAGAGGATCTTGCCTTCAGGCTTTGTCTCTTTACGTAAGTTTTCTCCATGAAAACCATGCCCTTTTGACTGACTGTGAAGCGCCTGCACGCTAGCAGTCTAATCTCTAATTGTTTGAAATTACAGATCATCCTGCTCTTTTGTATCTATCAGTTTATACCCATTTTCATCAGGTTTTTTTTTAAACTTTGTCACCCAATTCGCAATTAAAAACACAGCCACACTAGCAAGGGAGACCAAAGAGAAAATAAAATAAGTCTTCGGAACGCCGACCGCGTTTATAACGACACCGCTGACAACTACTCCTGAGCCATCGCCGAGTCCCCAGTGAATTCCTCCAAGAATTCCTGAGGGAAAAAAAAAGAAACAGATGTCAGCGCTCATTCAATCAAACTAAAACGCCGAGCAAAGGGTTGCAACATTGTGGGGCGTTCTTGCGTCCGTTAATTTGCACGTAGCTGAAAGTTTGACCGGTTTCAAACTTTTGCGCAACAACTCCCAACAACATGCAACAGAGTGTACAAACGGACGCAGCGTGTAACATCCAACAACGTTGCGTCCGTTTGCACGGAACTTAACGTAACCCTTTAACGTGACATTATTCTGCGAATGCGTCCAATACATAAAATATACTGGATTACTTGCTAGACAAGTGCAATCCAGCACTATGAAATGAGGCTTCTGAGATCCTTTCGCCTGAACTAACATGTTAACCTTGTTTTACAATATAGTGGAATCAAGTTTACAAGCCACCTGATGAAAATCCCTTATTTTAATTCTTCTTTCCTGAGTATGCTTGCATACCAGCCGCGGTTTAGTGCGCCTGCGTTCCTTCGCGGAGGGTCAGCAAACCAGATTCCCTCAAACGGCTGTAAATTGAGCCTACTATTAAGCTGGTGCAAACAGCTCGGTTCACATGAAGCGCTTTACTGAGTACTAACTTAAGCTTTGAAGCTTAGTGTAAACCCTCTTGGTATCAGTGTATCATTGATGAAAACATTGGAACGCACAATCTTTTAAATCTATCAATCTCGTTCTTTGGTAATTGGCCAAAGAACGTGTAAAAGAAAACCCGACATTTTATTGAAAACCACTTTCAAGTAGATAACGTACCTTGAAGAACTGAATAGAATCCAACTTTTAAAGATACTTTAGCACCAAAAACAACACAGGCTGACCAGGCTAGCCCATATATGGTTCCGTGAGAGCTGTAGAGCACCACCCCTATCCAGGGATTGAGAACAAACGCCAGTCCCATATAAACAGCCGCATAAAATGCTAAGCAGACAGCGAGAGTCGCTGCAAGACCAATCTTATTGATGATCATCCCAGAGGTAAAATATCCAAGAATTGCCAAAGTGTAACGAAAACCACTAGCCATCCCCAGCATATAGGGCTGTGCACCAAGGTCATCCAGATACCACAAACCAAAGTTATCTTGCAAACCCATAAGCATACCCAAATAGAAGGCTAAGGTAACGAAAATTACATTATGACAGAGTAGAAGCTCCTTTACAAGTGACCAAATACTAGACCTAGGCGATGTTTCGTCATCTGAATATTTTGCTTCCATAAAAACTATGGTAACTAAACAAAGAGCGACGAATCCAGCAAAGAAATAGAATGAAATGTGATAGTTCTTGACGGTCTCACCGCAAACCTCCGATTCGTATAAGCTAATGACTCCCCCAACCAAAAATGAGCCACTGGCAACACCAACTTCGCCCCACATTCGAAGAGATCCGAACTTGTCCGCATTTTCCTGCAGGAAGCCCACGACCAAAGCATCAGGCATGGTGTAAACGACGGAACCAAGAATCTGGCAGGCGAATAATATACTCAAAAAAGTCATAAAGATTTTACCAAGTTCGGACTTGTCCACCTCGCGAGTAAATATTGTTACGTGGCTCATGTTGTTCAGCCGTTGTGGAGATTGACTATCAATGGCCATGGATGCCGAGGACTCGCTACTTGATACTATTCCACCCCTAGGAGGAAAGCGTAGTGGATGTATCACAGTTCTGTTTGCTCCTGTTTCGATGCACTGCTGATTTTGTGGTTTAACTGCTAATAAGAGCAATATCCCGGCGGAATATGAAAGCAATGATAAGAACAAAATGGTTTTTCGTATTTTATACTTGTCTCCGATCATTCCCCACACAGGCGCACCAATAAATAAGGAGAAGAGTCTTACTCCATGGAGTAAACCGGCTTGTGCTGCACTGAGGCCCAGTTGTTTAAAGTACAAGGCTAGATATGGGACGGAGGTGCCAATGGCGCCATAAAATAAGAAGTAGTAAGCCTTATAACTAATCCCCGACGTTTGCAGACAAGAAACTGACGTGTTATTTGAATTAGAATCATCTGAATCTTTCTTGCCCGATGCGTCAGATTTCTCCCTCATCGTCAAAATCATTCAAGCTTTCGTTTCAAACTCGAAATCCGCTGTTGCTTGTGTACGTTTCAACTGAATTTTGCCCAGAAATATAACTTGGAGACTTAATTCGGGTAGCCGTCGCTCTGGTGATATTAGGCCATCCCCATAAAATGTTTCGTTTACCATCGCCCTCCCTCTCGTGAAGTTGGGTCGGTCGGTCGAGCAAAAAAAAAAGAATGAACACATGATTGCATATTAAATCTCACGTTTAGTCTGCAATATATAATCAGATGGTAAAAGATGTATATTAACAGGACTGTCAAATGTCTAAAAAGGCTACAAAAACGAAGTATCGATGATAATTTAAGACAATTGGTGTTAATAAGACAAGATCGTGGGCTTGTAAATTAAAGTACTTGCTTCTTTACGAGTGATTCTGGATTTTTTTTTTTTACTTTTCCAAAAAAATGCGGGGTCGGACGGGCGATGGGAAACAAAACATTTTATGGGGATAGCCTTAGCATATTAGTATGAATGCGGAGTTTGTGATTTACATATTCAAATTTATTTCATATCCATATATTGAACCGTGGAGTGTTCCCCGGTGGAAAAGCAGTGACAAGGATCGCATGAAACAATGGCACTAATCAATAGCTATGGACTGAGAACCGATCTAGGTGAAAACAAATCGAGAACAGCCCGTATCTAACAAAATCCTTCCTTTAAAAAGCTGAGCTTGTTTTGTCCTCTCCGAAAAGAAGCATTATGCAGGTCTATGAGGCTACATATATAATGATGATCGACAGGCAAAGAGATGCAGTAAAACAAAAAAAACTGTTTTGAATACAGTCTGGCCAAGAGCCATAATAGGACTCTTGGTCTGGCAAGAGGTGAGTCGAGTTAAAAGAACGCGTTTTGCCATATCTGGGTAGGTTAACTCTTTTCAAAGCCGTCGCAGGCCTTTTCAAACACCAAATACAGGTATTTTCATCTTCGCTAAGTGCTACTTGAAGCCCTGTACGTTTACGTAACGACCACTATTTTGATACATAAGAATTTTTGTTATTGCTTTTACTTTAAAACAGCTTCAATGAGTGCAAATCATAGTTTCTGGATCTCTGATTTCTTTGACGAGTCAGACGCTGATCATGAGAACGCATTTCACATTTTGTTTGGTCCGACATCTTACATCAAGCCTCTTGACTTCAATCCTGAGGAGCTGGAAATGTTTGAACAGCAGTGTGCAAATAATAACAGCGAAGAAACCCTACGATTTTCGAAACCTAAAAGATCGCTTCCTAGACCTGCCACGTATAAACGTACAGAGTTTCACGTGCACAGAAATCATTTTCAGGATATTTTGGATTTTATTGATGAAATGACAGATGAAAAAAGACAGAAAATTAGAAAAAGAGAAAACCTTTGTGTCTCTGAAATAAAAAGAGGCACTAGCAAAGCGGGCAGGCCAGCTAAAACGAGTAAAGGATACATCGCAAGTAACCAGTCAGCGTACAAGACCAGTTCACTGATTGGACGTCATGGTGCTTATCACGAATTATCGTTTAGTCGCAAAGAACCACTAGAAATTCGTGGCTTGAAGCAATGCAGAGGACATAGAATGGGCGAGGGGTGTTCCTGCTTGGGGAAGTCGAAATGCTACATTGTGCATAACAAACTGCAAGAAGCCGACTGTTTAGTATCTAAAGAAAGAGAAAGTTTCAGCTCTGGGGAAACACTTTCTTCTCGTATGTAAAGGAGAGGTACCCATTTTCTAGACCAATTAGCAGGGAATTGCTGCCATTTTAAGGAAAGAATAAACAGAGGAATACATATAGAAACGCGCTATACAGGAACGTCGCCACGTAGGACTGTATATAGGAGAAAGGAATTGCTAACAATTAAATTTTCCTACGAGTACGGCAGGATGCTTTAAAATTTCAAGAAGGAAAAGCTTCATGCACATGAATTACTTGACAGATGGATCGATGTCATTTGTACTACGGTTTATAGTGTTGGTGATAGCGTTAATTTTTAAAGGTGTTGGAAAAGGGAAACATCTTAATCTACAAGTAATACTTTCCACAAGGAGTGGCGTCATCATTACGCGGTACTCCCAGATTAGAAGATAGGAAATTAATCAATTTATTGAATGAGTATGGGACAGGCCGTAAAACCCCTGGCAAGTTTTGTTTCGTGATAACAGGACATGATAGCTTTGCTTGCATAAATTTGCAGTATTTTATTCCAAAACCAAAAGTAAATGCTTGTGTACAGAAATTTGAAATAAATAAATAAATAAACACTGACCCATATGTACAAAGTACAAAACTAATTCTCCACGCTCTAAAAACACACAACTTTTGTGGGACTGCTCAGAGATTCTCCGGTTTTCTTGTGCACTTTATGTTAGTCCTTGGCCGCAACAGAAAGTTAAACGGGATGGGCAAGGTGGGTTTCTTTTTTTCTGCGACCTAAAGCAACTCTTTTCGTGCATGGTTAATGTTTTTTCTTTCGCTTTGCTCTCGGCTTCCGAGGCCCGACTTGCAAGTCAACCAAGTTCTTGTTAAAACGCTAATTAAGGCTCCTGACCTTCAGCAAGAGAGGAACTTGCCTTCAGGCTTTTTCTCTTTACGTAAGTTTTCTCCATGAAAACCATGCCCTTTTGACTGACTGTGAAGCGCCTCCATGCTAGCAGTCTAATCTCTAATTTTTTGAAATTACTGATCATCCTGCTCTTTTGTTTCTATCAGTTTATACCCAGTTTCATCAGGTTCTTTTTGAAACTTTGTCACCCAATTCGCCATTAAAAACACAGCCAGACTAGCAAGGGAGACCAAAGAGAAAATAAAATAAGTCTTCGGAACGCCGACCGCGTTTATAACAACACCGCTGACAACTACTCCTGAGCCAACGCCGAGTCCCCAATGAATTCCTCCAAGAATTCCTGCGGGAAAAAAAAAAGAAACAGATGTCAGCGCCCATTCAATCAAACTAAAACGCCGAGCAAAGGGTTGCAACATTGTTGGGCGTTTTTGCGTCCGTTAATTTGCAAGTAGCTGAAAGTTTGACCGGTTTCAAACTTTTGCGCAACAACAAGCAACAACATGCAACAGAGTGTGCAAACGGACGCAGCGTGTAACATCCAACAATGTTGCGTCCGTTTGCACGGAACTTAACGTAACCCTTTAACGTGACATTATTCTGCGAATGCTTCCAATACATAAAATATACTGGATTACTTGCTAGACAAGTGCAATCCAGCACTATGAAATGAGGCTTCTGAGATCCTTTCGCCTAAACGAACATGTTAACCTTGTTTTACAGTATAGTGGAATCAAGTTTATAAGCCACCTGATGAAAATCCCTTATTTTAATTCTTCTTTCCTGAGTATGCTTGCATACCAGCCGCGGTTTAGTGCGCCTGCGTTCCTTCGCGGAGGGTCAGCAAACCAGATTCCCTTAAACGGCTGTACGTTGAGCCTACTATTAAGCTGGTGCAAACAGCTCGGTTCACATGAAGCGCTTTACTGAGTACTAACTTAAGCTTTGAAGCTTAGTGTAAACCCTCCTGGTATCAGTGTATCATTGATGAAAACATTGGAACGCACAATCCTTTAAATCTATCAATCTCGTTCTTTGGTAATTGGCCAAAGAACGTGTAAAAGAAAACCCGACATTTTATTGAAAACCACTTTCAAGTAGATAACGTACCTTGAAGAACTGAATAGAATCCAACTTTTAAAGATACTTTAGCACCAAAAACAACACAGGCTGACCAGGCTAGCCCGTATATGGTTCCGTGAGAGCTGTAGAGCACCACCCCTATCCAGGGATTGAGTACAAACGCTAGTCCCATATAAACAGCCGCATAAAATGTTAAGCAGACAGCGAGAGTCGCTGCAAGACCAATCTTATTGATGATCATCCCAGAGGTAAAATATCCAAGAATTGCCAAAGTGTAACGAAAACCACTAGCCATCCCCAGCATATAGGGCTGTGCACCAAGGTCATCCAGATACCACAAACCAAAGTTATCTTGCAAACCCATAAGCATACCCAAATAGAAGGCTAAGCTTACGAAAATTACATTATGACAGAGTAGAAGCTCCTTTACAAGTGACCAAATACTAGACCTAGGCGATGTTTCGTCATCTGAATATTTTGCTTCCATAAAAACCATGGTGACTAAGGAAAGAGCGACGAATCCAGCAAAGATATAAAATGAAATGTGATAGTTCTTGACGGTCTCACCGCAAACCTCCGATTCGTATAAGCTAATGACTCCTCCAACCAAAAATGAACCACTGGCGACACCAACTTCGCCCCACATCCGAAGAGATCCGAACATGTCCGCATTTTCCTGCAGGAAGCCCACGACCAAAGCATCAGGCATTGTGTAAACAACGGAACCAAGAATCTGGCAGGCGAATAATATACTCAAAAAAGTCATAAAGATTTTACCAAGTTCGGACTTGTCCACCTCGCGAGTAAATATTGTTACGTGGCTCATGTTGTTCAGCCGTTGTGGAGATTGACTATCAATGGCCATGGATGCCGAGGACTTGCCACTTGATACTATTCCACCCCTAGGAGGAAAGCTTAGTGGATGTGTCACAGTTCTGTTTGCTCCTGTTTCGATGCACTGCTGATTTTGTGGTTTAACTGCTAATAAGAGCAATGTTCCGGCGGAATATGAAAGCAATGATAAGAACAAAATAGCTTTTCGCATTTTATACTTGTCTGCGATCATTCCCCACACAGGCGCACCAATAAATTCAGAGAAGAATCTTATTCCAGCTAGTAAACCGGCTTGTGCTGCACTGAGGCCGAGTTGTTTAAAATATAAGGTTAGATATGGGACAGAGCTGCCAATGGCGCCATAAAATAAGAAGTAATAAGCCTTGTACCAAATCCCCGACGTTTGCAGACAAGAAACTGACGTGTTATTTGAAGAATCGTCTGAATCTTTCTTGCCCGATGCATCAGATTTCTCCCTCATCGTCAAAATCATTCAAGCTTTCGTTTCAAACTCGAAATCCGCTGTTGCGTGTGTACGTTTCAATTGAATTTTGCCCAGAAATCAGTATAATAACTTGGAGACTTAATTCGGGTAGCCGTCGCTCTGGTGATATTAGCATATTAGTATGAATGTGGAGTTTGTGATTTACATATTCAAATTTATTTCATATCTATATATTGAAGTGTGGTCAGGAGTGTTCCCCGGTGGAAAAGCAATGACAAGGATCGAATGAAACAATGGCACTAATTAATCGCTATGGACTGAGAACCGATCTCGGTGAAAACAAATCGAGAACAACCCATATCTAACCGAAATCCTTTCTTTAAAAAGCTGAGTACGTAACACCATGTCAGTGTCACCAAGAGATCCGGTTTTGTCCTCTCTGAAAAGAAACATTATGCAGGTCTTTGAGACTATGTAATGATCATCGAGAGGCAAAGTGATGCAGTAAAACCAAAAAAAATAAACTGTTTTGAGTACAGTCTGGCAAGAGATGAGTCGAGTCAAAAGATCGCGTTTTGCTTGGGTGGTCTCGCGAGGACTGGGAGTACATTCAATGTTGGCTTAGGGGAGGGGTAGGTGGGCAGTTTCCCAGAAACGTATAATAATCCCAACACATTTATCCCTTTCCTACCCGCTCCCTCCTCAGGTTCTTCGTTTTGCCTGCGAAATACTTGAAATTCGCCCTACCCTACCCCTTTCGCCCTCCTATCATGGTCACTAAATTTAACGAAATAAGAACTTGGAAGATAAGGCATATTTAATACACCCTATACCATTGTATACTCCACAGGGAGCCATTGATTCAGTTACGATAAAGGAGAAGATAAACTCATGCAACATCAACATCAAAACAACAAAATGACAATCATTATATCCAATTAACGTAAGTTGTATATAAGGATAAAGTGATATTTTTCAGTTATCTGAGTAGCCTAAGTTTTAGGTGTTAAATTGTTGGTTAGCTAGTGTTTTGTTGCAGGTATTTGGCAACCTATATGTCTACAATAATTTGAGATTCCGTAAAAGTCTACAACAAAAAAAATTAGGATAAAAATCGTCTCCACGCGTTTTATGCTCAGACACGGGGGAAAAAATCTGATTTTCTCGAAAACCTGTCCAGATAAATAAGTCACCGTTAAGGAATTCAAACGTTTACGAATGTCATTCGTTAATTAGGTTGACCAATCACTGATCCAGTCTGTTAATGAAATCGAATTATTTTACCTCACAAACGGATAAAAAGACGGTCTTAAACTAGACGTTCAATTTGAAATTAGAGTTCAAATGTCCGTCCCTTAAAATGAAAAAGGAAGATGGAGAGAAAGACGTTTCAAAGTTGTGTTCAAGTAACGGCCGGTCCAAACCTTGCCTAACAGAAATCACTTATAAGGTTTACTACTTTCTATTTTATGGCTCCATCGGCAGTTCTATTCCGTTTCTGGCTGTGTATTTCAAGCAACTTGGACTTAGTGCCGGTCACGCAGGTGTGTTGATCGGATTAAGACTCCTAATGGAATTCATCGGTGCGCCATTGTGGGGATGGATCGGAGATAAGTATAAAATGCAGAAAATTATTTTATTCTTTTCGGTGGCGTCATTCTCTGCAGGGACACTGCTGGTTCTGGTTGTTCAACCAGAGAATCAACAGTGCATCGAAACAAGAGGAAACAAAACGTTAATATATCCATTGACATTTCTTCCTGAAGGTGGAGTTATGATATTAGGTCAACCTACAGAAATGGCATCTCAACCTCCACGATTTTACAACAAGAGTCACGTGACAACGTCTAACTGGAAAGTCGACGAAACCGAACTTAAGAAAATCTTCTTTATTTGTTTCGGTTTAATTTTCGTCTGTCAGATTTTGGGCTCTGTGGTTTATATCATGCCTAATGTTTTGCTTATTGGAATCTTGGAGGGGAGATCAGACAAATTTGGAACTTTCCAAATGTGGGGCGAATGCAGCGTCGCAGTTAGTTCATTTCTTGTTGGAGGAGTCATCAGCTTGTACGAATCAGAAGTTTGCGGCAAGATCGTGTCGAACTATCACATTTCCTTCTATTTCTTTGCTGGTTTTAGTGCATTTTCCCTGGTTACCATTTTTTTCATGCATGCGAAATATTCTGATGATGAATTATCACAGAGCACTAGTATTTGGACTCTCGCGAAGGAACTTCTTCTCTATCGTAATATAATATTCATTGCGTTAGCATTTTATTTAGGAGTCCTTGTCGGGTTACATGAGCACTTCGGACTGTGGTATCTGGATGACCTTGGAGCTCAGCCCTATATGTTAGGAATTGCCGCTGGTTTCCGTTACGCCGTCGCATCTTTGGGGTATCTATTTTCAGGGACTATCATCACCAAGATTGGACCAGCACCGACTTCAGCTGTCTGCCTGGCATTGTACGTAGCGATTTACATGGGATTTGCTTTTGTCCTAAATCCCTGGATCGGTGTAGTATTATTCGTTTCTCAGGGAATCATGTACTCGCTGGGCTGGGCGACCTGTGTTGTGTTTGGCGCCGCAATATCTTCAAAAGCTGGATTCCATGGAGCAATTCAAGGTAATGCTATCTTATAATTCAAAGGGAGTCTCAATTCTGAGATGCTTTAGTTTTAAATCCAGACAACTTTCTCTTGAAAACTGACAAAATGTACACACAGTATTAGAAATAAGTGTAAAGAATGAGGTATGGCGGAGTAGTTATGAGAAGACTTGTTCATCATTTTGTCTGTTTGACGTTTAGGGAAGAAAGGACTAAATTTTCTTATTTTTGTTTAACAATGGAAAACAAATTAGTTCATAGATATCGTTTAAAAATGCGTTACCATATTAACATCCAAGTGACCATTTAATTGATCCAATTATAAAATGTTTTGGCTTTCTACATTGAGAGCAATCGAATTTTTTTTTCAATTAAATCTATTTACATAAGAGAATCTTGTACACGCTTGCTCATCGCTCAACAGTTACATGGGTATTATAGAACCTTGTTTCAATAAGAGCTTTACAATGAGAGTATTACTACCGCAGTGATGTTGTCAAGGTAGCAGGGGTTAAAACACTTTTGAAAAGAATATAAATCTGCAATGGATAGTTAGTACAGTTATGCCCAGGGGTTGAAATCTTAGAGAAGCAATGAGGCTTTTTAAGAAATGTGCAAAAAAATTAAAAGGTTATTTGCGCAGCAAGGATGCACAAGAATAAGACGGTCTTCCTTAGGTTCAGAGTTTTTAATCTTTTTAAAATTAATACTGCTCTACGTGAATTTACGGCCTACTAAAGGCCATTTAACCTTTACGTCGTTGTTGCGCAAGTTTATGCTGTGGTTATTTTTTTTAATCCCAGGTAATTATGTTTTTCTCTTGTTTTTGGGTATGGTAATGTATGCAAATGAACTTGAAACAAAGGAAAAGTAAAAATTACCTGAAATAAAGTATTAACTACAACCAAGAGACTATAAAGGGGACAGAGAGGGCATCCCCCATATACACCCTATTCCATAGGTAATTCGTCTCGAGTTAGTTTTAACACCACAGATCTCAAGGGGGATTAGACAACAGCCAATCGCATAGCGCGAATGTGTTCCGCGTGGATGACCCACGCTGAGAGCCACGCATCCTTCACGAAATGACGCAGAACAAAATGGGGGAAGACGCGGAGAGCGATTTTGCTATTCCTTTTGTCGACGAAAACGACTACAGCGAGATTTCTGCGAAAGCTGTGTCACCGAAATCGAAATTAAAAAAGAATCGCCCTTCCTCTCTTGTATAGAGCTAACAGTAGAGCAGGGAAATCCTTAACACACTAAATATTCTCTCAGGATCATTTATAATTTACAGTTTGAAGAGAGCAATTTCTGGTTTGATGTTTATTTTTTTCAGTCTTTATAGCGATTATTCCTACCCACTTACTTTGTCAATTGTAGGCGAACCCTCCTAAAGCTGAATTTCAAGGGACCATATTCAAGCTCAGCAAGAGAAATAAAATTTCGTCGTTGCTTATTCACGTCCTCCATAAAACGCGAAATTAGGCATTTTCACGTCGTAGTTGTGCAAAAACGGGAAAGAAATGAACAAAAAAGTGTGTTGCACGTGCGAAGTTGTTGTTTTGCTAATTAAACCTACTGTCTTTTTGACGTTCTAGTTGTCGTCCGTGTCGTTGGATCTTAAACTCCCTAAATTGTACAAACGACCGGTTTCAATAGACCGGCGAAATTTCTCATTTTATTAAAGCACTGAGGTTACGACAACTTCGAGTTAAACTGATTTCACGGGTTGTCAAAGAGTCCAGCGATTCCTTTTTCCCAGGTGAGCGCCCACTCATTTCGCTTCAATATTCAGGAATGCTCTCGATCTTTTTACACTTTCATTGCCTCTCGCTCGACATGTTTTGCACGGCGTTTGGTCATGCGAAACCTTCACGAAACATCCACGCCTCGCGCGAGGTAACTTTATCCCGATTCTAAAAATAACTCGAGACGAATTACCTATGGAATAGGGTGTATATGGGGAATGCCCTCTCTGTCCCCTTTATAGTCTCTTGCTTCAACATATATTTGTTTTATACATCACATTTGTTTTGTCACCAATAGGGGTCCTTGGAGGATTTCACTGGGGTCTTGGTGTGGGCTCAGGAATAATGGTCAGCGGTCTCGTTATTAACCAGGTCGGCGTTCCGAGGACGTATTTTATTTTTTCTTTGATATCAGTTGCCATTCTAGCTCTGTTTTTATTTGCGTACTGGGTGGCAAGTTTTAAAAAAGATACTCGTGATACTGGATACAAACTAATAGAAACAGAAGAAAAGGAAAATCCTTAAAAAAAGTGTTGTTTTCACCAGAAACAATTAAGTTCTTCTCATCGTGGAAAAAGAATACACAGGCGTCAAAAATAATTGTGCGGTTAGGTTTATTGCTTTCGTATTTTTAAATAGAATTACATATGTAATAATTTTAAAAGACTGCATTTATATTTAACTTGGGCTTTAAAAAAAATAGTTTAGGAAATTGTGCAGGCCAGTCCGGCAGTATTGGAATAGAATCTCTCCTAAGCGTACACCCTCGGAAGGCGAAAAAGGTGTCCGCGACCGGAGCTGGCCGCTTTTGGTTTTCATAAATGGCCACTAGAACTCAAGTGGTGTTTTGAACTGTAACCGGACGTGTATGTGAAAAAAAAAGGAAACTGATATAAATTCATTGTGACGAACAGCGATATGAAGAATTCAGAGGTATGAAAGATTCAGAGGCGAATGAGATTACATTTCAGGTGTCCGCTTACCTGCTTACGTGAGCTTAAAAACCAAGCTAAAATCTTACTAGTAAACTCTGAAAGTGTCCGCCGCGGCCGACTAAGGAAATTGTCCGCTTAGGGAATGTAAAAATACATGGTTTCTGTGGAAGTTAAAACGGGGTTTTGAGGAGGCGGCCGTACGTAGAGCTGTCCGCTTACGTGTCTGTTAAGAGAGCTTCCACTGTATCCGCGATTGATGTAGCCTTCCACGCAGACGTTCTTAGGGGTTCGTCACGCGTGGCAGGAACGCGTGAGCAACCCCTAAGAACGTCTGCGTGGGAGGCTACGATTGACGTGCTGGTTACACGGTTTCAACATCACGTGTATTCTTAAGTCTTTTATTTCTAAATTAGATTTGTTATTCGTCTGACGGCATCCTGTCTGGCCATGACATGACGCAGATGTAGCTCTTCATGTAGTTTCCTTATCTCCTCCAAGTCCCTGCTCTGTGACACTTCTCCCATTCGTCGGTTTAACTCTGTAAATTCTGGGTCATCAATCTCTTCCTCTTCATCTTCATGGCCGTCTCCTTCCCCTTCTTCTTCTTCTGATTCATTCTCTAACTGTGGTTTATCTCTATTTCGTGACTGTCCTTCCATGTCCTCCGTTTCTTTTTCTTCACCGTGTTCTCTATCATGTTCCCCAGTCAGCTCAGCACCTGTTAAAAAAACAAAAGAGAAACAAGATTATTCTGACTGGTTTAACTGTAACGTGGCGTTCACACGAAAGCTGAAATTAAAGTCAACATTAATTGGAAGGAACTGGAAGGAACGTGCACGTGACAAATCGCGAGCGAAACGCACGAGCGCGGGAAGGTAAGAGTGAATCTCGCGCGTCGCACCTCCGCCTTCTGTTCTAACGTTCACTCTAGCTCACGCAATTATGTAATAGGCGTATAATGTTCATCTTCCCTTTGTTGTGCGTATTTCCACCCCCGCCCCTCCCTTTTACTTCCGCTAGCCAGCCTATGTTTGCTTGTGCTTTCGTGATGGGGAAACGAATTGCATTCTTGCCAGAGAACAGAAAAAAACGAAACGTGTTCACTAAGACCTTTCCATTATTTTTTTGTTGAACGACCAGGAGGCAATACATTCAATCGCTCTTTTGTTCGGACGTGGTATAATTTAGGGTTCATACACCATTGCCGCTTGGAGATCCCTCCTCTCGTCTGAGTGATACGTTAAAATAATAGTACGTTATCAAGAGAGTTGACATCTAATTATTCTGATAATAGTATTACCTTTTCCTTGTTCCATGGAATTTAATCTCATTCTGGTGTCCAAAACACCCGTGAAATGCTTCATTTCTTCTTTGAAAGCTTTTCGCCTTCCTACAAACTCGTCTACAGACACTTTTGCCACAAATGTGAGGCGAGCGTGTGATTGATTTGTGCTTGGTGGACGGGCGGAGTGAGGAATAATTCCTGAGGTAAAACAAGACACCAAGATTTCTCGAACTTCTTAGCCTGTCTGAGTAAAGAGCACACATTTCGCGACGCCACCACTGGTATCCCTGCGAAATGACGTCTGAGGAACGATACTGATGACGCGTCACTAACCAGATCTGGGTAGTTACATGTCATCAGTATGGAATTTCTGCGCTCATTTCTCAGACATCATTTCGCGGGGATACAAGTGGTGACGTCGTGAAATGTCGGCTGTTTTCTCAAGCTACGAGTTACTTAACCAAAAGGAAAAATGATTGTTCACGTTTTCCACTTCAACATCGAAACCAAGAATGTAGTGGGGAGCTTAAGCAACCACAGCAGCAACTGCGGCGAAAATGTCACTTAAAAGTTCAAGTGAATTCGCGCTATTCAAACTTTATCGTACTTAAAGAATCCATTTTGTCCCACTTGTCAAACTTTGGCGAATTTTTCTGAGGTCGAATTCTAAAGAACTGCATCTAAGTTCGAAGAAAACGAAAATCGTTGGTTTGCGTTCACGTCCTCGAGTAAAACTAGGGAGTTTCACGTCGTAGTAAAGCAACGACCGCAAAGAAGCGTGATGCTCGAGCAAAGTTAGTGTTTTGCTAATCTAGATCTTTAGATTCTTGGCCGTTCTCATTACCGTTGCAGTCGTCGTTGCTTTAATAAGTTCTCTACAAGACAAAAAGCGACCATGCGCTATTGAATAAGTATACAAGCCAAAAAATAAACAAACAAAGTTTCTCTTCGTCCCTTCTCGTAACCTGCCATGAAGGCTAGGTTCCGCTACAACATACCTTGAAATACAACAGCCCGGCCATACTTGGGCCGAACCTCTGTGATGATTTCATTGTCGTGGCTCATTGTCTCATAAAAGGCTGTTTCGCCATAGTCATTTTTAGTCCAGTTTGGAGTTAGATAAATAAGGTACGTCCACTCATCTTCATGATATTCACAGTCCTGATGTATGCGGGTGTGATCGGCACTGCGGATCAGGTTACATGAGATGTCATATGGAAACCACTTATCGCTACCAGTCAAATGTTTAAGAGTCTGTAAGATTTAATGCACAAAAATTCAAGCGTTAGTAGAACAAGAAAAAAAGCCTGTTAGGCTCAAAAGAGCCTTTGGAAGAAGAAACACTTACAGTAACACTAGATCTGCTAATAAAATTTTCCATGACCAAAAATGAAAATTGAAGAAATGGTTTTATCTAAGACCCAACCACATCAAAAATAGGAAAGGACTGCTTCAAATCAGCTTACTGTTACAATTGCCACTCACACTGTGTGAAAAATTCTTATTTGCACTCTAAGCCTGCATGCAATTGTCTCCTATTTCCATTGTTATTTGCAGAAAACGAAAGGAAACAGGGGAGGTCTGCAAGCAGGCTAATTTAATTACACTTAAAACTCAATTAGCAGATTATCATGCTCATTTGGATACAGTGAAAATAACATGTGAGCTGGAGCCCCAGAAATCATCACTTGTGCATCTGTGCACAAATGAGAGTAAGAGTAATATTCTTTTACTTGCAAGAGCTTAGATTCAACTTTAAAACGTCTTTTCACTGCTTTTCATGAAATATCACTGACAGGTGTTAACTTGCAGGTGATTCATATTAGTAGTCAGAATGTTGAGTCAGTGGAACTTGGATTCCAGATTCAAATTGTTAGTGGGAATCTGGATTCCTTGAGCTTTATTCCAGATTCCAAAGTCCAGAATTCCAGATTCCACGAGCAAAAATTGCCCAGATTCTGGGATCTGGATTCCCTTACATAGGGTGACTTGTAGTTTAACCCTTTAAACCCTAAGATCAAAATTTGAATTCTCATTTGTTGCCCCCATTCATTTCCCATAGAAGTAGTGGGGAGAAGTTGCTAAAATATCAAGCAAATTTATCTTGTGTGATCATTTCCATAATTCTCATCACCAATCTGTTTTATAAAGCATTGATATTACAAGGAGAAATTTGATGCTGATCACTCTTAGGGCTTAAAGGGTTAAAAGCTCTCACACTCTGTGCACAAACCTGTTGCATAATGTTCCAAAGTCTGCTCTGAATGTAGTCGTTGATCTCAAACCCTGCAATCCACTGCACGTTATCACCTCCATCATCACCATCATCAGAATCATCATAATAATAAGTACCATGTTTGAAGATGAACGCTCTTAACCTATCAAGATCTTCCTTGTCAAAGAGATCATCAAACACAAAAATTTTCTTTCCTTCTGTTGAGGAGTGTTCAGACACCCGATGCTGTGCTATGTTGATACCAGTTGGAGCAGGTTTGTCGCTTCCAATAAATCCTGCATCATACGCCACCTGGCGTTGACCTTTTGCTGTCATTCTTTCCCTGTGGCTAGCAAGCATTTTTTGCTTGGACTTGGTGAACTGAACATGAAGTATTAGTTGTCCTTTTTTAAAAGCCATACTGGGAGGTCGTGCAAGATAAGACACTGAACTTGGCCATACAACAACACGGCCAAATTTTGGTACTGTTCCTGCCATTATTTCATTGTCTTCATCGTATCTGAGGAAAGCAAAAAAATTGGAGTTTCCTTTTAACAATTTCAAGAGTTTTGTTTGTGAAAGTCAGAAAACTGTGAAAACCAGATATATTTATGGAAAACCGCAAACAGCAACGGTAATTAGTTTGTAGTTTGCTGACGTATCCTGAACTTTATTGTGATATTTGGTCCCTACTCAATAAACATTGCTAAAATTTTTTAGCTGCTCAAGGTTTTCTGAGTTTGATGGTATAGTGAAATCCCGCCTTACGCCCACATTGGTAGTATGGTCACCTTGTTATTACAGCCACTTTATTTGGGTGCCTGGTAATAACATGGCCATACATTTTGTCGTAAAAAAAAATCTTGTTAATATGGCCACCTGTCAATATGGCCAAATTTTTATGGCCCATTGGTGACCGTAATAACGGGGTTCCACTGTAACTGGTTACTGCAAGTCATTCTTTAAGATACAGGTGGACGACTACATGTACATTGGGATGTCATTTCTGTGATCAGTGAGAGTATAGTATACAGAAAACTGTTGTCAATTTTTTAAAAATACTTGGGACTAAGACTGCTTGATTCACAAAAAATGAATTAATATACTTATCATTGTACTTACAGGTAAAGTTCTCCATAATCATTCTTCCTCCACGTAGGATTCAAAAACATAAAAGCAGAGTATTCATCATCTGTTTTGTTGGCATCAGTGAATAGTTTAGTAAAGTCACCACGTCGAACAAGTTTTCCTTTGACTTTGTATGGATAGTAAATATCCTCAGTTTGCGCAGTGTCCATCACTGCTTTTTGCATTGTTTTCCCAACCACGGATTTTGAAAATTCAATGCAATCTACGTCGTTTATCCATGGGATATTGTCTGTTGGCTTTTCAATTCCCCCGTCATATGGTTCATAAAGACTGAACTGCCAGGCTCCTAAATCGATATTTAAATACCTTGAGAAAATGTGAAGATTTATTGGGTGTAAAATATTATCAAAGACATAAATTTTGCCCCCATCAGTTGTTTGATATCTGAAAGTGATTTTTGATGAGAGGTCGACATCCAGGATTGTATCCTAAAGAAACAAATGAAAAATCACACTTTTATTACTTAAATTTTATTATATTTTTGTTACTCAGTGAAGCTACAAAATGCAAGGCCTGAAAAATATAAAGTTTGTAATAATAGGTAACTTAATACTAAGCAACGATGATGACAGCAGTAAAAATGCTGCAACAAAAATGAATTTGATGTTATCATTGTCGTCATCTTTGTGGTTGCTTATGCTCACCAATAGGTTGCTACTGACAATACTGCAATTTGGAAGCTTCTCTTAAATCCTTGTTCTTAAAGTCCACTTGTTCACAGACAATACTGTCTTGTGCTTGACATTACCAACTCGCAAGATAGCTGTCCCCAATTATTGCAGACCAATTTGAATAACCTTGAGGTGTGATTTTTGGACACATTGTTTTAGAATTGAGATACCAACTAATCAACTGTTGACTATTACTGATGTTTTTTTATCACCCCAGCAAAAAAATCCTCTTTTTGAGGGTTTGCTGTATATTTTAGTAAATATATAAACAAATAAGCCTAAAGGTCTCTTACATGTATGTCTATATAACATTATTATTCTTGCACTTTTAAGATGAATTATCAGTAATAGATTCAAAACAACCTTGATCAGGAATAAATTCAGGTTTGGCTCTTTCCTGGCCTTGTCATGAAAATAAACGTTTTATTGTTAGTTTGCTTCTTTGTGTTAGCATAAGCAATTATTTAAATTCAAAATGCACTATTTTTTTACTAGCATGCAAGTTTTGACCTCTGTGAAGTAAAATCAAGTCAGAGAAAGTTTTGGGCAACAAAGCAGACATCACGGGAGTTATTCTTCTCTCCTAAATGTTGTTTATTTTGGTTGGAAATAGTAACTGAATGTATTTTTATGTGTGTTTACCTTAAGAGAGAAAACATTATTTTTATAATCGTTATATGTCACTTAGTCATACCACCTGGATTTAAAATAAAAACTGTCCAAAAAAGCCCATAAATATTCTATCATGTTTAATGATCAGGTGCTTGTCGTCATTTATAATAATCCATCTGGCTGAAAGTTTAAGTGCATTTGAATTTTAAATCACTTTTGGAACCAACAGGTAAGCAGGTAAGTAGTAATTTTGGCATATTAATTGCCTGGGATAAACTAATACCTAGAAAAAGAAAAATGAAAAAACGGCTTCTTACTTCACACAATTAGATACTTGCGAGATGTGACAACTAAATTCTTTTGTAATTTTGTTCCTGTTTACATAGTAGTAAAATACTAAAGTAAGCTTGTGAGGAAACGACTTTTTTGAAAATCATATTTAGTGTTCATTTATATTGTATGTTTCATTCCCGATAGATGTGGACTGAAACAGTCAAAACATTAATCAAACTACCGGTAAGCCTTATGAGAAAAAAATAAATACAGAGAGAGGCTATTTCATGCGATCAAACGCCCCGGCATGGATGTTGACTTTCGCGAACTTTTACCTGTTCGCCAATTTATAGATCAATTTATAATGAAATCACCTGTATAAACTCTACAGAATTAAAGCATTCACCTCAATATTTGATTCAGCCACACCAAACTCGGTGCTGTCCTTTACGTTCCATGCAAAAGAATCTTCATTATCGGCGCTACATTGCGAGAATTCGCTGAAAAAATAGAGTGTCGCGAACGTAAAGACCAGTCTGTGACGCGCCATGTTTGGTTTGCGAACGCGGGCAACAGCGCGAGTGCTAACAATGTTTGGGGAATACGGTTGTTGATCAGCAAGAAGACCCGCACAGAGTTATCAAAATTGATCGATCTTTATAAATATGCAAATTTCAAAACACCAGATATGTTTCCTAAGAAACCTTAAGGGTTATCTGCTTTCAGCATCTTCCACAGGACTGTAAAACATTGAATAAGGGACGGACCATTAGAAAAGTTATGGGGGGGGAGGGGAATTTTCGACCTGCAGGAATTTTTTTTCGTTACCAAATTCCTTGTATGAATTTTTTTCAGGCCCTTGCATGAATATTTCTTAGGGGTTAATTGGCTTGCAAGAATTTTTTTTCATTGAATTTTCCCTTGCGCGAATTTTTTTTTTGTACTTCGCCCGCCCCCCCCATACGTTTTCTAATGGTCCGTCCCTAACCTTTCTGCAGTAGTCAGATTAGTTTTCATACTTCCGATGGTTTTTTCGTAGTTTTATTTTGATGATGAATTGAATACATTGAATTGAAAATACATTTTGGAGTGGAAGGAAGATTGTAACAGCTCAATTTCATTCGAAAAAATAATAAACAAACGTTTTTTTAACTCTCATGATATTTATCTCACTTCATAATTAAAATTTCATACAAAATTTACCGGAAGTGTTCAGTGTCCGATACACAAATAGATTCTCTTTACCTCGTCACGAATTACTTCCGCTAATGCGCACAGAATGTTCAGTCACAGTAAAAGGTTTATGGAAATGTCTTTCCACTACGCCAGGGAACAGATGGTCGTGGAAAATCAGCTGATTATTCATAGTTTATTGTTTCTACACCGGGTTTTAAAGCAGTTCCTTAAATTTTAGATAGCATCTTTTTAAAATTCTTCGCAAAATCTGTCTCTCCATTCGCCGCCTCGCCATGCGGTTAACTGTCCATTTCAGGTTGAGATTTCTTCTCGCTAGTTGTATATTTTTGTTCCTTTACTTTGTTTTGTTTTGTCACTTGACCGCGGCTTCCTCTCCTGGTTTTTGCGACAAAGATGGATGTGCTGGCGTCATAGAAAAAGGTATGTTTAAGCTTCGTAATCAATTTTTTGGCCCTCAACCGTCGATTGTGAAACATGAGATGAGGCCAGCAGAGACGCTGATCCCCAGAACTGCAGAGTTATACTTGCGTACTCCCTAAGCTTTATGAAATTCTGACTTTCGATTGTAGACAAAATGAGTAATACGACACTCAATTGAAACCTTTTGAAAGGAGTCACAATTGGCAACTGTTAGATTTGTTTTTCTGCACAACGTTTTAAGTTTGCGACCTTTGGTTGATATTGACGTTTGGCGGTCCAGAATGGGGTCGATAAAGAGCTGGGGTATTCAGTTATTCTGCTGCACATAATGGTCGATTCTCGAGAAAGTACACGTCAGCGATCACCTCTTGAGCTGATTAATTCTTCATATTATTCAAGGCTTAGATAAGAATATTAAAAAAAGAGAATCAAAATCACCCTCACTATAAAAATCGCTATTAACTTTCATTAACTTTCCCAAACAAATATATTGTTTTTTTAGGGGCCTTAAGATTCACCGTGTCTGCCTACAGCTACGGTTAGGAAAACATGTTTGCCAAATAGCTATATAAAAGGCAACCACAATTTCTTAGATATCATAATAGTTATGGTATCTAGGAAGTCATGGTCGTCCTTTTACATAGCTAATTTGCAAACATTTTTTATGAAAGGTATCACTGTTTTACCCAGCAGCCTACCTGTTTATCGAGGGCAAGAGGCAATCTACCTGTATTTGTGGCTATGCATACAGGGGTGGTATGGTTAACAATTATTCCACAAGTGCACGTTGGATCTGAGATGGTAGATAGCCAACGAGGCGCGTAGTGCTGAGTTGGCTATCTACCATCTAATATCCAACCAGCGCGAGTGAATTAACGTTGTTTTATTAAAAACACCCACAAAATATCAAGAATTCTTCCCGACTTTATTTGTAAGAACAACCAATTTTCAGCTGGTTTTTAATTTTGAGCAGACACGTACAATTACCATATTTAAAGAGCATTGTATGAAGGCTCATATATCACGATGGTTAAGCCTATTAGAGCTCTAGAATTGCATTATCCAATGATTCAGTTTTTGATAAAGGGAATTATCACATGTGCAATGGCTATGCAGATATGTGCCCCTGTGAAGTGTAGAAATCAGAGGATTTTGACTTAGAACAAGGTATCAGGTGAAACTGATCAGTGGCATGATAGTCATACATGTAGTCCATCATGTTGTAGGGATCTTAAGTACTTCGCACCTAGCTCTCAAACCAAGGAGGGCTTGTCATGAGTCTGTGTACATGCATAATGGGATAAACAATGTGAGACCCACACAGCCAGAAAAAGTACATGGAGTTTTGTAAAATTCTCAAGTTTCATGGTAATGGAGCCAATATTGAACAAGATACAGCTATTTAAAAACTTGACAATTTACTAGGAAATGTACAATGTACGGATTGGTGGACTCACTGCCCATATGTCTAGAAATTTCTTAGTAAATTTTTGAAAGACATTATCTCCCTCAATATAGGCCAGATCACACCAAACTTGAGGATCTTGCAAATCTCGGTTTACTCTTTCTGACTGTGTGGGTCATTTGTTGTTTACCCGATAATAAATGGACTCATACCCAGCCCCCCTCGGCTTGAAAAATAACAATTTAGGCAAAAATGTTGTTAATTACTAGTAATTTTTAATTTATCTTTTATCATAGGTCACCTGAAACCTTTTGGTCAACACAGAAAAGCTGAAGGTGAAATTATCAGCTTGAAGTATGCTCCAAGTGGTACTGACTTCTATCATAACTTTATACATAAAAGACAGCCTGTCATCATAAGAGGTGGTGCAAATCACTGGCCTGCTGTTCAACTATGGCAGAATGAATCTTACCTCACCTCACACTTTGGTTCTAGCATTTTTACTGTAGAATATCGAAAGAAGTTCAAGAATGAATTTCCCGTCAGAAAACCTTTAACTCTTAATGAATTTCTTAAAATTTACAAATCTGAAGAAGTTTACCTGGATTCAGCTTTTCCACCTAATGCATCCATGTTAAATGATGTTCTCTTACCATCACTTTTAAACTGCCATGAAATATCATCAACAATCGACAGTGTTAATTTATTATTTAACAGTGGAAGTGCAAACTCTGCATTTCATCATGATGGCTATGAGAATATTCTTACCCTCATCTCTGGAACAAAGAAGATCTATTTGGTCAACAGTACGTACAGCAAGGATCTGAAAGCTGATCAGTATGCAATCACTCCAGGAGTGCTTCCTATTGATCCTGAGAAGTTAGATCTTAAAGCATTTCCAAAATTAGCAGATATACCATATTATGAAGTAACTTTGAATAAAGGTGAGTTTCAGTGATTTCCTGTCTGATGAGATTCTTGTTGTTACTTAGAGCAACTTGCTTTGCCAGCCTTTGTTTCAGAGCAAAGACCAGATTTTCCTCAGGCATAACTCTTAAGATTGACATGCCTAAACTGGTGGCCACCTGTGTACCAAGTTTTGAGCACTTACGTGCCATGATAGGCCTCTTAAAAAGGCCTTAGTTGTTGATTTGCCAATCAGGTTGAAAGGAAATTCAAAACGCTTCATTGAATCTTTTGAGCGCCAAGAACAAGGATATTGTCACTGCTTCGCAGACCTTACTAACTGGGGTTAAATTACCTCTGTGATGCAGGTTCAAAAACACTAACGTATCCTGATACCCTCTGCCATATACCTTTCCACCCAATTCATCCACTTACCTTCCATCCACCCATTTAAACACTCCTTTATCCATTTCCTGTTGTCAAACCTAGGAGGACGGAGTATAAGTCTGTATATTATGGGATTATTAATATAAAATCTACATAGCCGGAAAGGGGACACCAAGCTTTACAGCATCTCCAAGTTTGGTGTTAATTAGGCAAATACTGAAGAAGACACGGGCACTCTAAAGTGTCAAAATTTACTGAGGAATGCATGGATTACAGGACAGGTTGTCTGGACGTCCATATATTTCTTTGTACATTTTGGAGATTTTGAATGGCTGTATCTTGTTTATTGCAATAATAATAATAATAATAATAATAATAATTGGCCTGATTAACACCAAACTTAAGGATTTTGTAAAGCTTGGTGAGCTTTTCCTAACAATAATAAATATTTAGGTGTTGTGTTGATAAGCGCGCAATATAGTTTATTACTTACACCCACTCCCTCACTGTTGAAACTAGATAGAACCCCCTATGTACATAAGCCGGCATCCACTGTTTTTTCCAGTCAGACACTTATCCATGCGCCACCACTTCTTTCAATCCACAAACTAAAATACAGTTGATCCAGAGTAGCCATTGTACATGTAGGGAGATTGAAACATGAGTGAATGTATGGACTGTCCACCCAAAAAATGGCCATTGCAGAGAGGTGGCCATTAGTGGAAGTTCAACTCTTTTATTCACCTTTATTTATACAGTCTAGTAACGAGCAATTACTGTGTTATTTAATTTTTATTTACAGGTGATATGTTGTATATACCTCAGTACTGGTGGCATGTTGTTCGCTCATATGACTCACCCAATATTGCTGTCAACATGTGGTTTGGACTGTTCAACTATGAAGATAAATTTCAAGAGGCAGGGATTTCTGAAGATACTGATGTTGTTAAGGTACTCTCTTCATCTACAAAGCTAGGCAGCTCCTTCCATAAAATTAGTTTTGTTATGCATGACTCACATTCTGAAGTCTTCAGAGACTATTGGTAATTTAATATCAAGCCTTCTGTGGCGTGACCAACAACATTACCATCCAGGGCCAAGTTGTTCAAAGCTGGGTTAAGATAACCCAGGTTTATAGTTCAAACTTTGAATTCAGATATGAAAGCTTAAAAAGTAAATTCAGTTTAATTCTTTTTGTCAACAATTTGATGATTGGCTACTTTAAAAAGAGAAGAGAAAATTGTCTGAGAAAATGCTTTTGATGAAAAGAAAATGAAAAAAAGACCTGGGTTAAAATTTAACCCTGACTACTCAGGTTAACAACTACCGGTAGGTTGCTAATACCATAAGCTCTAGGCATTTGACTTCAGTATCTTGGTTGTTCATTAAACGCCATCTTAACTTAACAGTAATAGGGAGCTTAAACAAAGACATTTTTGTGTGATGCACGTCAACCAGAAGTGTGACCTTATTCCTTTTAATATTCCTTAATGCTACCAAATTTGTATTGCTAAGTTTCGTCACTCTTATAGAGACAATTTGCTTGAAAATTTTGGCAAACCCACCACCCAAGAACACAAAAAGTCCTGTCCCAGTTGACGTGTGTTGTTCAAAAACGTCTTTGCCTAAGTTCCCTAATACTTCTCAACCTACTTAATATGATGTCTTTCAGTTGTCATTAATTTTCATTACAGAAAGTTACAAGTTAGTATGTTTTATTTAGCCTAATGTTGCAAAGATGTCATTATCCTGGCATTTACTAGTAACTTATACTTAAGCAATTCAAACAATTACACAGCAATTATCATTCCATATCAGGTAACAGAGCTGTTTGACAAACTAGTCAAGGATGAACCAGATAAGATTCAGTGTCAAGAAGAAAAGCATGCTTTGAATGCTGTCCTAAAAATCAATTTAAGTGATCCAAGCAGTGGACCCCTGAGGATACCCAAGCAAAACAAGAGACCAGAAGATATTACCCTTGCTAGTGGTTATAAGAGTAAGTACAACACTGTGTTAGCTAGCAGTACCTCAGGTGGCCTGCAGGGCCAACTTAATTTGGCCTTTTAGGAATCAATTACAGTCGACTCCCGATAATTCGAACCTTCAAGGGAAATAGAAAAAAGTTCGAGTTATCGGAAGTTCGAGTTATCGAGGGTAAAATTTATATAGAAAATGATCTGAAGGGAAAATGTAAATAATACTTCGAGTTAGCGGGAGGTTCGAGTTATAATGGGTACAAGTTAGCGAGATTCGACTGTACCAAAGTCCTGGAATCCCTTAATTACTGCGAAACTGACCTGCATTAAGCGGTCACCTTTTCCGAGGTCGGAACAAGTTATTTATTGTCCCCACCTCTATTTAACGGTCACTTTGACAAGGTGTACCATCCTAGTGTAACATATTCACTGTGTATGGCATTTAATGGTCTTTTTCTTCCTTTCATTTGGCACAAGAAGAGCTAGAAACAGTTTGAGGTTGTTTAGTCATAGGATAGAATATTAGCTCTTTCACCATCTTCATTTTCTTGCGTAACGCTTAGGTTTGTCAAACTTGTATTTGGTGGTCAGTAAGCCATTCTCCCAGGGTGGCCGCTTAATACAGGTTTGACCATGTTGTGCTTTTTCCATAGCTGTTAGATCTAAGGGTTGCTTATCTGAAGCTGACTGCTAATTCAACCATGTACAGTACTTTGTTTTTTTTTTTCTCTTTCTTCATCCCTCATTAGTGCCTGTGATGGGTCTTGGAACAGCTGCCCTTATGGAGAACACAACCTTTGCTGTTAAAACAGCACTTGAAATTGGATACAGGTTAATAAATACTCACATGTTATCCTTATAACAACTCCTGTTAGTGTGTATACTGAGAGATATTCTGGTGTTAACATGATAACAAACATTACACATATACATGTAAGTTAATACTGAATGGTTTTGGTGACACTGCAAAATGATACCTTCTTGTTTTTTTTCATCTCTCAGTAGTTTGTAGTATGTGGTATGTGTGACTGACATTTAAACTACCTGTAAGTGGAATGACCTCAGTGTCAAATTGAAGATGACTTCCTCTCACAGTAGTCTGTTGCATAACTTCAAGAGAACAATATTCAGCAAACAGATCTTACTCTATTTTCTACAGTTGTGTACAGCTTATTTGGCAGACAAAGAAATATTACGGAAAGGAAAAATGCCAAAGTGACAAACTCTTGTTGTTTTGTATAAGAAGAAATTAAAAGATCAGTTTGCTTTGTGGATACAATATGCTGTTCATTGGTTGAGCAAATTAATCTGTACGGAAACTGCAGAGAATAATGGCCAGTTAGTGCACAGTAGGAAGGTCTGTCAGGTTGGAATGTGATGTGTTCTTTACAGGAATACCAATTTAACAGCCTTACTCATTTATCATATAGGTTGATTGATACAGCACAGGGATACCCAGATTCAGAACCACAAGTCGCTAAGGCCATTCAACAGAGTGGAATACCAAGATCAGAGATATTCATTATGACCAAACTCCATCCAAGATTTCTAGGATATGATACAACATTAGAGGCCATTGAAATGTCCTTGAAGAGTCTCAAGACGGATTATATTGATTTGTTTCTCATACACAGCCAGGCTTGTGATGGCTTCTTTTTGACTTGTGAAGAAGGTATTACTGTTTAGTCCCCATTTGTAGGAAGAAAACCTGTACCACATAGAAGGTTCACCCTCGCAGCTTAGTCATCATTAGCAAAAAACTGGCCTCTTTGCCCGCGCCGACGGTGCATTCTCTGATTGTCTCACCTTTTTTTTTTCATGGCGGGGGACCCGGCTGGGTGTGTTACCCCTCTAGCTAAGCCAACTTTTTGTTTCCCGTGTACACAGTTTGCCACATATTGTAAAAAAAATGTGTGAAAAGTTGGCTCGCCAAGGTTGGCTCAGGTAGGTAGGTGACCCTTTGGCCTACGGTCTTTTCGTCTACAAGTCGTTTCGCCAGCGTACTGTTCGCTACCTTTTGAAGTCGTTTCGCGTACGTGTTGGGTCAGTTCCCTAACCGCTTTTGCCTGATCAGTGGCTAAAAGAACGGGGTATATGTACATGTGCATCGCATTTTTTTGTGTCATGGCTTAGAGGAACGAGGCATATACATGCGCAGCGCTGGTTACCCTTCTTAGTGGAACGACGCAAGACGTTAGCGAAAGGGACGTTAGCGAAACGACCGGTCACCGATCCTTCTACATTGTACCTGGGACGAGTTTTCTCCATAATGATATAAACGGGTCCTTAGATACATCACTGATTTTTGTTTTGAGCTGCTTGAGCCGTGGGTTCTTCTCTGTCAAAAATATACAATTTTTAATTTACTGTTTCATAAATTTGCTTCCTTTCATTTTGCTATCTTTACACCCTACATCGTTGCTCGTTTACCGAATATTGAGAACAAAACTTTGTTTTTTCTTCCGTTGTATCAGGGGAACCAAAAGGAACATGGCAGGATAGCTGGAAAGCCATGGAAGAGATGCAGAAGAAAGGGAAACTGCGCAGCCTTGGTGTCAGTAATTTTGACGTTGAAAGCCTGGAAGAACTGGTTCAACTGGCCACGGTTCCAGTGTCAGCGGTTCAAAACTGGTTTGACCCGTTTCATCAAGACAGAGTTGTTCGTAAGTTCTGCGAGAAGCATGGCATTCGGTTCATTGGCTATTCTACCCTTGGTAAGTTTTTGGAAGAGATTTAAAAAGCTAAAAATACAGCGAAGCCTTATCCGGTTATCAACGTTTCTGAATTCAGAACTGTAAGATGGTGGACTATTAAAAGAAGGTTAATAAACGGAAAGGCGTCTTACAACAACGACTTTGTAAAAATTGAAGTTCTTTAATAGCCTGCGCCGCTAGCCTGCGTAGCTGGCGGTTTTTTTATTTTTGTTGTTGTTTTTTTCTGGTTCGTAAAGTAAGGAATTCAGCCGCGCGAAGCTTTTTTAACCGAGGACAAAAAAGAAAACGATGGGTGTGGCGGCGTGGGGAGAAGGCACTCTCGCTCCCTCTCCCATCGTTTTATTTTTTGACCTTGATTCCGCTTTCGCGCGGCTGTAACTCTTACGTTGCAAACCACAACAAAAAAAAAACACCAAAAAAACCGCCAGCTACACAGGCTACCTGCGAGCAATCTCTTTTAGATTGGACTTAGGAGAAACGATAAACGAGTCAATTCTGGCATTATTTTCAGAGCCAAGAATCTATGGGGAATTTAGAAGTCTTTAAGTTAAGCATTGGACGTTAAACGTCCACTGATGGGGGAGGATTACGTAATAAGCACGTTAGCGTAGGAGGCTAAGGTGTGTGGTGCGCAAAATTCAAATTTCTGAGACATGGAAGCCTCTCCCAACTAGTTCGGTCATGAACTATCTTACAGTGTTGACAATGATACAACTGCCAACATTGCCAAAAGAAGCCAATTATTAAATATATGTCACGTTTGCGTTTGTTTGAAGTTTTCACTGAAGCTGGTCACTTAAGCTCTTATCAAGTCAGCTTAGTCTGTGCTCTAATTATTTGGCTGCACTGGTAACTTTGGAACAAGTCCCGGTTAAAAGTGGGACAGTAGGGTATTTTTGTTAGAATAATTTACTACTACCTTGTTGAGTTCTTAAGGGAATACGCCTTATAGTTGTTAGTTATTTGCAAGCTCCATGCAGTGATCAACTTTCTGTTTTTTTTTCTTTTTGTAGGAACACAGTGGGTTTACTTTCATGGCTTGCAAAAGAATCCCGTGCTAACTTCCTCTCTGATTTTGGAGATGGCTAGCCATTACGAATTTGTCGCCTCTCAAGTTGTTTTGCGATGGGCTATCCACGCCAACGTAACAGTGATCCCAAGATCGAAGAGTCCTCGCAATCTGTACTTGAATTTCCGATCATTGGACTTCTCTCTCACTGACGATGAAATTGGTTATTTTGAAAACATCACAGATTATGAATTTCACCCCTTGGAGACTAAGATGTCTAAAGGAATGGGTAGGTAATTTTTGTACGATACGATGATTGTCACTCTAAACACAGGAAACAGTGGTACTGTCTTCAGTAATAAAGGTGTTTTTGTTTTTGTTTTTGTTTTTTTTTTCCTTGGTACGAGTGAGAAAACAAAAGAAAAATCTAAGTTCTTGACAAAATTCTAGTCCGTAGCTTCCCAGAAGAACCATTGGACACACGTCAAGAATTCTCCTAGGAATGTAGTGTTCAAGGCAATTTCTACGCTGTACTGAATAGTTTTTTTCGTCAGCATGAAAATCTTTTCAGATAGGGCCTCTCTTCTCGCATAAGAACGATATTTTCGGCGCGATTTCTGTAACGGAGCGAAACTGCGCCGCGCTGATCTCTGATTTGGAGAGTCACATGTCAGATAGGAGTTCATACTACATGTATAACGGATAGCTTGAGTTGCCTCTGGCCTCGTTTTCAAAATGAGGCTTACAGCAGTCTTTGATGTTGTCGTGTTATTCAAACTTATTTTTACCTGAAAGGACGTGCTCTTGATCTCATTTGGAAGCGAGAGTTTTTGGAACTGGGAAAGCCCTATACGAGGGTCCCCAATATGATTCTTCAATCCCGTAATCTCGACCCAAAATTTCGGGTAATTCCGTAACCCCTGTGTTTGTTTTTGGCATTCCACCTCCCGCGATACCTTCAATTCCGAACCTCGCCCTGATTTTTGCCTCAAAATCCCAAATCCCGAGCGTCAAATAAGGGAAATCCCGGATCCCGACAAACCTATTGGCTACCCTCCTGTTACCTTTGTTTGTTTGGGCCAGTGATTCAACCATTGCTGAGTGTGTTTCCTTGTTTAATGTGTATTTATTATTTGTTCAGGTTGTTCCGATAAACATGCGAACTGTCAGCAGTGGGCGGAATCTGGAGAATGCACAGTAAACCCAGACTGGATGCTGATTAACTGCCAACAAAGTTGCGGACTGTGTTGTGAGTTTTTAAACTTCCATGGCATTTCCTCAGTAGAACGTTTTGTTATTCAAGCCCTCTCGATAGCAGACTGCTTAAAATGTAGATCAATTTAGGCTTCTTGGAAGCTGCCCACCTACCCCTCCCCTAATCCAACCTGTAACCCTAATTGAGAAGTAAGTGTTAATGTTGGCTTAGGGGAGGGGTAGGTAGTCAGTTTTCTAGAAACTTAAATTGATTCTAAAATTTGTCAAGCCGTAAGTAATTTTTCTCAGGTATTTTTTTTCTTTTTTTCACTTTACTTTACAGATGACCAAGACCTAACAGATTCCGGAGCAGAAGAACCCCTTGTTTTCGTTGGATCGGAAGATCATTACATGTACGCTCTTCACAATGCAGAAGGAACAGTTGTCTGGAAGTATAGAACTCTTGGGAAAATTATGTCCACTGCTGCCTTTAGTCACGACGGCGAAATCTTGTATTTTGGTTCGAACGACGGCAATGTGTATGCCCTTTATACGGCCGATGGTTCGTCAGTATGGACGCATAAGACCGATGGAGCTGTCGTGGCACAACCAACTGTCAGTGTTAACGGGATAGTTTATATCGGGTCGCACGATCAAATCGTGTATGCACTGGAAGGTAAAACCGGGTCTGTTGTATGGACCTCAAATCTTGGGTGTGCCATTTGGGGTACAATTGCTATCGACAACGAAAGGGGACTTCTCTTCACTGGCTGTACCTCTGAAAAGTCAAACACTTCCGACGCCATAGATACTCCTCATATCTTTGCCCTGAATGTCAGTTCGGGAGACGTCGTTTGGAAGTTTGAAAGCGCCGGAAACGTGTACGGTTCACCAGCTCTCACGCCGAGCGGACATACCGTGTTCTTTGCCTCTTTAGACCATAATATCTACGCTCTTGATCGTGAATCTGGTAAGCTGGTGTGGTCTTATGACACAGGGTCAGAAATAGAATCCTCTCCCGTCGTGAGCCGGGCAGATGGCACGCTATTTGTGGGATTGATCAAAGACCAGCTGATTGCTGTAGATACTGTTAGTGGTCCTTTAGAGGGGAAAATCAAGTGGAAAGTTAACACTGGCGGAGAGGTGGTATCGTCACCAGTCATTACTGAGGATGGGAGGGTAAGTCCAAATTGTCAGACGGAAAATAATACGCCATTTCCGAATTCAGTGACCAAGTCAAATGTACCCAAGTGTGCGTCGCCGTTCATGTGAAAATGAGCTTTCTTTGCGGGAGAATAGAAGGGCGCTTTCCATTTGTCAGAACTGACCGGCAAGGCCATTCCCGTCGTTAATGCGAATTTCACTTTCAATCAAAGCTATCCTGCCAGATCAGTCAAATCCTAAATAGCATGCGCAAAGAAATAATCGTTTTTCTTTGAAGAACCCTTGAATAAAGCCTATTTCATTTTCAAAATGACAGGTACGGCCATGGTCGGGCCGGCTAGTTCTGCCTTTTGGAAGCGCCCTTAGCTTATACCTTGCTTTCAAAAGAGGCGAAGGTCAACATGAGAATGGCATAGTTAGTGGAGACAGAAGGCTAAGAAAAGGATATATAATCAATCAATAATGAGGATACGAATCCCGCTAGCTGGTAGATAGATAGTTTGGGGCCTCCTGAATATTTTAAGAGAAGGGTTTTCTTTTCTTCACTTCCAGTCGTTCTTACCTTGCAGCCGTTACAAATGCTTGCACAGAAGCGGCTGTAAATTATCAATTCGGTTTTTGAAAATATTGACGACTTCAAATCACAGGGGTAAGTAAAGCCTATCCCTTTCTTTATCTCATCCAGCTTCTAGTGTGGACGGGCAGTAAGTTGTAATCATAAGTGTGACAACAGGGGCACCCAACGACGGTTTCCTCCTAAATACATTCAAAACACTTTTTAGACTGTCTAGAGCACTTTTAGATATCTAGGAATGCATTCCAAGAGGCGCTATAAAATTTGTAACTGTTCGGTCATCCTAGGGAAACTTGAGTCTTTTTTAATTTACAAGGGCTTCAGTATTATCTTCCTGACAATTTTAGATGCAATGTAACTTTTTACGAAAGTGAAAAATTTTCTATTTGCATTTTTGAATCCGAAAATTTTAGGTTTCCATTTTCTACGAAAAATAGCCCAGCACTGGTAGTGAAATGTGAAAAAAAAATGTTCATTCAGAAAATCGTAATAGAACGGGCGTCCAGAAATTTTTAGCCGTCCTAAACCAATAGAAAATTCTAGGCCGCGTTTGCTTTTCCGAACAGATATTTTACAGAAAATGGTCTTTGGGTGCCCCTGTGACAATTTCAAAAACTATTAAACAGTACTTGACTTGGTATTTTTTTCCTAAAAAACTGTTTTACAAATCAGTAGAATTCCTCATGAGCCATTTACTCAGACTTGACATTGTTTCTTACTCTTCAGGTTTTCATTGGTTCAGGCGACGGACGCATTTTGGCTCTCAATCAAACCGACGGTTCCCATATATGGTCACCAACAACTGGTGACTACGTCGTGGCTTCTGTAGCAGTATCACGTGATAACGTAGTGTATGCGGCTAGCTCAGACAAGTTCCTGTATGCTTTACACGGTAATGATGGCTCCGTAATCTGGAAGTTTCAAACTGGTGCTGCTATTGTGGCATCTCCGTCTTTGTTTCCTGAACATATGATGTCCGTTGGTTAGACAGAGAAGTTCTGTTTTCCGCGTCAGCAAAACGTAACGTTTCACATTCTAAAGAAATTTCGTAATTTATTTCCTTTTACATCGTAAGAGCAGTAATTTAATTACTGTGGTGCGTTTAAAAGCTTTGGCATAAATGAAGTAAATAATGTACATAAAATAACCTATAATTTATATACAGATGTCCGTTTATTGTTCAAATGGGCTTAAAAGACAATATAAAAGAAAGGAGTAAGCTTGAAATGATAAAATACGTACATGTAATAAAAGATGATAATTTATCCACAACCAATTGTAAAGTAAACAGTATAAATTGAGTAATTAAAATGGAAATGAGATCTGAAAAAAGGAAAAATATCGTTTCAGTTACAGAATCCTTTAAAAATCAGTGTACGAAAACTATCAACCGTTAAGTTGGTTTACGAGTTCGTCAAAGAAACCTCCTAAGACTAATCTACCAAACGGATTGAAGTACTTCGTAAGCACAAGTTGAATTTCGGGGTTCGTTACGTTCTTGACGGATCCATTAGATTCCGTTATGGCCTCAAGCAACACTTATGTGATTGTTTTTTTAATTTAATGCCTCCTGTGGTGTGCTACCATTTGCCTCGTGGTAGCCTCGATTTATGGCACTCGGATTTTTTGGATTTAACTAAAACGGGAAACTGGAAAGTGAAAAATGGGAAGAAAACAAAGCCGGCATTACTAATGAAGTTACTGATAGAGCAAAGGGTTAAGTTACTAGGTTTTGTTCCAATTTTTTTCCCTTTCCCCGTTCCTCATTCCTCGTTCCACATTCCCTGTTCCTCGTTTTAGTAAAATACCAGCTTCTCTGACCATGACTAATTTGGGACAGATATCGCAAATAGAAATCAGTAACAAAACAACGCCCGCGTGACAAAAGAAGTGACTTCAAAAGTGATTTCCCATTTTCCTAGAAATGACGGAAATTCTAGATACAACTAGCTTGACCAAACTGATCCGAAGTTAATTTTAACGGTGATAAAGATCATTGGAGACTTCAGAACAAAAACGTGGTCAGACGTCCTGTAGCCTTTTCGGAAGCCAATTTGGTTGTTGTGTATTAATTATATTGTGTTCGTTAAGATATTTTGTAAGACGGTCATGAATAATTAGGGTAAAGAATTTAACAAAACAACTATATACAGTAATTTCGCGATAGTTATTAGGGTCGCCTATATCACTCGCTTTAAATACGGTTGAAATATAACCCACAGACCACAACTGGGGAAATATGCCGGAATTGAAAACTTTATTAAAAAGAATTTCCAATATATACAGGCCCAATGATGGATATAGCAAGAAAAATTCTTGTTACTTTTTCGATTTTTGCGAAATTTGCTATCCTAAAGGCAGTTTTATTTAAATCTTTTTTGCTGAAATTGCGAAAGGAACTTGTTAGCAAAGTTTTGCTAACATTACATCATAGTTTGACCAAAAAAATTTTTTTTTGACGGCTGGTTAAAGGTCTTAACTTTGGCTTCAGTCAAACATATCAAATTACATTGCGTTTTGTGGTAATCTCACAGAAAGATTTTCCGCATCTCCAAGTTCAAAATTGTTGTGACAACTTGAAAATCAAAAGTCAAAGTTTTGCGTTTCATAATCTTGTACCAAGGAATGAAACTGTTAAAATGTCGCTGAAACATTTCTTATTTTGAATGCTACTTGAAATTCAGGAAGATGGATTTGATGAATTCGTCGAAATGTTGATTTGTTCAGAGACTGATCGCAGTCTTCGTGCAATAACCCCGCATGTTAAAATCTCAGGGGCACCCAACGACAATTTTCGCAAGAATATCTGTTCGGAAGACGATTTGAGATCTAGAATTTTCGAAACATTTGTTGTAAAATTTCTTGCTTGCCTGCCTCTCCTAGGATTTTCGAACATGTAAAAAATGGTATAATTGCCTATTTTTAACGGATTTTTACCCTAAAAAGGTCACCTAGAATTTTCGGGAGCCTTTTTTCTGGCTGAAATTTTCGAAAAAGTGAGTTTTGATCCCTATTATTTTCGGATTACTAGACTTTCAGCTAGGAAATCCGAACAGATGAAAAATTTTTAGGGGATAAAAATGTGCCTATATCTACCGTTTAAATACTAAAATACGTTTAACAATGCTATGTTTAAGTGGTTTTGAACTATATTCTCGTTGGGTGCCCCTGAAATCTTAATAAACGCGTCTCTGTAGGGCTGAAGTCTCCAGGCAAAGACAAACGGATTCATACTGGAATTAGCCATGATTAGGATGTAGTTCAAATCTCTCGCCCAGTGAATAAAATCACAGTTACAGCTTGCACAAAAGCTTATGATCAGGATAAGAATCAACGAAGGAAGAAAACACGAAATAAAAAGGGTCAACATGATCAGAAATGTCTTAGTTACTTTCTTCTCCCATTTAATCGTTCTCTTCTTGACGTGGTTATAACTCTCTGAGCCTTGATGTAAACTGTCCCAAGTCCTGACTTGATTTTTAAAACTTTTGAAAACTTTCACGTAGGTCAAACAAAGCACCACAAATGTTGTCACGACAGCTGTGATGGCGAAGAAAAATTGGTATTTTAGATAGCCGACACTGAAATACAGAAAGGGAAACCCAATGGAGATAGTCCATATTGAAAGCAAGATGACTGTGGCTCTCCGAGAAGTCAATTTAGCTCTGTATTCCATAGGATTAGTAATGGCAAAGAATCTGTCCACACTCATTGCAGCTAAACTAAAAAGCGATGCTGTACACGAGATGAAAGTTCCCACACGTCTTGCGTCATCTCGAGGAAGAAGTGTAACTTGTTTTGTCGAAGCCTCTCGCACGTAGAACTCCGCCGACATTGGCAATGCAAAACAACCCACTATTAAATCGGCTGCCGCGAGGTTAGCGACTAGCAAATTGAAAGGCGATCGTAGATTGCGATTTGGATCAATAATTACTGCCAGAAACACAAGGATATTTCCTACAACAGCTACAACTGAGAGGACTGAACAGAAGGTAGCTGAAGTGATGCTTAAACTAGTGGGCGCCGAGATATTTGAGCAAGGGTACGATTCCAACAGTGACATGTCTGAATGCGAAGATTTTAGCTTCGTGACCAGGTGATAACTCAGTTCATTTTGTATTCAATAACCTTAATTAACTCAGGTGGGCTGCGGAGATTATCTTACGGTATATAAACTGACAAGCTCGTCATTTCAGCGCAAAAGGAAATAAAGCTTGTAAGTAAGACAATGAACAGAATGACAGACACTTTTATATTTGATAAGCTCACGCACCAACCTGACAACTTTTGATAAATTGAAAATACTGTATAGGACTGGACCACCCTATTATCTTGGAGCAAATGAGCGACAGTCAAGGCACTGGAGAATAAAAAGCTATAACTGGAAAATCAGTTTGAGCTATGAGAAATATATATTGCGCTATTAGACATCGCACGGGAAATTGAAAATTAGCTAAGATAAGTAAATTCTCAGAACGCAAACCAACTTAACTCCATACAGTCACCTTTGTCTTTCAAGATAGGTGTTTCACTTTCCAGTATGTGTTGATTTAAAAACAGCATTGCGTTAAAAAAGCCGATAGGATATGTAAAGTAGCCTGTGTACAGCCGAGGGGGCGGCTGTACGCAGGCTAATAAAAAGTGAAAATCGCGTTTTGGACTCATTCCGGCTTTCCCAAGAATAATAAAGGACTTCTCGAAGTCTATCATGAAGTGGCCTCTTCGTATAAATATTATGAATTCTTCATGATTCTTTATGATTCTTTAAATTTGTGATTTTTAAGAATACGTATATTTCACAACGCTTAATTATCGCGAATTTCCTGTACGTAGGTTTGTATAAGAGGGGGGCTATTTGACAGTCTGTTGCCTAATTACAGTTTTGCCTCACTAAATATATTGAACTTTTAAAATGATCTCGATACCCTGGAAATTAGCGTCGTAAAAAACTTGCGTCTATTGAAGGAGCTGAATGAATGAAGCATATTTCAGCCTCCCTCATTTGCATTATCGCCAGCCGGTCATGTCAGCTAATTCGAAATGAAACGTCCCATTTTAAATTTTCATTTATTTTTTTTTGTCATGTATTCAATTTTTTTTTAAAACATCAATTCCGCCGTTCAAGAAAAGAATTGCTTTTCTTATCCTTGATCTAAAATTAATTTCGTCTTTGGCGATTTGTTTTTAGAGACCCGAGTGGGAGGCTGCAGTTTCAGTCCCGCTCAACAAGCCATGACTAGGCGTTAATGTATCGGTCAAATCGAAGCTTCAACATGCCCCCCCCCCCGGGCAACCCCCCGGGCATTTGACTTTTTTGAAAATTATTGTTCAAATTCCCCCCTACCCGGGTCAAAATGCCGTTCAAATGCCCCACACTATGGTCCATCTAGGTGATCAAATGCCCCCACCCCGGGGACGTTTCACAGGCACAAAACTGTCAGAGGGACGGCAGAAACGCCTTCAGTTGTCGAACAAAATCTTTATAAATATAACAAAACTGAGAAACACTGTTAGCGTATTTACTAAGAACAAAAGTGTCGTGCAAAGCGGTAGCCTGCGAAGCGCAGACGCATTTCCGGTCGTCGCTTCTCTCCCTCCGAAAAATAGCTCCGAAAAATAGCTATTTTTCGGAGGGAGAGAAGCGACGACCGGAAATGCGTCTGCGCTTCGCAGGCTAGCAAAGCGGCGGAAATCGCTGCTACAAGCTCACTGAATGCTCAAAGCGTTCTATAAAAGAAGACCCCATCTATTGAGATTACTACATCATGACCATTTCACTGATATGCATCATCGCTAACCTTATTAACTAATATACTTGCAGTAGGTCAAAGTAGTTGACCTGAGCTTTTTATTTTATTTTATTTTATGTTGTTGTATTGAATCGCCGGTATAGGTATTGTATTTCATTGTATAAAACACAACAATAAAATACATTCATACATTCAAAGCCTGAATCCAGTATTAAAAATTTTAAAATTTAAATACTTCAAATACAGCACAAAACTTGTTTAAGCCCTTTCCTCGAAACCAATTGGCCACAAAGGCACGATCTTTTCATCAAAAATCCTATAACACCGCGTCCCCCATGATAGCTCGCCACGCCAAAGATTTTACATGAAATCGAGGGTTCAGTTCAAATTCCCCACCCCTAAAGCATGGGGATCAAATTCCCCACCCCTGGAAGACTCTGATAATCAAATTCCCTCCTCCCCGGGACGGCAAAGGTGTCAAATGCCCGGGGTATGCCCGGGGGGGGGCATGTTGAAGCTTCGATTTGACCGATACATAACTCACCATAGGTGTACGGGCCGGGGGGTCGAGGGGGTTGCAGCAGCCCAAAATTTGGCGTGGTAAATCCAGTTAAATTCGCACGAGACAGTAGTGTGAAGAAAAATTCAACAGCGTATGGCAGATAGCATCAGCAATGGGTCTGAAAATGAAGAAGTGACTGACCAATTCTCGCTGTTTGAATTACGAAAAGCCAGCGCACACAGACAATCGCCATCGCAAAGACAAACGCACCTAACACCGGAATCCGCACCACCCTATAGCCTGGTTCACAGACGTAATTTAACCTCGGTCTGTAGTAAGGTCTGTAGTCTGCTACACAGCCGTTTTTAGTGTCGTCACGCAACGCTCCTCCCCACTAGCGTTGCGTGACGACACTGAAAACGGCCGTGTAGCAGACTATAAGGTCTGCGAAGCCGATATCGCCGATATCTTTGTGCTGGCCCCCAAGGACTCACAGAATTACCGGAAGTGCGTTTCAAATTTCCTTTCGTCTTGATTGGCAAATCGACAATGGCTTTTTCAAAAGGCCAATCATGGCCCGTACTCAAATCCTGGTACACAAGTGGAGGCCCAGGGCTGTTTCGCAGACGGAGTTAACCAGAGTTGAGTTTCGTCTGTGGTGCAGGTTAACCATAGACAAGGTGCTGTCCGAGATTGAGCTCAGGTTTAGTGCAAATGAGCAGTAAATACTATGTGCTTTAGGAAACATCTGTCACAGTGAAACACCTGATAAAGAAAGCTTCTCCCGCGTTGCTAAATTTTACAAAATCGACGGTTAAGCCTAGCAGAACATGTACGTGAGTTTTCATCGTGTGCCCGGATTAGGCTACATGACTGTTCCAGAAATGCCGGAGACAATCATCGCACAAGATTGATCTATTTGATATGTTTTCAGTGTTTTCTTATGTGGTACATATCTTTGGAATGATACCTTCTACATTGCATTGTGTTCTGCAGAACGATCATTCAGTGCGTTGCATGAAAACTTACATGTACCTTCGCAGCACCATGGGGCAACAACGTGTCAGTAACACCGCACTAATTAACATTGAAACGTATGTGGGAAGTCTGAAGTCAACAATGACATGGATCGTATCATTGATATCTTCGGCCGTCAAAATGGCAAAGACAGCAATTAACGTGTTTTATGAGCTCATGAGATAGATTCATATACAAGAATATTTTTACTTCACATGTAGGCCTATGTTGTTACATTGTGTGACCCTCGACTGCTGGAACGATTTAAGTCCTGAAAATGGGCGCTTTCCATTTAGTCAAAATTTCCGGAATTTCCGGTTCGGCGGTAAATGGAACACGTTTCGTCGGTTCGTCTCACTGGAAAATTCCCAGAAAAAGTGGAAAATCGAAAAAGGTGGTCCCGTTTTCCCGGTTGGAATTTCCGAACGGAATGTCGTGTTCCATTGACGTTTCTTGTAGTTTGTACCAGTTCCAGGTCCACGGTCGGGCACCCGGCCACGTACCGAGGTTTACGACCAAATGGAACAACTTTTTACCGATCGGAAATTCCACTTTTGCTGCCACCGAAATTTCCGGGTTTTTTTCGTAAATGGAAAGCGCCCAATGAGTTCTCCGTCTTTCCTGTCGTCTTCTAGGTCAAAAAACACCCATAATTACAAGAAAACACGCCTCAAAACTAGTAGGAGTCGACGATTCAAAGCCACCATGCTGAATTTGAGGAATGGCGCGAGCTATATTGTTGGACCCAGGTTCCCTCGGTCTTCATTCAGCGATCGCAGCGATCATATGAAAACCATCAATCACTGCGATCGCTGAACCATTTTTGTCAGCGAGGCCAAAGGCGGATGGAAGGTAGATAACACCCTCCGAGATCCGCTTAATTCTTTATATCCTACGAAAGCCGAATTCATTAATTGCTTTATTATTCATTCAAAATAATTCCTAGTTTCTTATCGGGGATATCGATTTTTCAGATCCTTTACTTAATTTTAGCTTTATTAAAAGGAGCTTTCATCCTTCTACTATGTTTCGAATAAACCACGTACCGAAACTACAAAGAGAAGTCAGACGGCATCATTTCTCTACAAATTTGACTTATTCAAATTTGTGACATTTTGCCACTAGTGGTCACGAAACTTTTTGTTTTGCAAACGCGAATCTGGAGTTCCCAGATTTTTTATTTCATATTCTGTTAATATAAGAGCTCAACTTTGTCCTAGTATACACTTTGGCTAGATATCACCCAATACCAAGGTGAGTTTTTTGCCTCTGAAGTTGTCATTTTTGACCCATTTTAAAAAGTGCGCTTGGTGGTAGTTTTTAAAAAACCGTAAAAAATTCAAAATCTCGTCTATGGTTTAAAACGTACCATGGAAAGAAAGAAAAGATAGAATGCTTTAAAACAAAAATATTTCTGTTTTATAGCTTTGAATCTTGCTTCGGTACAGACGCGATCGCGATAAAGTCGATCATTTTTACTCTAATTTTTGCATAATTAATTAGGTAAAAACAGCTATCTTCGTTTTTCCTTATTTTCTCGAAAACTATAGATTCTCAAAAGTTAAAAATATTTTTTTTCGAAGATAGTTCCCCAAAGAGGTTTTTCTAACAGATTATCAGAATTTTCAATTTTTTAGCCTGGCAAGACGAGCGATTCTCGATATTTACGGTCATGGGCTCTTAACATTGTTTCTGACGCTGCAGGTTTTCATTGGTTGATTACTGTGGTGCGTTTAAAAGCTTTGAATATAAATGAAGTAACACTTATGTGATTGTTTTTTTAATTTAATGCCTCCTATGGTGTGTTAACATTTGCCTCGTGGTAGCCTCGATTTATGGCACTCGGATGTTTTGGATTTAACTAAAACGGGAATCTGGAAAATGAAAATGGGGAGAAAACAAAGCCGGCATGACTAATGAAGTTACTGATAGGGCAAAGGGTTAAGTTACTAGGTTTTGTTCCAATTTTTTTCCCTTTCCCCGTTCCTCATTCCTCGTTCCACGTTCCCTGTTCTTCGTTTTAGCAAAATACCAGCTTCTCTGACCATGTCTAATTTGGGACAGATATCGAATAGAAATCAGTAACAAAACAACGCCCACGTGAAAGAAGCGACTTCAAAAGTGATCCCCCTTTTTCCTAGAAATGACGGAAATTCTAGATACAAGCTTTACCAAACTGATCCGAAGTTAATTTTAACGGTGATAATGATCTTTGACATTCCTTTATGTAACTGTAAAGGTACATTACCCTTTTTTTTCAAAAAGGCTATGTTTGCCAAAATGCTGGAACATTTTTTAAACAAATATCGAGCAGAAATCAGCGGCAACGGCATTGCATACCTCAAAAACATAACAATACTGACATCAGAGCATCATAACATGCAATATCGCAAAAATTATACTTTTATTCACGAGTGTCTGTTAATGCATTTTAAATTTAGCACGTGAGGACACTATTTTTGCGTATTTTACTGGAGACGATATTGAATCTCGTATCCAGTTCCGACGCTCCGTTGATTTGAAATACCTAGATCTAGTCATTTGCAAGTCAAAGCCAGGGGGCTTTATTACCTTCATTTCTCAGTTATTTTAAGGCGCGGGGTATTGGTAATGCCACGGACCGGCGATCAAACCCAAGACCTTCCGCTTTACAGACCACTCTTCTAAACTAACCCCCTCCGTAAACTTTCTGCATCCTTCGAATGCATTATATTTATCTCTAATTACTTCTACTTAACTCTTATTCTCAAATAGCAACTTGGTGATAAGGGAGAGAGGCTGTAGCTAGTGCATTTCGTTTTACAAAATGTTAATTATAGCTAGATTTAATTACAAAACCTGCCACTACAGTTAAGGTTGCTAGGAACACTGAATCGAACAGATCTGAGCTCAATTTAATGTCAATATAGCTCAATATAATGAATGTAATATGACCGCCTTCTTAAGAAGAAGATGGATTTGATGAATTCATGGAAATGTTGATTTGTTCAGAGACTGATCGCAGTTTTCGTACGATAACCCCGCATGTCAGTATCTTAAGAAACGCGTCTCTGTAGGGCCGAAGTGTCCAGGCAAAGACAAACGGATTCATACTGGAATTAGCCATGATTAGGATGTAGTTCAAATCTCTCGCCCAGTGAATAAAATCACAGTTACAGCTTGCACAAAAGCTTATGATAAGGATAAGAATCAACGAAGGAAGAAAACAGGAAATAAAAAGGGTCAACATGATCAGAAATGTCTTAGTTACTTTCTTCTCCCATTTGATCTTTCTCTTCTTGATGTGGTTATAACTCGCTGGGCCTTGATGTAAACTGTCCCAAGTCCTGACTTGATTTCTAAGACTTTTGAAAACTTTCACATACGTCAGACAAAGTACCACAAATGTTGACACGACAGCTGTGATGGCGAAGAAAAATTGGTATTTTAGATAGCCGACACTAAAATACAGAAAGGGCAACCCAATGGAGATAATCCATATTGAAAGCAAAATGACTGTGGAAATGACTGTAGCTCGCCGAGAATTCAATTTAGCTCTGTAGGCTCTGTATTCCATCGGATTAGTAATGGCAAAGAATCTGTCCAATCTCATTGCAGCTAAACTAAAAAGGGATGCCGTACACGAGATGAAACTTCCTACACGTCTTGCGTCATCTCGAGGAAGAAGTATAAGTTGTTTTGTAGAAGCCTCGCGAATGTAGAACTCCACCGACATTGGTAACGCAAAACAACCCACTATTAAATCGGCTGTCGCCAGGTTAGCGACAAGCAAATTGAAAGGCGATCGTAGATTGCGATTCGGATCAATAATTACTGCCAGAAACACAAGGACATTTCCTACTACAGCTACAACGGAGAGGACTGAACAGAATGTAGCTGAAGTGATGCTTAAAGTAGTAGGCGCCGAGACATTTGAGCAAGGGTACGATCCCAACAGTGACATGTCTGAATGCGAAGATTTACCCTCAGTAACCAGGTGATAACTCAGTTCATTTTGTATTCAATAACCATGATTAACTCAGGTGGGCCGCGGAGATGATCTTACGGTAATTAAAATGACAAGCTCGTCATTTGAGCGCAATAGGAAATAAGACAACTAGAATGAAAGGAATGACAGACACTTTTATATTGGATAAGCTCACGCAGCAACCTGACAACTCTTGATAATATGAAAATACTGTATTGGACTGGACCACCCTATTATCTTGGAGCAAATGAGTTAGCCTGCAGTGCAGGCGTTTTTCTGTGAGCGCGCAATTTGCTCGCGAAAGCGCCATAAGAGAGGAGGAGATGGGGCGAGTCAAAGGGAGCGGGAAGGGGGAGGGGAGAGAGAAGAGAAAACGCCTGCCCGAAAACACTGTGAAAATGAGAAACACCCCCTAATTAGACGCGCGTGACCGCTCTTCCGGAAATGAGTAGCCGACAATAACAAAACAACCAAACAGTCGCTCCAGTCCAAAGACTCGCATTGTCTAGAGAAAAACAAGCTGGAGTATATCATTGTTTTTATCGTCACTGAGTCACAATGCAATTCTCCACAGCTGATGAAGCTTCAGTTTAAGCTGCAATTCACTTTTCTAAATTCATCTCTGTAAATCGCTATCCGTGAGAGTTGCAGGAAAACATTGCAGGAAAACATCACATTCTCGGACAAGAAAGAAAATCGCTCAGTTATTCAGATCCTGAGAGGCTGAGGCACCTTGGACAAAAATAAAGAGCCTAACAGCCTTATTTAGCGACAAAAAGAGCTTTACGCTTCAAAAGAGGTCAAAGAAAACGCTCTTGCATCAGAGGGCAAATCATGAAGACCAGAAATTCAAAAACCACAGAAAATCAATAAGCGTGTCATGACCTCTCAGTGTGAAACAAGCGGCTAAAATCACATTTGCTCAATCAAAACACAGAACCCTCTAGAGCATAATCTACTCGCCAGAAAAAAAAATGTTTTGGAACAAGCAGCATTTTGGCATGAGGTAAAAGTGGTGTAGGTTTTAGCACTTCGAGCAAATCTTGTCCTGATGACCAGTGTAGAAATCGCTGTGACTTTCTCATTGCGTAATACATGTGACATTCCCGGCCGCTCCAATTCCAAAAGACTGACCACGGGCGGGTAGTACTTGGTGTAAGACTGCCCAAAATGTCCCGGGCCACCGCCCACCACTGTTAGCGCTGTAGTGCCTGTGCTCTAGTAGACGCAATAATACCTGTAGTAGCTGTAGCACTGTAGTACCTGTAGTACCTGTAGTAGCTGTGGTAGCCGTAGTACCTGTAGTAGCTGTAGTAGCCGTAGTACCTGTAGTAGCTGTAGTAGCTGTAGTAGCTGTAGTACCTGTAGTAGCTGTAGTATCTGTAGTACCTGTAGTACCTGTAGTACCTGTAGTAGGTGTAGTAGCTGTAGTAGCTGTAGTACCTGTAGTACCTGTAGTAGCCGTAGTACCTGTAGTACCTGTAGTACCTGTAGTACCTGTAGTACCTGTAGTAGCTGTAGTAGGTGTAGTACCTGTAGTACCTGTAGTACCTGTAGTACCTGTAGTACCTGTAGTACCTGTAGTAGCTGTAGTAGCTGCAGTAGCTGCAGTAGCTGTAGTAGCTGTAGTACCTGTAGTACCTGTAGTAGCTGTAGTAGCTGTAGTACCTGTAGTAGGTGTAGTACCTGTAGTACCTGTAGTACCTGTAGTACCTGTAGTAGCTGTAGTAGCTGCAGTAGCTGTAGTAGCTGTAGTAGCTGTAGTACCTGTAGTAGCTGTAGTAGCTGTGGTAGCTGTAGTACCTGTAGTAGGTGTAGCATCTGTAGTAGGTGTAGTAGCTGTAGTAGGTGTAGTAGCTGTAGTAGCTGTAGTAGCTGTAGTACCTGTAGCAGCTGTAGCACCTGTAGTACCTGTAGCAGCTGTAGCACCTGTAGTACCTGTAGTAGCTGTAGTACCTGTAGTACCTGTAGTAGCTGTAGTAGCTGTAGTACCTGTAGTAGGTGTAGTACATGTAGTAGGTGTAGTACATGTAGTAGCTGTAGTAGCTGTAGTATCTGTAGTAGGTGTAGTAGCTGTAGTAGCTGTAGTAGCCGTAGTAGCTGTAGTAGGTGTAGTAGCTGTAGAAGGTGTAGTACCTGTAGTAGCTGTAGTAGCTGTAGTAGCTGTAGTACCTGTAGTAGCTGTAGTAGGTGTAGTACCGGTAGTAGCTGTAGTACCTGTAGTACCTGTAGTAGCTGTAGTAGGTGTAGTACCTGTAGTACCTGTAGTATCTGTAGCAGTTGTAGTAGCTGTAGTATCTGTAGTAGGTGTAGTATCTGTAGTATCTTTAGTAGGTGTAGCAGCTATACTCTCTGTGGTATATGTGGAAGCTGTAGCAGCCTTAGTAGGGGCGTCCAGTGGTGTAAGGAATTGTAAAGATTCCTTTCTACCTTCCAGCCAATTTTCCAAGCATTCATATCGACTAGTCTCATTTTCAAGTGCCGCTGCACCGCAACATGAAGGAATCTAGACCCAGCGATATGAGGTTCATGGGATCGTTATTAGCAGCAGAGTGGCCAATGCGTATTATATAAATTTGATGAATAAAAATACGAAAGCTGTTGAGTATACATTTTTGCCGAAAATTAGCTTAAGCGGGCTTCAAAGCTATTTCGCATTATTTCGGGTTCAACGGGCTTATCGATTTAGTCAATCGACCAAACTTGGGGGATTATTAGGAGTAAGCCAGTGAAACCGAGTCCATACTCAAAGGGATTAATATAAACTACGGTCGATTTAATGGGCGAGAGAATATATAGAATATAAACGTAGGTATGTGAGTCCTGAATGGAACCTTCTACAAAGTACAAAAGACGATTTGCCCAAGCTTATGAAAGGAACATCAAGGTTCACACACATTTGATCAAGTTAGTGATATATAGAAATATTTTCTAGCTTTTATCTTTTTACACGACCTCTCTTGTTCTTACGACTGTGGTGTCCCATGCTCAATTGCACAAAATTGACCCGGCGAGGCTACCAGGGGCACCCAAAGACAATTTTCTGCGAAATATCTGTTCGGAGAAGCAAATATTGCCAAGAATTTTCTTTTGCTTGAGGAAGACTAAAAATTTCTAGATGGACCTTCCATTCATAAACAATTTTCGATGCTTTATACCTAATAAATTCCCTACGAATTCTGATTTTTAATGTTTCAAAATCAGTTCCCACGTTACAATATTTTTCTTAAAAAATGGCCACCTAGACTTTTTTTGGATTCTAAAATGTGATAGGGAGAGGTAACCAGAAAAATCCTCACTTTCGTAAATCGTTAAATTGCAACTAAAATTTTCGAAAAAGTAACACTGAAGCCTTTGTAATTTTGAAAACTGACTTAAGTTCCTCTAGGATGACCGGTCAGACCGGTAGGGCTTTCCATAAGTTGTTCGAGACTTTCCAAAAAGTTTCTCATTATTGCTCAAAAGTTGCCAAAAACAATCAAAAGTTGCTTATTGCAACAAAACTTACTCAAAAGTTGCTCGAAAAACAAAATCTTTGTTTGGTCTGAAGTTATGAAAATATGCAAATTGTACAAACAAAAGTAACATTTCTTAGCATTTTTGTGCAATTTTTCAGCGCAACCAGCTTTGCTTAATAACTTTGTCCGGAGTTAAAATCACGAAAGAAATGTAATGAGCCAAGAAAAATGCTTAATGACTTTCTTCACCCGAGACACTCGAGTCAGTCGAGTGAGAATCTGCGTCAATCATTTAAAATTTTCTGTAAAGACCGCTGACTTATCTTGCGCCCTTAATGTAATTTCCTTAGGTAGATTATGGTACAACTGTATCTATTGGTTGAGATTTTAGGCACTTTCGGGCTATAAAAGTTCAGCTATTCCACACTTGGTAGTATTGTTGGGCTAGAGTAGTGTACTATATTAACATGCGCAAGGATCTAGTTCAAGAGGGTCCAGTGGTGCCTAACCCTGACCCAAAAGAATGACTTGTCTTTGTTTCCCGCAACCAATTATGAAAGACCTTCCGAGCAGCTCCTACACTACTCGTTTATAACATCACCCATTATTATAACCAGTTAAAAAAGTAAGTTCCTGCAAACAAAATAAGTGAGTTCCTCCATATCTAGTGGGCGTCTCTCTTATACAATAGGAATATTGGCTTGCCCGCTCTATACCCACCTGATTGACTCATGTAGAAACTATTACGTGTTCAAACTGAAGGCGAGCTCTCCATTCAGCAAGTTTAATAGAGCGTTACACCTCCGTTAGCGATTGATGAAGTAGAGAAAGTCCAGCGCTGCGCTGCGACTGCCCTCTGAATTTTTGGCATTGCTTGTGTCTTGGGTGTCTTGTCATCTTATTACATTGCCTTCCGATCCAGCCCAGATCTAATTGCCAGTCCTCTTTTGGGGTGCTTGGCCACTATATTTCGCGTTATACTACGCATTAAAAATGTTTTTACAAGCTTAATTACATCAATTCAGTCCAGTGAATGCCTTTAGTTGTAAAAAATGTCCAAGTTTGGAAAGACAATGGTGTCATCGGAAAACTGTTATAAGCCACCTTAAATAGACAATGATAACTAATATAAAAGAGAAGGCCCTTCAGGCGTTTTCTAGTATTCGGAAGCAGACACGACAGTTCTTAATAAACTTAATCCTGATACCGCATCCCAAATTCTTGACACAATGATATTCACTGGATATTCCCCATCTTAAGTTACAACAGCGAGGCAAGGGGGATGTGCACCGAGCAAGATTTTAAAAAAATGGGATAGTTCTTCAATAGAAAAAATTCACCTAAAATTCTTCAAACGTTATTCACAAGTAAACAATAAGGCCTCTAACATAGCTTGCAGAGCTAAACTTGGTAGATTGTCGCTGCTTATCCCGAGAAATCAAAACATTATGAACTATTTTGTTTATCGAACCACCAACGATAAGGACTCTATAATCAAACAGTCTTTCCTTATGTCAAAGAATCTACATTCTATGAATAATTTCGGATATTATTGCAAGTTCATAAACATGTTTGAACAATACAATCTAACCAGTTTAGATACAGAATCTTTAGATAATGATAAAATTGGACGATATACCACAGAAATGAGAGAGAAATATCCGCTATCTTTTTTGCGACACAGTCTTGAAAATTAAAAAAAAAATGGAATTTTATAAAACTTTTAAAGATGAATATTCTACAACTGATTATCTCTACCAGCTAAGACATTATGATGAATGACAACATTTTGGTCCAGTTTAAAATAAGTAATCACAAACTTCTGATTGACCAAGGTCGATACCAAATAGATCATTTGTCACCTCCTACTACACCTACTACAGCTACTACAGATACTACAGGTACTACAGGTACTACAGCTACTACACCTACTACACCTACTACAGCTACTAAAGCTACTACAGCTACTACAGATACTACACGTACTACAGATACTACAGCTACTACACCTGCTACAGGTACTACACCTGCTTCACGTACTACAGATACTACAGCTACTACAGGTACTACAGCTACTACAGCTACTACAGCTACTACAGCTACTACAGCTACTACAGCTACTACAGCTACTACAGGTACCACAGGTACTACAGGTACTACAGCTACTACACCTACTACAGCTACTACAGCTACTACAGCTGCTACAGGTACTACAGGTACTACAGGTACTACAGCTACTACCGGTACTACAGCTACTACAGCTACTACAGCTACTACACCTACTACAGCTACTACAGCTACTACAGCTGCTACAGCTACTACAGGTACTACAGGTACTACAGCTACTACAGCTACTACAGGTACTACACCTACTACAGCTACTACAGCTACTACAGCTACTACAGGTACTACAGGTACTACAGGTACTACAGGTACTACGGCTACTACAGGTACTACAGGTACTACAGCTACTACAGCTACTACACCTACTACAGGTACTACACCTACTACAGGTACTACAGCTACTACAGCTACTACAACTACTACAGCTACTACAGCTACTACAGCTACTACAGCTACTACAGCTACTACAGGTACTACAGGTACTACAGCTACTACACCTACTACAGCTACTACAGCTACTACAGGTACTACAGGTACTACAGCTACTACAGCTACTACAGCTACTACAGCTACTACAGGTACTACATACTACAGGTACTACAGCTACTACAGGTACTACACCTACTACAGCTACTACAGCTACTACAGGTACTACACCTACTACAGGTACTACAGCTACTACGGGTACTACACCTACTACAGGTACTACAGCTACTACGGGTACTACAGATACTACAGCTACTACAGCTACTACAGGTACTACACCTACTACAGCTACTACAGCTACTACGGCTACTACAGGTACTACAGGTACTACAGGTACTACACCTACTACAGGTACTACACCTACTACAGGTACTACAGCTACTACAGCTACTACAGCTACTACAGCTACTACAGCTACTACAGGTACTACAGCTACTACAGCTACTACAGGTACTACAGGTACTACACCTACTACAGGTACTACAGCTACTACAGCTACTACCTTGAATGATTACAAAAAGCTCCTAGGCACAAAGAAGAGAGGATTCCACAAAGAAAAAACATTACAACTCGACGAACTAGCTTTAAATCCTGACAAGGCGTCATTTTGGAATTGTTTAAATTCGATGAGCGACACTTTCAACGAAAATGTTCCTGCCCCAATCTCGGAAGAATCATGGCTTCACCATTTCAAATCTCTGCATTCTATTGACCCGACGAATTCCACGCATGAACATGAAATCCATAGGGAACTAAATTCTTTAGAACACGAAAAGGAACAGTTTAACCATCTCGATTATGAGATAACTGAGAGGGAAATACGTCAAGCGGCGAAGAAATTGAAAAATAAGAAATCACCATTTGTTGACAAAATACGAAATGAAATGATCAAAGCAAGCCTCGAACCACTAATGCCTGTCTATGTCAAACTTTTTAACCTCATTTTACAATCCGGAAAAATGCCAGATGTTTGGTGTCAAGGCCTCATAACCCCAATTTACAAATCTGGTGACAAGAGTGATCCAACAAATTACAGAGGCATATGTGTTTCTAGTTGCCTTGGAAAACTGTTCTGTTCTATTTTAAATCGAACACTTCACTTGTATTTTGAGGAAAATAAGATATTACATAATTCCCAAATTGGCTTTTTGCCTGAAAACCGCACTGCAGACCATGTTTTCACTCTAAGGACCCTAATAGATAAATATGTGCATTATCACAAGGAAAAAGTCTACGCTTGTTTCGCAGATTTCCGCAAAGCGTTTGACTCTGTTTGGCACGAAGGATTGTTTTATAAGCTGCTAAAAACGAATATAGGGGGAAACTTGTACAACCTCATGAAAAGTCTTTATTGCAACTCGACATGTTCCATCAAAATCGGTGAAAACAAAACACAGCCTTTTTCATATTCCAGAGGTGTACGTCAAGGCTGTATTTTAAGCCCTCTTTTATTTAACCTCTATTTAAACAATCTACCACTTTTATTCGAAAACACCTTATCTGACCCATTTGTTCTCCCAAATGGGAAAAAAATAAATTCACTTTTGTACGCAGATGATTTAGTTATTCTATCAAGATCGAAAACTGGATTACAGAACTGTTTAAATGCGCTTTCTTTGTATTGTGACAAATGGAAGCTAAAAATTAATCCGAAGAAAACAAAAATTATGATATTCCAGAAACGCCCAAAAAAATCTATTGACATCAAATTCAACATAGGCAGTGAGTCAATTGAAATTGTCCAAGAATACACTTATTTAGGTACACGTTTAACTCCAACGGGAAACTTTACACTTGCACTCGAACACTTAAAAGAAAAGGCCCTTCACGCGTTTTCTAGTATTCGGAAGCGGACAATTCTTAACAAACTTAATCCTAATACCGCATCCCAAATTTTTGACACCATGGTATTCCCAATCTTGAGTTACAACAGCGAGGTATGGGGAATGTACACCAAGCAAGATTTTAAAAAATGGGATAGCTCCCCAATAGAAAAAAATCCACCTCAAATTCTGTAAACGTTACTTAGAGGTTAACAATAAGGCCTCTAACATAGCCTGCAGAGCTGAACTTGATAGACTGCCGCTGCTTATCCCGATAAATCAGAAAATTATGAAATATTTTGTTTACCTCAACAACAAAGATAATGACTCTATAGTCAAACAGTCTTTCCTTATGTCAAAGAATTTACATTCTATGAATAATTCGGATATTTTTCCAATTTCATAAACATGCTTGAACAATACAATCTAACCAGTTTAGATGCTGAATCTCTAGATAATGATAAAATTAGACGATATACCACAGAAATGAGAGAGAAATATCTATCTTTTGGCGGCACAGCCTCGAAAATTCAAAAAAAACTAGAATTTTATAAAACTTTTAAAGATGAATATTCTACATCTGATTATCTCTACCAGCTAAGACATTATGACGAACGACAGAATTTTGTTAAATTTAAAATAAGTAATCACAAACTTATGATTGAACATGGTAGATACCAAATCGATCATTTGCCAAGAGAAAATAGATTATGTCCTTTATGTAACTCAAATCAGGTAGAAGATGAGATTCATTTCCTCTTTCAATGTAACAAATACTCAGTACAGAGACCGGCATTTATTAATCAAATCAATCGAATAATACCTGACTTTGACAAGACATCATCTCCAGAAAGCATAAAACTGATAATGAATTCGAAGGAACATCAAGTAAATAAGTTAGTTATGAAGTTTGTTTCCTCCTGCATGAAAATACGTGATTCATTGTTAGTAATGTAACCGAATTTTTCTAGATTATTATTAGTGCTGTTTTGTTTTATATTTTGATTGTCATATACATGCTTTTGCAATACTGTAAAATGATGCGGTAATGCAAATAAAGCAATTTATTACTATTACTATTACTATTACTACAGGTACTACAGATACTACAGCTACTACAGGTACTACAGCTACTACAGCTACTACAGCTACTACAGGTACTACACCTACTACAGGTACTACACCTACTACAGGTACTACAGCTACTACAGCTACTACAGCTACTACACCTACTACAGCTACTACACCTACTACAGCTACTACAGCTACTACAGGTACTACAGGTACTACAGGTACTACACCTACTACAGCTACTACAGCTACTACAGCTACTACAGGTACTACAGGTACTACAGGTACTACAGCTACTACACCTACTACAGCTACTACAGCTACTACAGCTACTACAGGTACTACACCTACTACAGGTACTACAGCTACTGCAGGTACTACAGCTACTACAGCTACTACGGGTACTACAGCTACTACAGCTACTACAGCTACTACAGCTACTATGGCTACTACAGGTACTACAGGTACTACAGCTACTACACCTACTACAGGTACTACACCTACTACAGGTACTACAGCTACTACACCTACTACAGCTACTACAGCTACTACAGGTACTACGGCTACTACAGCTACTACAGCTACTATGGCTACTACAGGTACTACAGCTACTACACCTACTACAGGTACTACACCTACTACAGGTACTACAGCTACTACACCTACTACAGCTACTACAGCTACTACAGGTACTACGGCTACTACAGCTACTACAGCTACTACGGCTTCTACAGGTACTACAGGTACTACAGCTACTACACCTACTACAGGTACTACACCTACTACAGGTACTACAGGTACTACAGCTACTACAGCTACTACAGCTACTACACCTACTACAGGTACTACAGCTACTACAGCTACTACAGGTACTACAGCTACTACAGCTACTACAGGTACTACACCTACTACAGGTACTACAGCTACTACAGGTACTACAGATACTACAGCTACTACAGGTACTACAGCTACTACAGCTACTACAGCTACTACAGCTACTACAGCTACTACAGCTACTACAGCTACTACAGGTACTAAGGCTACCACAGCTACTACAGGTACTACAGGTACTACAGCTACTACAGGTACTACAGATACTACAGCTACTACAGGTACTACAGGTACTACAGCTACTACAGCTACTACAGCTACTACAGGTACTACGGCTACTACAGCTACTACAGGTACTAAGGCTACCACAGCTACTACAGGTACCACAGGTACTACAGTGCTACAGCTACTACAGACTCTATAGTCAAACAGTCTTTCCTTATGTCAAAGAATCTACATTCTATGAATAATTCCGGATATTTTTCCAATTTCATAAACATGCTTGAACAATACAATCTAACCAGTTTAGATGCTGAATCTCTAGATAATGATAAAATTAGACGATATATCACAGAAATGAGAGAGAAATATCTATCTTTTTGGCGGCACAGCCTCGAAAATTCAAAAAAACTAGAATTTTATAAAACTTTTAAAGATGAATATTCTACATCTGATTATCTCTACCAGCTAAGACATTATGACGAACGACAGAATTTTGTTAAATTTAAAATAAGTAATCACAAACTTATGATTGAACATGGTCGATACCAAATCGATCATTTGCCAAGAGAAAATAGATTATGTCCTTTATGTAACTCAAATCAGGTAGAAGATGAGATTCATTTCCTCTTTCAATGTAACAAATACTCAGTACAGAGACAGGCATTTATTAATCAAATCAATCGAATAATACCTGACTTTGACAAGAAATCATCTCCGGAAAGCATAAAACTGATAATGAATTCGAAGGAACATCATGTAAATAAGTTAGTTATGAAGTTTGTCTCCTCCTGCATGAAAATACGTGATTCGTTGTTAGTAATGTAACCGAATTTTTCTAGATTGTTATTAGTGCTGTTTTGTTTTTTATTTTGATTGTCATATACATGCTTTTGCAATACTGTAAAGTGATGCGGTCATGCAAATAAAGCAATTTATTACTATTACTATTACAGGTATTATTGCGTCTACTAGGGCACAGGCACTACAGCGCTAACAGTGGTGGGCGGTGGCCCGGGACATTTTGGGCAGTCTTACACCAAGTACTACCCCCACGGGCGGCCCAAACTCACGTTGCGAGGGAAGGGTGTAATGTAATTTACATAACATAGGTGACCCGCCGGTGTTGCGTTACAGGTGACCGTTGAAAATATAAGAGACTTTGTATGAGAAATATATTACTGAGATCTGCGCACGCTAAATAACGCAATGTCTTCCACTGCGTTTTGGTGTCTGTTTGTCGTTTTACTGTTTTTTGGCTTTATTGCGTAACCACTGTTACTCCTTTCATAGAACGAAGTGAAGGCTGGTCACTTCGATCTGTCAGGGTCCTGGACCAGTTGCAACAAGAATGCCGTTTTTTTCACCGAAATTCAAATCCGCTGCAAAATTTTCAGCTCCGGCCTAAGAGAGAAACCTCTTCTTCCTGTCTGGGAGATCGGCTCAAAAAAAGATCCATAATTTCCCCATTAAATCGAGCCATTTGTTCCGGACTTGGAGGCACGTCTGGCTTTCGTCCAGTACCTGTGACCGCTGTTGCGCCTACTAACTAATTTGCATTATGACAATTAGCACTTACACGACGGGTGACAGGGCGGAAATGACACGTCTCTTGCACTGTGAAAAAGCGAGTGCTTGCACGCGAATCTGGAGTTCCCAGATTTTTTATTTCATATTCTGTTAATATAAGAGCTCAACTTTGTCCTAGTATACACTTTGGCTAGATATCACGCATACCAAGGTGAGTTTTTTGCCTCTGAAGATGTCATTTTTGACCCATTTTAAAAAGTGCGCTTGGTGGTAGTTTTTAAAAAACCGTAAAAAATTCAAAATCACGTCTATGGTTTAAAACGTACCATGGAAAGAAAGAAAAGATAGAATGCTTTAAAACAAAAATATTTCTGTTTTATAGCTTTGAATCTTGCTTCGGTACAGACGCGATCGCGATAAAGTCGATCATTTTTTACTCTAATTTTTGCGTAATTAATTAGGTAAAAACAGCTATCTTCGTTTTTCCTTATTTTCTCGAAAACTATAGATTCTCAAAAGTTAAAAATATTTTTTTCGAAGATAGTTCCCCGAGGGGTTTTTCTGACAGATTATCAGAATTTTCAATTTTTTAGCCTGGCAAGCCGAGCGATTCTCGATATTTACGGTCATGGGCTCTTAACATTGTTTCTGACGATTGGTTCAGGCGATGTTTGCATTTTGGCTGTCAATCAAACCGACGGTTCCCATATATGGTCACCAACAACAGGTGACTACGTCGTGGCTTCTGTAGCCTGTGAACAGGCTCTCTGTCTGGGGAAAAAAATAGCGAGGAAAGGGAAGGGAAGGGGGGAGAGAGCCTGTAGACACACGCTTGAGGCCGCTATTCCGCCCTCTTGTAATTATCTTGCCGAACATCTGTCAGCAAGATCGTTATCTGTCAATCAATTTCGCGCGTGAGTAACTCCTGGGAAAATTAAAGGGAAAACATCCGTGTTTTGCTTCGACTCAAAACAAAGTGAAATGGACCGCGAGCCTAATTGTTGATTTTGAAAAAAATCGTTGATCTCCGGTAAGAGAATTAATACGGTGCCGGTCGTTGGCGTTTCAAGAAATAAGACCTTGCTGGTTGACAGTGGCCAAGACAGCGTTGTACTAGCGCAAGCATTTGAGTGCTCAAGATTTCCTCTTGTGCAAGGAGAAAGCTTTTCCGATTTAAGCTGCTTAACTTGTGCTCATCGCGCCGTTCGTCTTGCTAGTTCAGTTTCTAATTCAACAAGCCCCTGCAATGAGCGAACTTGGAATGCGAAAGGTACAGATACTATCATGACTTCTCCAGAACGTGAACCTCCAAAGACAAGTACAAAGAAATCAACAGCGCTTCGATCGCCGACAGGAATTACACCTTTGGGTATTTATCCCGCATTTATAGCAATAAAAGAGGGCGGTAGGCCTACACGGCGTTTACCTCACGCCAAAATTTTGCCTGTTCCCATAAGTTTTTTCCTCTGCTCGGTAGATTATGCTCTGGAAGGTTCTACATTTTCACTGAGCAAATATGGTTTTAGCTGCTGGTTTCACACTGAGAGGTCATGGCATACATATCGATTTACTGTGGTTTTTGTCTCTGGTCGGCAGGATTTGCCCTCTCTGATGCAAGAGCATTTTCTTTGACCTCTTTTCAAGCGTAAAGCTTTTTATTGCGGCTGAATAAGGGTCGTACTTTTCTCCAAAGTGACCTCTGGATCTAAATAACTAAGCGATTTTTCTTGTAATGTTTTTCTGAAATGTTGTATCACGCTGGGCCCAGGTCGTTAGTTTTCTTTGCAGAATGTTTAAAAATTATCACAGATAGTGTGAGTCTTTTGACTGGAGCTCGTAGTTCCTCCCTTGGTAATAGCTTTTGAACAAGCTTAACAGTCTTTGGAGTGTTTTGTTATTTCCAAACGCGTGTTACGTGCCGACCGAAAAGCCGATGTCGATCAGACCTTTCAACAGTCAGTGTTCTCGCCAATAAGAACTTGCATCAGGATCTGATGCACAGCGGGTGCCGTAGAACGGCGGTCCCAAAGGCTTGTCCACAGGCCTTTTCGCTTTTCCCTCTCCTTCCCCGCTCGACCAAAGGCCTGTTCACAGGCTAAATTTGGGACAGATATCGAATAGAAATCAGTAACAAAACAACGCCCACGTGAAAGAAGCGACTTCAAAAGTGATCCCCCTTTTTCCTAGAAATGACGGAAATTCTAGATACAAGTTTTACCAAACTGATCCGAAGTTAATTTAAACGGTGATAATGATCTTTGACATTCCTTTATGTAACTCTAAAGGTACATTACCCTTTTTTTTTCAAAAAGGCTATGTTTGCCAAAATGCTGGAACATTTTTTAAACAAATATCGAGCAGAAATCAGCGGCAACAGTATTGCATACCTCAAAAACATAACAATACTGACATCAGAGCATCATAACATGCAATATCGCAAAAATTATACTTTTATTCACGAGTGTCTGTTGATACATTTTAAATTTAGCACGTGAGGACACTATTTTTGCGTCTTTTACTGGAGACGATATTGAATCTCGTATCCAGTTCCGACGCTCCGTTGATTTGAAATACCTAGATCTAGTCATTTGCAAGTCAAAGCCAGGGGGCTTTATTACCTTCATTTCTCAGTTATTTTAAGGCGCGGGGTATTGGTAATGCCACGGACCGGCGATCAAACCCAAGACCTTCCGCTTTACAGACCACTCTTCTAAACTAACCCCCTCCGTAAACTTTCTGCATCCTTCCAATTGCATTATATTTATCTCTAATTACTTCTACTTAACTCTTATTCTCAAATAGCAACTTGGTGATAAGGGAGAGAGGCTGTAGCTAGTGCATTTCGTTTTACAAAATGTTAATTATAGCTAGATTTAATTACAAAACCTGCCACTGCAATTAAGGTTGCTAGGAACAGTGAATCGAACAGATTTGAGCTTAATTTAATGTCAATATAATGAATGTAATATGACCGCCTTCTTAAGGAGAAGATGGATTTGATGAATTCATGGAAATGTTGATTTGTTCAGAGACTGATGGCAGTTTTCGTACGATAACCCCGCATGTCAGTATCTTAAGAAACGCGTCTCTGTAGGGCCGAAGTGTCCAGGCAAAGACAAACGGATTCATACTGGAATTAGCCATGATTAGGATGTAGTTCAAATCTCTGGCCCAGTGAATAAAATCACAGTTACAGCTTGCACAAAAGCTTATGATCAGGATAAGGATCAACGAAGGAAGAAAACAGGAAATAAAAAGGGTCAACATGATCAGAAATGTCTTAGTTACTTTCTTCTCCCATTTGATCTTTCTCTTCTTGATGTGGTTATAACTCGCTGGGCCTTGATGTAAACTGTCCCAAGTCCTGACTTGATTTCTAAGACTTTTGAAAACTTTCACATACGTCAGACAAAGTACCACAAATGTTGACACGACAGCTGTGATGGCGAAGAAAAATTGGTATTTTAGATAGCCAACACTAAAATACAGAAAGGGCAACCCAATGGAGATAATCCATATTGAAAGCAAAATGACTGTGGAAATGACTGTAGCTCGCCGAGAATTCAATTTAGCTCTGTAGACTCTGTATTCCATAGGATTAGTAATGGCAAAGAATCTGTCCAAACTCATTGCAGCTAAACTAAAAAGGGATGCCGTACACGAGATGAAACTTCCTACACGTCTTGCGTCATCTCGAGGAAGAAGTGTAACTTGTTTTGTAGAAGCCTCGCGAATGTAGAACTCCGCCGACATTGGTAACGCAAAACAACCCACTATTAAATCGGCTGTCGCCAGGTTAGCGACTAGAAAATTGAAAGGCGATCGTAGATTGCGATTTGGATCAATAATTACTGCCAGAAAAACAAGGATATTTCCTACTACAGCTACAACTGAGAGGACTGAACAGAATGTAGCTGAAGTGATGCTTAAACTAGTGGGTGCCGAGACATTTGAGCAAGGGTACGATCCCAACAGTGACATGTCTGAATGCGAAGATTTGCGCTCCGTGACCAGGTGATAACTCAGTTCATTTTGTATTCAATAACCATGATTAACTCAGGTGGGCCGCGGAGATGATCTTACGGTATATAAAATGACAAGCTCGTCATTTCAGCGCAAAAGGAATAAAACTTGTAAGTAAGACAAGGAACAGAATGACAGACACTTTTATATTGGATAAGTTCACGTACCAACCTGACAACTTTTGATAAATTGAAAATACTGTATTGGACTGGACCACCCTATTATCTTGGAGCAAATGAGCGACAGTCAAGGAACTGGAGAATAAAAAGCTATAATTGGAAAATCAGTTTGAGCTATGAGAAATATATATTGCGCTATTAGACATCGCACGGGAAATTGAAAATTAGCTAAGATAAGTAAATTCTCAGAACGCAAAACCAACTTAACTCCATACAGTCACCTTTGTCTTTCAAGATAGGTGTTTCACTTTCCAGTATGTGTTGATTTAAAAACAGCATTGCGTTAAAAAAGCCGATAGGATATGTAAAGTAGCCTGTGTACAGCCGAGGGGGCGGCTGTACGCAGGCTAATAAAAAGTGAAAATCGCGTTTTGGACTCATTCCGGCTTTCCCAAGAATAATAAAGGACTTCTCGAAGTCTATCATGAAGTGGCCTCTTCGTATAAATACTATGAATTCTTCATGATTCTTTAAATTTGTGATTTTTAAGAATACGTATTTCACAACGCTTAATTATCGCGAATTTCCTGTACGTAGGTTTGTATAAGAGGGGGGTATTTGACAGTCTGTTGCCTAATTACAGTTTTGCCTCACTAAATATATTGAACTTTTAAAATGATCTCGATACCCTGGAAATTAGCGTCGTAAAAAACTTGCGTCTATTGAAGGAGCTGAATGAATGAAGCATATTTCAGCCTCCCTCATTTGCATTATTGCCAGCCGGTCATGTCAGCTAATTCGAAATGAAACGTCCCATTTTAAATTTTCATTTATTTTTTTTTGTCATGTATTCAATTTTTTTTTAAAACACCAATTCCGCCGTTCAAGAAAAGAATTGCTTTTCTTATCCTTGATCTAAAATTAATTTCGTCTTTGGCGATTTGTTTTTAGAGACCCGAGTGGGAGGCTGCAGTTTCAGTCCCGCTCAACAAGCCATGACTAGGCGTTAATGTATCGGTCAAATCGAAGCTTCAACATGCCCCCCCCCCCCGGGCAACCCCCCGGGCATTTGACTTTTTTGAAAATTATTGTTCAAATTCCCCCCTACCCGGGTCAAAATGCCGTTCAAATGCCCCACACTATGGTCCATCTAGGTGATCAAATGCACCCACCCCGGGGACGTTTTACAGGCACAAAACTGTCAGAGGGACGGCAGAAACGCCTTCAGTTGTCGAACAAAATCTTTATAAATATAACAAAACTGAGAAACACTGTTAGCGTATTTACTAAGAACAAAAGTGTCGTGCAAAGCGGCGGAAATCGCTGCTACAAGCTCACTGAATGCTCAAAGCGTTCTATAAAAAAAGACCCCATCTATTGAGATTACTACATCATGACCATTTCACTGATATGCATCATCGCTAACCTTATTAACTAACATACTTGCAGTAGGTCAAAGTAGTTGACCTGAGCTTTTTATTTTATTTTATTTTATGTTGTTGTATTGAATCGCCGGTATAGGTATTGTATTTCATTGTATAAAACACAACAATAAAATACATTCATACATTCAAAGCCTGAATCCAGTATTAAAAATTTTAAAATTTAAATACTTCAAATACAGCACAAAGCTTGTTTAAGCCCTTTCCTCGAAACCAATTGGCCACAAAGGCACGATCTTTTCATCAAAAATCCTATAACACCGCGTCCCCCATGATAGCTCGCCACGCCAAAGATTTTACATGAAATCGAGGGTTCAGTTCAAATTCCCCACCCCTAAAGCATGGGGATCAAATTCCCCACCCCCTGGAAGACTCTGATAATCAAATTCCCTCCTCCCCGGGACGGCAAAGGTGTCAAATGCCCGGGGTATGCCCGGGGGGGGGCATGTTGAAGCTTCGATTTGACCGATACATAACTCACCATAGGTGTACGGGCCGGGGGGGGGGGGTCGAGGGGGGTTGCAGCAGCCCAAAATTTGGCGTGGTAAATCCAGTTAAATTCGCACGAGACAGTAGTGTGAAGAAAAATTCAACAGCGTATGGCAGATAGCATCAGCAATGGGTCTGAAAATGAAGAAGTGACTGACCAATTCTCGCTGTTTAAATTACGAAAAGCCAGCGCACTCAGACAATGGCCATCGCAAAGACAAACGCAGCTAACACCGGAATCCGCACCACCCTATAGCCTGCTTCACAGACGTAATTTAACCTCGGTCTGTAGTAAGGTCTGTAGTCTGCTACACAGCCGTTTTTAGTGTCGTCACGCAACGCTCCTCCCCACTAGCGTTGCGTGACGACACTGAAAACGGCCGTGTAGCAGACTATAAGGTCTGCGAAGCCGATATCGCCGATATCTTTGTGCTGGCCCCCAAGGACTCACAGAATTACCGGAAGTGCGTTTCAAATTTCCTTTCGTCTTGATTGGCAAATCGACAATGGCTTTTTCAAAAGACCAATCATGGCCCGTACTCAAATCCTGGTACACAAGTGGAGGCCCAGGGCTGTTTCGCAGACGGAGTTAACCAGAGTTGAGTTTCGTCTGTGGTGCAGGTTAACCATGGACAAGGTGCTGTCCGCGATTGAGCTCAGGTTTAGTGCAAATGATCAGTAAATACTCTGTGCTTTAGGAAACATCTTTCACAGTGAAACACCTGATAAAGAGAGCTTCTCCCGCGTTGCTAAATTTTACAAAATCGACGGTTACGCCTAGCAGAACATGTACGTGAGTTTTCATCGTGTGCGCGGATTAGGCTACATGACTGTTCCAGAAATGCCGGAGACAATCATCGCACAAGATTGATCTATTTGATATGTTTTCAGTGTTTTCTTATGTGGTACATATCTTTGGAATGATACCTTCTACATTGCATTGTGTTCTGCAGAACGATCATTCAGTGCGTTGCATGAAAACTTACATGTACCTTCGCAGCACCATGGGGCAACAACGTGTCAGTAACATCGCACTAATTAACATTGAAACGTATGTGGGAAGTCTGAAGTCAACAATGACATGGATCGTATCATTGATATCTTCGGCCGTAAAATGGCAAAGACAGCAATTAACGTGTTTTATGAGCTCATGAGATAGATTCATATACAAGAATATTTTTACTTCACATGTAGGCCTATGTTGTTACATTGTGTGACCCTCGACTGCTGGAACGATTTAAGTCCTGAAAATGGGCGCTTTCCATTTAGTCAAAATTTCCAAAATTTCCGGTTCGGCGGTAAATGGAACACGTTTCGTCGGTTCGTCTCACTGGAAAATTCCCAGAAAAAGTGGAAAATCGAAAAAGGTGGTCCCGTTTTCCCGGTTGGAATTTCCGAACGGAATGTCGTGTTCCATTGACGTTTCTTGTAGTTTGTACCAGTTCCAGGTCCACGGTCGGGCACCCGGCCACGTACCGAGGTTTACGACCAAATGGAACAACTTTTTACCTATCGGAAATTCCACTTTTGCTGCCACCGAAATTTCCGGTTTTTTTTCGTAAATGGAAAGCGCCCAATGAGTTCTCCGTCTTTCCTGTCGTCTTCTAGGTCAAAAAACACCCATAATTACAAGAAAACACGCCTCAAAACTAGTAGGAGTCGACGATTCACAGCCGCCATGCTGAATTTGAGGAATGGCGCGAGCTATATTGTTGGACCCAGGTTCCCTCGGTCTTCATTCAGCGATCGCAGCGATCATATGAAAACCCTCAATCACTGCGATCGCTGAACCATTTTTGTCAGCGAGGCCAAAGGCGGATGGAAGGTGGATAACACCCTCCGAGATCTGCTTAATTCTTTATATCCTACGAAAGCCGAATTCATTAATTGCTTTATTATTCAAACAAAATAATTCCTAGTTTGTTATCGGGGATATCGATTTTTCAGATCCTTTACTTAATTTTAGCTTTATTAAAAGGAGCTTTCATCCTTCTACTATGTTTCGAATAAACCACGTACCGAAACTACAAAGAGAAGTCAGACGGCATCATTTCTCTACAAATTTGACTTATTCAAATTTGTGACATTTTGCCACTGGTGGTCACGAAACTTTTTATTTTGCAAACGCGAATCTGGAGTTCCCAGATTTTTGATTTCATATTCTGTTAATATAAGAGCTCAACTTTGTCCTAGTATACACTTTGGCTAGATATCACGCAATACCAAGGTGAGTTTTTTGCCTCTGAAGTTGTCATTTTTGACCCATTTTAAAAAGTGCGCTTGGTGGTAGTTTTTAAAAAACCGTAAAAAATTCAAAATCTCGTCTATGGTTTAAAACGAACCATGGAAAGAAAGAAAAGATAGAATGCTTTAAAACAAAAATATTTCTGTTTTATAGCTTTGAATCTTGCTTCGGTACAGACGCGATCGCGATAAATTCGATCATTTTTACTCTACTTTTTGCATAATTAATTAGGTAAAAACAGCTATCTTCATTTTTCCTTATTTTCTCGAAAACTATAGATTCTCAAAAGTTAAAAATATTTTTTTCGAAGATAGTTCCCCAAAGAGGTTTTTCTAACAGATTATCAGAATTTTCAATTTTTTAGCCTGGCAAGACGAGCGATTCTCGATATTTACGGTCATGGGCTCTTAACATTGTTTCTGACGCTGCAGGTTTTCATTGGTTGATTACTGTGGTGCGTTTAAAAGCTTTAAATATAAATGAAGTAACACTTATGTGATTGTTTTTTGAATTTAATGCCTCCTATGGTGTGTTAACATTTGCCTCGTGGTAGCCTCGATTTATGGCACTCGGATTTTTTGGATTTAACTAAAACGGGAAACTGGAAAATGAAAATGGGGAGAAAACAAAGCCGGCATGACTAATGAAGTTACTGATAGGGCAACGGGTTAAGTTACTAGGTTTTGTTCCAATTTGTTTCCCTTTCCCCGTTCCTCATTCCTCGTTCCACGTTCCCTGTTCCTCGTTTTAGCAAAATACCAGCTTCTCTGACCAGGTCTAATTTGGGACAGATATCGAATAGAAATCAGTAACAAAACAACGCCCAAGTGAAAGAAGCGACTTCAAAAGTGATCCCCCTTTTTCCTAGAAATGACGGAAATTCTAGATACAACAAGCTTTACCAAACTGATCCGAAGTTAATTTTAACGGTGATAATGATCTTTGACATTCCTTTATGTAACTCTAAAGGTACATTAGCCTTTTTTTTCAAAAAGGCCGTTTGCCAAAATGCTGGAACATTTTTTCAACAAATATCGAGCAGAAATCAGCGACAACAGCATTGCATACCTCAAAAACATAACAATACTGACATCAGAGCATCATAACATGCAATATCGCAAAAATTATACTTTCATTCACGAGTGTCTGTTAATGCATTTTAAATTTAGCACGTGAGGACACTATTTTTGCGTCTTTTACTGGAGACGATATTGAATCTCGTATCCAGTTCCGACGCTCCGTTGGTTTGAAATACCTAGATCTAGTCATTTGCAAGTCAAAGCCAGGGGGCTTTATTACCTTCATTTCTCAGTTATTTTAAGGCGCGGGGTATTGGTAATGCCACGGACCGGCGATGAAACCCAAGACCTTCCGCTTTACAGACCACTCTTCTAAACTAACCCCCTCCGTAAACTTTCTGCATCCTTCGAATGTATTATATTTATCTCTAATTACTGCTACTTAACTCTTATTCTCAAATATCAACTTGGAGATAAGGGAGAGAGGCTGTAGCTATAACTCGGGTGAATTAAGGAATGGGTCTCGTGAAATTTGTAAGGGGGTGGTCTAGTTTAAAGGGGATTTAACTTTTCGACTTGAAACTTTGCATGCGGTAAATACTTCTTAAAAAATATTTTTATCCGTTGTCACTAATGAGGTATCTTAGTCACGTGACTTGTCACGCCCATTTTTTTGCCATTTAGTTTGGTCCAATTTTACGACATTTTGCAAATTCTAGCTGTGATTTATTTTGCTTTCTTTCAATGACTATGAACACAAGGTTTATGGAATTAATCGGGCTTTTTTCAAAATTATTTGTTTTGCGTGAACTATAACGTTTCCAGTTGAGAGTGGGACTGGGCCGAGGAGAAAACATTTTGATAATTGCATAGGAATAAAATATTTTGCAATTCCCCGTTTAATTTAACTTATGTGCCTTTAAACTTAACACTATGGAAGTATAAACGGGAGCTTCAACAGTCATTTTCATGGTGTAATCTAGAAATACTAAATTTTGCATAATTATGGGCGTGGCTGGTCACGTGACCTTAAGAGGCTCAGTGTGGGGTCCAAAAATGGTTCCAATGTTAAGCACATATGTTTAAGTAAAAATGAAAAGAGCTGGCAGACAAAACAAGAAAAAATGATAAAAGCCCAAAATGAAGCGAGGAGCCATGCCTTAAATCACTCGAGTAGTGCATTTCGTTTTACAAAATGTTAATTATAGCTAGATTTAATTACAAAACCTGCCACTGCAATTAAGGTTGCTAGGAACAGTGAATCGAACAGATTTGAGCGCAATTTAATGCCAATATAATGAATGTAATATGACCGCCTTCTTAAGAAGAAGATGGATTTGATGAATTCATGGAAATGTTGATTTGTTCAGAGACTGATCGCTGTTTTCGGACGATAACCCCGCATGTTAGTATCTTAAGAAACGCGTCTCTGTAGGGCCGAAGTCTCCAGGCAAAGACAAACGGATTCATGCTGGAATTAGCCATGATTAGGATGTAGTTCAAATCTCTCGCCCAGTGAA